GGCTTCGATCTTCAAATTCATCGTGACTTTACTGATGGGACAAAATTTGGAATTAAGATATTTTAATTTAACTTTCATTTTGTTGAACGTTTTAGAGTCGTTCGAACGTTTATCGTACTTTTCTCCAAGCGTAAAGGAGGGATTTGAGAAAATTGAATTTAAGAGCGTGGAAGTATAGGGTTTAAATGTTGTTTACGAAGCGATAGCAGTTGAAATAAGTGTCGGTGGCGTTTAAGTTTTATTTGTATCCTTGTGTTACAAAACATGCGGTATTTAGTATCAAATTTTGAGCACGAAGGGCGTGTATGAAGTACGGAGAAGATGTCGAGCGAAACGTAAGGCCAGATAAGACACTGGTTTGTTAGTCAAACAACGCACGCGACTACCGTGTGCATTGCAGGAGGATCGAGTGTGCCGGGCGATAAACCGTGTTTGTTAGAATTCTCGGCAGCGCGTTCGTGCCTTTTAATATAATTAACAACAGTGTTATGCGACGATAACGATAGCTATTCTTTACCGACCCGTAAACGCGCTAAATACGAATGAAATATGCAACTGCTCAGAAATCGGGAAATTGGATTAACAAAACTATGAAAATAAAATGGAGCAAGAAATATCTCAGATTTCTTTGTAAATCTTGTATCTTTATGATAGCTTAGATAATATAAATTAGAATTCATAAACGAATGTTTCAAACGGTCATCCAGATTAGAGCTAGGTTTGAAACGAATTTAAAATTTTGATTCGTTGGTCGGGAACAAAATTTTCCTAACTCTGATATCGCCCATGGGCACGGTCCTGAACCTATTCTTCTTGCGTTAGCTGCTATCGTCGTACGTATCACCCACCTCACAAATGCTATGCATACATATAGTGCAGAGAGTATCTCGAGTGAACAGCTTCTCGCGGTACAACAAAGAAAATTATACCCAGCCAGGTAAGGCGTGGCAGCACTCGTCAGGCTCACGAAGCAGTTGAGTCATAATTTTAACTCATAGGTGAATACCGTCGGATGCACATCACGTAAAGAAACACATCTTCCTAAGTCCGACCTAATATACATATTACATGCGTCTATCTTTGTCCCCGGTGCATCCTTTGTGAGAGACTCGGCAGAAGCTTCAGATATTTTTTAAAAATTAAGAATTCTTACTGTTTTTTAATGTAATTTAACACGAAAATACATTCAACTTACATTTACTTTCATCAATTTTTGTATAAAAATAACGAGTTTATAAAATAAAAAAAGGAAAAGATATTCGACCCAATTACATAGATTCATGAATCAGAGTAAGAATATTTAATTTTTATTGCAAAGCACACCAAGAACACAGCCAAGAAAAGGAAGATGTTCAAGAATGACTAATAGTAGAAATCACTTTACCGCGATAAGACCTTAATACTTTACAGATATAAGAATACTATGCTACGAGTAATAATTACAAGCAGCAATTATGGTGTTATCTGATTACTTAATCGCAAGACTTGCTTGAAAGACACGTACCATTAGCAAATTTATTACAAAGATGGAAAGTTGTGAGTAACCTATTCAAAAACTATGGCTATTCAAAGCAGGAATAATAAAGAAGGCAAATTACAAAATAATAAAAAAAGATTTGTTCTGCCAAAGTTAATGCATATAAACTATATATTTCACGAATGAACTCTTTATAATTGAAAAAAGGCACTAGGGTTGGATTATTCACACGGAACACCAGTTTCGTTCCACCCCACCATTGCAAGCATAATAATGGGAAAGTATTCATTGTTAAAGTAGGAATTAAACTCGATATAGAAATGGAAAATTATGAATTAAAGCAACTTTCGCTGGCAGGGAAAATACAGTCCGTTTCGATCAACTTAAAAGCGTAAACTGAAATGTGATTTTCATAAAAAAAATTAGAAGCATTCATCCTTGAGTACGCTACTTTCCTGCAAATTCCTTCCAGAACGAAAGACATTCCACGCAATGAATTACAATTTCGCTGTTACTGTTTCCTTTTCATCGTGGTCTATAATTTACGACATGCTTTTGCAAGTTGTCACTGACGACTTACGTGCAACGGATTCTTCTTGTTAACGAGAATTCTCTTCTTCTGGTGGAATTCCGTCGTTATACTTTCTAACAGTAAACTCCTTTCTAACGTGCCGTGCAGACTCGTATTTTTCTCCTTTGTCTCATTGATCTCTCGTACGAGTCAAAGTCGTAAACTAATAAAAATGATTACAAAGACTTTTGCACCAGGAAGTAATTTCATCGATATGTTTACGCGAAGAACAACGTTCCAACCGGTTCCGCTTATAAGTTGAGTCAAGTTCAACTTTCTTATCTGCTTTTCTCGCGCCTTAAAACCTCCGAGACTTCTGTGGCTTCCGCTCCAATTTTTTTTTTTTCGAACGTTAAAAATAATGTTTCAGGATTTCTAATTGGTCACGGTACAAAGACGAGTGTTATAAATCATGCATCGTTTTTTCATAAACTGCAGAATGAAAATTCTGCTCTTTCTTTTTCGATGATCCATAATTTATTTTTATTCTAATCGTCGCGGAATCGTTGCAGCCATTTTTTCCGCCAGCTCGATACGCTCGGAGGGTAGACTAGACGTCTTGAATTATTTCAGAACGTAATCGAACGAGGCCAGACACGCGACGTTGACACTATCGAATTATAATGTCGTCTCTTGTGTTCCATATAGAGGCACAGAGTGGAACGAAATTATTAGACAAAAATGTTAACTAATAAGGTGGAGATAAGTAATTCGTTGAATGAAAATAAAAATTTGAATCGTAGAATGAAATATTTCGCGACGAATGGATAACAATTTAATTCGTTACAAATAAATTGCTCTGCATTGGTTTTATTGGTTATTGGTTATTTGAACAAATTCTTGTCCCTTTTCTGAATATCAATTTATCAAACGAGTATCGTTATTTCTCTTATAAAACTGCTATTTAAAATGATAGCTTATTTGACATTTTTCAATATATTCGTACACTAAATTTTTAAATACTGTTATAACACCTTACACGGTAGTCTCCATTGACCACAGTCTTACGCGAGCGTTTAAATACTCTCATGCATTATTTATTAGTCAGCATCGATCCTGCTGTGGATTCAGTGGACTTCATCGGCTACCATAAAAGTCCCCAATATTGTTATATTTCTGACACGCTCGTCTTCCATAAAAAAAGAAAAACTGCAAAAAATATTTCTTCGCGAGATTTTCATTATATTTGTTTTTGAAATTGCATATCACGCGCAAAAAGATTCATGAAATTAAAAAAAAAATAAATAAACGTATTTAGCATATCGAAAATTGTTCGAGCAAACAAACTAATCGTAAAAATTCGGTATTTATGGCATCTAAATTGGTGTTATGGCACAGTTTATAAAAAATAAGAGTAAAAAGAAAACCAACATCGATTGTACGAATACAAATATAAAATATGATCGGTCACCGGATAAATTAATTGCAGGCCGGGTAAATACGAACAACCTCTCGGATAATTGGTTGTTTATTTTATTAATAGCCATTCTCGCTTTATTGCAAACAAAATATTTTCACACGCGTATATCGATTTTAATCAATTGAAATGCAACGCTGTCGTACGTTATCTTGACCGAAACAGGAAACAACAACTGATAACTAAAATTGAAACAGACGTGAATCGATTGAAAACGTTAATGAATGTAAGATAAAGAAAACTTCGACTTCGAAAATTGTTTGTGACGTATAGAATTCTATTCGACTCGATGTAAATTCCACAGACGTCGTCAAATTATTTCGATCGTGCTACGAAATAGTTTATTATTTAATAAACATGCGTTACAAAAATCTAATTAATACTTTGCATGCTTGTTCTTTGCCTTAATTAAGTATTTAATGAAATTAGTTATACTTATTTACTAATCCAAGAGATCTATTTGTAATTTCTACAGCTTGTTGCCACGATTTTAATTAATTCTTGCCAGTTCAGCTTTCGTAATTGTCCATAAATTTTCTGTGAGGATCGTATCAAGATTTTCCACAGAAGTACATTCGTATCTTTTTTTATCTAAAAGCTTTCTTCAAATTCATTTAAAATATTTGGATATTTCCGTTTCCACGATAAAAGTTTTGATTTTATAGGAAGCAAAATTTTAGCGTGATTTACGATACTTGCAATGAAATTTGAGAGCATGCAATACATGGTAGCCACTTATTAGATGAACTTCCGTTATCCGAATGTTCAGCCATCCGAGCATTCTACTGTTCGAATGTTCTATTTTCTGAACAGAATATCCTTATAGAGAATCCTGTTCCTTATTGAAACATTCTTTCGTAACGGTAAAAATGAATTATTACAAAAATTTAGTATGGATAATAATGGCACACGAGTTGCATAATAACAGTACAATCGAACAACAAAAATTTCTTGCTTCTCTATTTGGAATCTTTCAAGCATTCGTGTTATTTAAAAAAAGATTTACAATTGAATGATTTGAACCGCAAATGCGTACAATTTGAAGTATCTTATGAAACCCAGGAACTAAAAAGCCTAAAATTCCTGAATATTAGATTTAGATTTTATAGAGCATACTGTTTCGTATTCCAAAGAATTTATCTCGCTCAGAGAAATAATTAGTCCATTATTCAAACATTTCTTTAACCGAAATCGATCAATTTTAAAAAGATTTATGCATAAATTATTGTCCATAATTTTTTTATGAACAAACGACTGTGCAAACATCGTTAAAATTCGAGCGCGATTAAGCATTCAAATTAAATGAAATTAAAATAGCCAACGGGGGCTGTATATTTGCATAATAAAAAATATGAAAATATTTGCAGAAAGTATGCAAAGTAAAAAGATGGATTTTTAAATCGCCTTAACGACGAAATAAATTCCGCAGTCCCGCTTTCCAATTTGTTTGCTTTAAAGCTGCCAGGATTTGCATGAACATCCGGTAATAGCGTGGTCGCGAGGTGTGTTAAAATGTTATAAAAATTTTATTTCAGTACTGACTAGCTTATTAGTGGTCACGGACGAGGCGCCGCAAGACATTAGGCACAAAAACTACGACGAGCATCCTCGGGAAGCATACTTCAACGGCTCGTCTTTTCTCAAGCTCGGCTCCTTCGTCTCGGTGCATAGGCATAGCGGCCTGAGCTTTCGAACCTGCGATGGCGGCCGACTTTTCATGCAGAAATACAAGGACGATTCCGTCAGTCTCGAAGTCACTCCGGACGGGCTCCTCTTTGTGGCCGTCGTCGATCAACAACGTTACAAAGCGAGGCTGAACGCCAGGTTGCTGAATAATGCCTGGCATAACGTGAATCTATTTTTTAGACTTGGAAATCTCACTTTAAACGCAGCTGGTCACACACAGGTAATCACGAACTCCTTGAAAATTTACAAGATCGGCCATCTTGATTTTTACTCGCAATCAGAGTGTTCCAAAAGTACACGTACAGTGACGGCCATTATTAATATTAAATTCTCTCGTTGGTAATATCGTATGAAAAAGGACATAAATCTATTGCAATTTTTTAATGTATATTCTATTGCAAATGTATAAGACCAGCCATCTTGATTTTTACTCACAATCAAAGTGTTCCAAAAGTACACGTACAGTGGCGGCCATTATTAATATTAAACTCTCTCATTTGTAATATCGTATAAAAAGAGCAATTTTTTAATGCATTTTCTATTGCAAATTTATAAGACCAGCCATCTTGATTTTTACTCACAATCAAAGTGTTCGAAAAGTACACGTACAGTGGCGGCCATTATTAACATTAGATCCTCTCGTTGATAGTATCGTATAAAAAGGATATAAATGAATTTCTATTACAGTTTAAGAACAAATGCAGAGTAACTTTTACTTAAATTAAATTTCGATATCCACAATTATATCATACATTATTTTAAGAAATAACATTTAGATCTTGTTAAGGAGTTATTCGTTTATAATTTGAATTGTTCCCGTTTTTGGTGCACCATTGATCGAAAAATTGTTTGCGTAGGTAATTGCTAATGCGACTTATAATGCTGCGATTCTCACGCTGCCCGACTACGACATGAATGATTCTCTCATTGTGGGAGAAGGATTCAGGGGATGCATCCTGCAAGGACCTGGTATACTTTTTAATGGTTCTATCAATAACGGAGCTGTCTTTGGACCCTGTCCCACGGATAGCAAAGGATGTAAGGATTTCAATATTAATCTAACGAAAATCCTAATACACTATGTATCTTAGGGAAAAAATGAACGTATTTACGATCAGTCAAGAAAGTCTCCATTCATTACACTTCAAAAATCTCGTACGATACGAACGATAGAAATGTTAACAAATCATATATAAATTATTTTCGATCGTCTGTATACATGTACTATCGTGTTTAATTTACCAAATAATGTTCTCAGACACTTATCGTTAAGAAAAATGAGTTTCGACTGGTTTCGAGTGTCCTGTCCCCCCAATAAAATTACAATCTACGTAGTGTATGGACGCAGGTTAAGCAAAAATTAATCGATGCTATCGAATATTTGTAATATGCAGCTGGATAGCCCTCCTTCTCAGTAGCGTTGAGTAAGAGCAATACTTCCAAATTGATACGATCATCTCCGGAATATCTCTTGTATCGTAGCCAGTGATGGCTTTAAAACGGTTCGAAGCTCTCGAGACTACGAACATTCGAATCGTCTCGAATATGATTCGAAGCTTTCAGAACTCTCGAAAGTCTCGAGTCTTGAAGAATAAATTTATTTATTTGTATTTTAATTTAATGCAATGCTATATTATCAATTAAATAATCAAATTTTATTCGATGTTGTATCTTTTAAAAATTTCTTTCATAATATTTTCTGCTTTAGAGAGTCTTGTTAGACTCAAGATTTTCAATAGTTCGAAACTTGGGATCGTATTGTAATCGATACGAATTTCTCGCCACGTAAATTCGAACCGAATCCCCATCACTGATCGTAGCCGCTTGTAAAACCGACCGAGAATTCGAGTCACTGCACACTTTCGGAGTGAATATCACGCATATTTACCTCGTTCCTTTTGTAGATTCGCAGTCACACGTGTGATTCGTGTGTACCCACTTACATAAATAGTAGATTGCATGCCAGATATCTTTACGAAACTTCCAGGTGGTACGAGCGGACTCGGAGGTGGTATAGGATCAAGCCCAATTACCACCATGGATTTCTGCCACCACGAGCCATGCATGATGCATGGCAAATGCGTGTCAAGGCAGGATCGTTATGAGTGCCACTGTTACGCCCGATATTCCGGCAACAACTGTCAAATTGACAATGGTAGACCTCGATGTCGAATACGGGGTTTTCTGCACAAATTCGAGACTAGAAATAGATTCATGGCCCTGACAATGTAGACCTCACAGCCTCGAACTGCTATCAAGGTAAATGCACCAGTAGTGAAACACGTTCGATCATTTCTAGCAAATCGCTGGAGTAACATAAAAATTATTTAAAATTAAAAAGACAAAAGTTACAGTAATTGGCAGTTTTTGTTAAAACAGTAAATACTTGGAGAAAGCACTGGGAAAGTGCTATTTAATGGAATAAAATCTTGGATTCGAATAAAACTTGAGCAATAAGCAGCAAGCTACCATTTTTAGTCAGAAGCTTCTAATTAGTGGTAGAACCAGTCTGCGAACATTTCGTTAAAAGAATCGCGATTACTAATGCTAATTTCATAAATGTATCCACTGCTGGTGCAATTACCTTGAATCGCGTTATAATCGTTTCTCGTTATTTTTCCTTTCGCCTAAGTAAAATAGTAATCGTTTAATAACGAGCAGGAACGAACGATCGCTCGGCCATGAATTCTGTCTTTAGTCCTCGTGGATGTTGTACGACATTTTCTTTCGTTAATCTCTCTTTTCTATCAGCTTGTGGAATCCTATGAAAACGCTCGTAGTTGTTATTGAATAAAATTACTTTAGCCTGCAATTAAGAGTAGATGTTGCATGCATAATTATGCGGTCGACCTTTCGGAACGTTTGCAAATGTCCGTACGCACGGCATACCGTGCTAGTGCTCGATCGCATTGAACGTATAATTTTAAATCATGGGAGCCTGGGCGCTATGGATAACGGGACACCATATAACTTCGCACAGATTTCATCGTTCCATAATTTTCCATGGCGACGCGCATTCTGCTAATCTTTCTGTTGGCTGCTTTTCTCGACCCTCTGCACTCGGTAAATCGTTCCGACGCGTCGGTCCAACAACTCGACGATTAAAAAACAATTTAAACCGAGTGGAAGGGGTCAAACGTTGGTTTAATATGGACACTATAATTTTGCATTCCCAGAGTCGGGCAAACTTTTCTGTCTCGTTGCGAGATTAATTTACGGTCCCGTTCGTGAAACTCGTAAATTAGAATTCGTCGAGTTGCACAAAAATTCGCCCAATTCTGACCTTTCCCGATGGCTCGTTTCTTCTTTTAACCGGCAAATAGGTGTCTGGATGTTGGGATCACTGGCGTCGCACATGGTTTTGCACTATCATTTGGTTTTTAAGACACTCTTTTCGCTGAATTTTATCGCAACCGTAGCTGGGCCATCTAAAACCTCTAATTTCATCAGGTCCACCGTGCCTGAACGGGCCGTGTCGAAACGGCGGCACGTGCAACGAGGACCAAAAAGGAGATTTCAGTTGCACTTGCAAGCCTGGATTTACCGGAACTTTCTGCGAATCGCAGCTAGGCGTGCGACTTTGCGAACAAAGTCCGTGCAGAAACGACGGTGTCTGCCTGGCGCTCACCGACACCGAATACAAGTGCGAGTGCTTACCCGGATGGACAGGAAAGAATTGCGAGACCAATTTCAACGAGTGCTCCTCGAATCCTTGCAGGCATGGCGGAATGTGCATCGACGGTATCAATAATTATACCTGCTTATGCGATAGAACCGGGTACGTCTACTAAGCTCATCGTTATTCTTACTTTTTTCAAATAAAAACCTTCTCACGAACACACAGACACGCATAATGAGTAGTTTTATCGTTCGCTCAAGAAGTATTCAATCGTTTTGGATATTCGAACAAACTTTTGTCGAGATAACAAAATCACTGGCAAAGATATTAGTAAACAAATCTTACAGGATCATAGATTATACAGTAAATAATGAATAGAGTTAAGAAAATGTAAATTATAGCTCATCAGAAATCATCCTAAGCCTATTAACAAACGGACATTACAGTCGTGGAAATTGCTTTTGAAAAGATAGCAGGTGCAAGTTATAGTGTATACCTAATATCAAAGAACCCTTATTCTTCACAATAGGTCTTCGTTTTCGAGATATTTATTTAAAATTAAGTTTATTTTGTAGAACATTTTCCTGGGACTTTAGAGCCACATTAATGTACATTGTTTGCATTTTCAATCATTAAAATCCTTCAATCCGTCCAAAAGTTATGATTTTTTAAACATACGTATGAAATTTCGAGGAAACATTTCTGGCCACACAGTATATTTTCGGTAAATAATTTTTTTTCTCGAAAGTGAGTAGGAATTCAGGGTTATGTCTATTGACCAAAAATGATTGCAATTAACTCCTGCACCAAAAAATAATTTTTTTAGAACGATTTAAAATTTTTTTTTCGCTGAAAAATTTCACACCTACTCGAATTTTTTTCTTGAAAATGGGGAGGATTTCTGAGATATGTCTATTCACCAAAAATGATTATAATTGACCCCTGCAACTGAAAATAATTTTTTTAGAACGATTTGAAATTTTGTAATTTTATTTTTTAATAACTTTTTAGTGAAGCCTCAATCAATAAATTGATAAAAATCTATCAACGTTTTTTGATACTAGACATATACTATAACTTGCACCTATCTTTTCAAAAGTAATTTCCACGACTGTAAGGTCCCCTCGTAAACAAAGATCAACCAAAAAAATAACGAAGAAATCTCGGACCTATCACGATCGTTTGAAATCAAAATTTTGGTCCTTGTGGGCGATCGTACCGTGTTAAAATTAATATTGCTCCCGTTGCAGATACGAAGGTATAAATTGCGACATCGATATCGACGAGTGCTTAGCGAATCCCTGTCTCAATAATGGAGTGTGCTTCGATAATTACGGCGGCTACATTTGCCATTGCCCGAACGGTTTCGAGGGTCAAAACTGCGAGCTGAACTTGAACGAGTGCCTGTCAAACCCATGCATGCACGGCGGGGATTGCGTGGACGACGTCGGTTCCTATCATTGCACCTGTCCGCCCGGATACGCCGGACGACACTGCGACCTCAGAAGCTTATGCGAAAACGCAGCTTGTCCGCCGAACAGTATATGCGTGGAGGACGCCCACGGGCCGCAGTGCGTCTGCAACCCGGGATTCATGGGCAATCCCCCGAATTGCACTATCAATTACTGCGCCAGCAATCCGTGCGTTAATGGAGGGACTTGCACGAGCAACAAGGACGGATATAATTGTACTTGCCCGCCAGAATGGAAAGGTAAGCGAGGAGCAAAGTACGTTTAGCCCAAGTACATAGTCAAAGTGTCGACAATTTTCGAAAACGATATGAACGCGGTAAAGAGGAACGTTGGAACGACTGTCGTGTCTGCTGGGAGCTAATAGATATGAGAACTTACTCTGGAAGGCACTCGAGACGCGTTTGTGTATTATGTACGTCTAAGATTTTGAACAGGGACCCTGTAAACGACCTAGTTAATTAGCAAATTCTCTGTGAGAACGTGTTCCCACACCAAAGCCTTATCGATCAGTCTTGAGACCAACTTTGTCCAAGTACATATAGGTACTACCCAATCCTCGTATATACCATATACTGTTAAATAATACAGGAACGATAAAGAAATATGCTAGGCCAATTCACGTGGTCAGTAAATTTAGATATAAGAACTTCAAACCTTGAATGTTTGAGATCATACCCTTAACGAATTTCTTCATTGTAACTAACTCCATTCGAGCCTTCTCTGTTCTCCGAGCTACGCTATTAATTTCTGTTGTTGAGTGTCCTCTGTGTATCCTGTGTTTCTTGTTAAATGTCGTCTATCACCTCTCTAATTGGTGTTCCGCCTGTTAAAATGGCAACACTTATCTGGAGATGCGTTTGTATACCAACGTCCTCTAAACAACCTAATTAACAAATTCTCTGTGGGAACACGTTTCTCCACCAAAGCTTTAACGATCAGTCTTGAAACTGTGGCGCTGATTCGCTGTCATGGAAAACGAGAAAGATCGTAGGAGGGTAGGAAAGGGAAAAAGAGGGGAGCGTTTGCAGGCCCTGTCTTTGATACTGAGATTGGTCAGTCAAGCGCTTGCGAGAGACTTAAGAGCGTGGCCCTCTGGTGGCGAGTACGGGAGGTGACGCCACAAGACCAACTTCATCCATATGTACCATATTGTTAGTCAATGCATAATACAGAAACGATAGAGAAATTAGACCAATCCTCGTGGTCAGTTAGCTGGCATAGACATAAGAAGGAACTGTTGCTTCCAAGCAGACCCCGAACGTACGAGATCACCGCTGTAATTAACTTCACGTGACGTTAATGTTAAGTGTTTGTCTGATGTTTTGTGCACCGTGTGCCGTCTGTCAGGGGCTACCTGTCAATCGTCCGCCTCGGATTGGTGTCCCGCCTGTTACAACGGTGGCAGTTGTATCGAAACGCGTTTCGGTATCATGTGTCAGTGCCCGAGATTTTGGACGGGACCCCAATGCAAGGATCCGATCACCTGTCGCGATCTGCCCTGTAAGCAAGCTTCCGCTTGCCACGACTACGTGAGTGAGATCTTCGCACACGGATATTGCATGCAACGTTCGGTCGATTAATCGACCATATCACGTCGAATGTATCTCTATGTGGCATCTTGCTTTGTTTGTTGCGTCTCGCTCCGTACAGCCCGGCGGCTATTATTGCACCTGCGAGCCAGGATGGACGGGCCCCGAGTGCTCCATCGACGTGGACGAGTGCTCCAGCGATCCCTGTCGTAACGGCGGCATCTGCATCGATCAACTAAATACCTACTACTGTCAATGTTTCCCGGGATACACTGGTAATCACTCCGACTTCGCGATCACTTTTATTCTTGCACGAAGCTTTGCTTTTTTCCTCTATGCTATACTCATGTCGCTACGGTCAGATACGTGTTTGCGCCTGATCGATCGCCAAATTGTCTACTATTGGGGGACCAGATGTTGACACACAAGCTGAAGGACGCAAATCCCCTCCACTGTTTAAGTCCTTGTCAAGAACCTGACAAGTAGAGGGAATTACGTAGATCGTGTGTGCTGCTATCTCGTCTCCTAATAGCTCTGTCTACTGTTCGTCCACGAGAAGTTGACAAGTGAAAGGAATGCGAATTTGATTGGTTCCCCACTCTAGCTTAGCATTTGACGAGAGTGGAGAAGCACTCCCCTCTGCCTCCTGTAGCGTCTCACTAACCAACTTCTCGCTGACGCACGATACGTTCGAACGTGAAATTGGATATTCTTATTACGTCGTTCATTAAGTCCTGACGTATCATAAATGACGTTGACGTAAAATGCGTTTATATTTTAGCTTGTTAGAAGAAAACGTTCTGACATTCTCGCTCTCTCGAATGAAAACTCCTGGCCTATAACTTGAAAAGAACGACGACTCTTATTATTATTAACCTTTTCCTATTCTTCTCGATTACGAAGATACGTAAATGTTTTTCTCGATCGATTTAACAAGACGAGCGTTAATGCAAACAGGGAAGAACTGCCAGATCAACGTGGACGAGTGTTTGTCGCAGCCTTGTCAGAACGGCGGCACGTGCATCGATCGAATCAATGGGTACACTTGCAACTGCACCAAGGATTTCATGGACGAGAATTGCGAGCGCGAGTATAACGCGTGCGCGATAAATCCTTGCCAGAACAACGGAAACTGCACGCTGATATCGAGGTCTCGACGCGAGTTCGTTTGCGAGTGTCCGCGAGGTTTCGAAGGCAAGACTTGCGACATCAACGTGGACGACTGCGTGGACGTGATATGCCCGGACGGGAAGGTCTGCGTCGACGGAATCGCCGGTTACGAGTGCAAGTGCCGCGAGGGTTACAGAGACCCTAATTGCACCCTTATCGTTGACCATTGCGCGACGAAACCTTGCAACAACGGCAATTGTATCGATCGCGGAGAACTCGGTTTTGACTGCAACTGCACCGACGGCTACGAAGGTAAGAAAACATTTACGCGATTAAACAAACACGTTTTAAACGACGCGTTTATAGTTAAATCAACGATTCTTAACCTGGTGTTAAAAAATGACAACCTTCACTCTAAATACTAATGCATTATTCCTATTACTATCGACAGAATATAATTCGTGGTTGATAACCCACTGGTAAAAGTTTTCGTACTCCCTGTACGCTGCTGAAATTTTTCCTACAGTTTCGCGAGAAACATCTTGCATTTTTAATGCGGTCTGTCTCGCCCAGAGATCTGGATTTTCCTCGACGCCTCTAAGTGCATCTTCGACCCCAGGGATTCGAACGCGTACGTCCTGAGTTTATCCTATCAGACGAGGAAGATCCAGTTTCTCTAAGCCGACGACGCATTGAAGAAAATGGACTTTCAGAAGGACATCGTCTCCGAGAAAATGTCTCCCGATAGAGAGATTGTTTATGAAACTTACGAAACTCTTTTATAAAGTATGAAAGAACCTTTTGCAGACAACTTTTCATTACCATTCCGTCATGTAGATTACTGTTTACAATTGCTTCCAATATGTTTCAACTTCATATAGAAAACGTGTTTATACTGCCAAAAATAAGATAGCGACCCCTACAATAGCATTGAGTACCCCGTCTTGTCCAAAAAACTATTTCTTTACTTTCAATGAGAGGTAATTCTTATATCTCATAAATGAATTTGCGTGCTACAGTAATGATGTTTTAAATGAACGTGATTCGTAAGTTGAACATTTCTAATGATGCATCCGTTTGTAATTATATACCTGTGTCAATCATTTTGGGACTCACTGGATAGCAATGATTCTTAAAATGAACCTAAGAAGTTGATTCGTAAATTGATCATTTTTATCCCTCCCAACTGAAGGGATCTTCCTTGTGCATAAATATCTGCTCAAAAACCCCGGAACGATGTTCATTTTAAGAATCATTACTGTAGTCGCCCAATTTTGACACTACCCAGGTACCCTGACGAGCATCATCGGCACAGAGATTAATTTCTAGCGCCAAATTCCACGCCAACCATTCGCGTTACTATAAAATCGATCCGGTGAGTTCCAAAGCGACTAATTATCGAAATTCGTAGGCAAATTTTGCGACAAGGACGTGGACGAGTGCGAGGAAAAAGGCAGCTCGCTGTGCAACAACGGAATCTGCGTGAACAAGGACGGCAGTTACAATTGTTATTGCCGGCCCGGTTTCTCCGGGGACCATTGCGATATCAACATCGACGAGTGCTTGTGCGGACCGTGCAAGAACAACGCCACGTGCATCGACGGAATTAACACCTTCGAGTGCCAGTGTCCGCCCGGTTACTCGGGCAAAACCTGCGACGTGGACGTGAACGAATGCGAGAGCAACCCGTGTTTGAACGGGGCGACCTGCGTCGACGAGATCGCCAGCTACGCGTGCATCTGTTCCCTGGGATTCCGGGGGCTGAACTGCGAGATAAACATCGACGATTGCGAGCCCCAGCCGTGCTTGAATCACGGCCGTTGCATCGACGGTATAAACAACTACACCTGCGACTGCAGCGACACCGGTTTCGAGGGGGCGCGTTGCGAGAAAAACATCGACGATTGCCGGTCGGAGCCGTGCAAGAACGGCGCGCTCTGCATAGACGATATAAAAAATTACAAGTGCCAATGTTACGCCGGTTACACCGGCAAAAATTGCGAGACCGACATAAACGAATGCGAGAGCTCGCCGTGCCAATACAACGGCACTTGTTTGGAGAGATCAAACAGAGAATTATATAAGAGCGACGCGTTGACGTTGCCGTCGATATTCAATCAAGAGTTCAGCTACGCGAACGCGAGCGGGTGAGTGGTTGAATTTAACTCTCCGTTGCATAATGCGGATCGGGAGAACGCGATTAGAAAAATGTGAAACTCTATTAGGAAATTGCAGACTACGTTAAACGTTTCGATTTTCTTTTTTAATAAAAAAAAAAAAAAAAACGTTAATTGCAACAGAGGGTTAGAAACGAAGAGACGAGAGGGACGTCGTTCGATCGAAAGGTTTTGATTTGTTTCGCAGGTACGAGTGTTTGTGCGTGCAAGGCGTCACGGGGAAGAATTGCGAGTTAAATATTAACGAGTGCGATAGCAATCCATGCCAGGCGGGTACCTGTGTGGATCGTATCGGGGGCTACACCTGCGAATGCGACGAGGGTTACGAGGGCGATCATTGTCAGCACGACATCGACGAATGCAAAAGATACACGCCGTGCGAGCACGGTGTGTGCACCGACGGGAGAGCCGATTACACGTGCACTTGCGAGCCGGAGTATGGCGGGAAGAATTGTTCGGTGGAGCTGATTGGTTGTCAAGGAAATGCCTGTCAAAATGGCGGCACTTGTTGGCCGTACCTCGTCGACGAGACTATACACAAGTTCAACTGTACGTGTCCGAATGGATATCACGGGGAGATCTGTGATTACGTAAGTTTCCATAGTACGTACTGTGCTCACGCGAAAAGAAGGCTACGTTGTGTTGACAACCCCACTACCGCGCGGTTTGGTCAATATTGGTCGATGTCTGACCAATAGGGGACGCAGTGGGCAGGTACTAGAGTGGGGATGTCAACACAGCTTCTTTACACTTTCAACTATAATCGATATGATTTCTGTTTCTATCGATAATTTTCTTTTTGTTTCAGGTAACGACAATGTCCCTGAGCGGGAGTTCGTACGTCCTGGTAAACACTACTCGCGACGAAGGATACGACATACAGTTCCGGTTTCGAACAACCCTGCCGAACGGATTGCTAGCGATCGGGAAGGGATCGACGTTTTATATTCTCGAACTGGTGAACGGGAAATTAAACCTACACTCGAGCCTCCTGAACAAATGGGAAGGAGTATTCATTGGTAGCGGTTTGAACGATTCCACCTGGCAGAAAGTATTCGTGGCGATCAATGCCACGCACTTGGTGCTCTCGGCCAACGAAGAACAGACGATTTACCCTATAAGCTTGAACGAGGGTTCCAATTCCAATCACACGTCTTTCCCAATGACCTACGTCGGTGGTACCACTAGCTACCTACGACGATTGACCCACGGCCCTTCCTTCTTCGTGGGTTGCACCGAGGATGTCGTTATTAACGGAGAATGGGTATGTTATAGTCTAGAAATTAATGTAGCCAAGGAGTACCAACGTAACGCTCTGAACACTGCAACCGACATAGCTTCGAAAAACAGTAGTGAGTTTGAAAATTAACCGTGCAGTAGTACATTGAAACTATTTAAATAAAAAGTCGAATGATTTTTCTAGATAATTATTAAATCACGAGGAAATGTATGTTTAGGTATACTCTGGCACCTCGTTAAAGACCGTGTCCATGGAGGACGTTGAACCAGGCTGCCCCCGAGAGGCTCAGTGCTCGCCAAATCCTTGTAAAAATGGCGGCCACTGCACGGACAGATGGCGCGATTTTTCCTGCAAATGCGAACGACCGTACCTTGGCCACACTTGCCAATACAACATGACAGCGGCCACGTTCGGATACGAAAATATTACGAACGGATACGTGACCGTGAAGGTGTCCGACGTAGCGAGAAGATCGGTCAGATCGATCGTCGATATCTCCATGTTCATTCGCACGAGACAAGACAGAGGCGACATATTCTATTTAGGCTCGGAACCGAGTCAACAGACGGACTTCAAGCCTCAAGAGAAAACTTATATAGCGGCACAGTTGGAAAGCGGCGAATTGCTCGTTAGGATTCAGTTCAACGGCACGGAAGCATACACGGTCGGTGGCGTGAAGCTGAACGACGGAAACAACCATCTGATACAAGTGATCAGAAACGTCACGTTGGTGCAAGTGAAAATTAACGGCACCGAGTACTTCCGGAAAACTATCAGCGCGTCCGGCCAATTGAACGTGACCGTTCTGTATTTGGGAGGTTTGCCACAAGCGTCTAGGTACATACGACAAGTCGATAATCGTCAAATAGACGTACCGCAAGCTCCTCAAGTTAACTTCAAAGGCATCATTCAGGATGTTCAGATATCGAACGGTATTGAAACTATGGTCGTCGAATTCTTCCCTCTGAAGGTACAAATTAATTAAACCTAACAGGGAACTTTAAAATTTTTATATGGAATCACCGCACATTGTCATCTAGATTTATATCATTATTATGAAGTCATTAGCTATCTTGTAGGTGGATCTATAGGTGTTTTAAAAGGAATCATATATTTTTCATTACATCAATCGATGTTCCTGATATTATTTACAAAAAAGTATTAATCTAATTATATTACATGACACTTTCTACATCGATAATACTTGCCCTCTTACTTAATGCTAGCTTTGTTGTTCAATGGAATTGTGAATATTTGAGAACGATCCAACTAGAAAAATAAGGTCTACGCTGAGTCTCAGACTACAATGGCCAATATGACAAATCGTGTCATCATCGACTATAATAAAATATCACCAGATTCATTATACAATGTGAGTGAATCGTTAATCTATCTAAATGGTCGTGAGATTGAATCTTTTCTGTAAATAAAATCATTACAACGTTAACAAACGCTAACAACTTGAAAATTAAAATATCTCCTAAATTAATGATGTTTTAACATAAATGGGTTAATACTTTTTTGTAAAGAATATGAAGATGCGCCAACTGATGCAATAAAAAATATTAATAACCTCTACAAGAAAATTAGTATCGTCAAAATGTGCCCCTCTCGAAACTATATACTAAATCTAGATGACAATATGTGGTGATCCACCCAGTACATCGAAATAAACATTCTTCGTTTCCTGTTACAGGCAAATGACATTCCGCCACCGATACAATTTGGTAACGTAACATTCGATTACGACAAGGTGCTCGAAGGCGTAGTGTCCGACAACGTCTGCGTGAGCAGTCCGTGCAACCATAACGGAACCTGCCACGTCACGTGGAACGACTTCTGGTGCCAGTGTCCGCGCGGATACACCGGGAAGACATGCCAGGAGATGGAGTTTTGCCAGCTGCAAGATTGCCCAGCCGGATCCAAGTGCCAGAACCTCGACGACGGCTACGAGTGCATCGCTAACGCCACTTTCGACGGGGTGTCTACGTCCTTCACCTACGTTTACAATCAGGTGGAGGAGAAGAACGTGACCGACTCGACGATCGACACCATACAGATCACCTATCGATCGAACACTGGCGGCACCCTGATGCACATCGTGCCCCACGTGGGCGACCAACACTTCACGGTTTCCGTTTACAAAGACAAGATCACGGTATCCTGGCGCTTGGATATGCAAAATCAAGGGATACTGACGTTCGCCAAAGCGGAAGCCGACGGAAACTGGACGTCCATAGTACTGAGATTGAACAACAACTCCATGGAGTGCGGATACGCCAACTCCAACGAGGAGGGTGCGTCCCACGTCAGTCCAAATTTCAGTTTCTCTTTGTGGTACGATTTACTGGTCACTGGGACCGTCACGTTGGGCGGGCTTGGTTCCACCTTCTCCGACAGGCACAATTACGTGACCGTCGGTTCCAGTAAACAGATACTGGAAAATCGAAGCGGCATACAAGACAATTCGATAGAATTCACCGAACGTGTATTGACTACAGTCTCGCCGCCCCATAACATAATGTCAGGTAGCGTTGCAATCGAATTCTATTACTTTTAATTTTAGCATCGTTCTATTTTCTCTATTTTTTACATTTTTCCTCGCCTTGTTCCCTAGATACTGGCACTTCTTTTTTTTTATTTTTTATTTTAACGCAATTTCAACTACTGAAAATTGATTTCAAAGGTTTCTCAAATCAGTATTCCTTCAGTTGCTCAATATTATTTGTTGTGCATCTCCTGTTCGCATAATTGGATATACAGATAATATAATAATCACGTTCAAGGTACTGTCCTCCGCTCACTTAAAGTTCCGCGGAAGGAATGCGGGAGAAGTAGAAGGGGCACACGTATTCCCACGCACACATTGGTCTCTAGCTCGCTATTCGTCGCGGCAGTTACACACACATGTGGGCTGCCTGAGAGCAAGGGAGCGAGACAGATAAATGGGCGGTCCGACTCCCCTTGCCCCTGTGCCGTCTCGCGGGACTTCAAGTCAGCGGACCACTGTACTAAGAATTACAAATCTAAGCATTGGTCGATTTTAATTTCCAGGGGAAGCTTTCAAGGGATGTTTGGGGGAAGTACGAATCGGCAGCATGCTGTTGCATTACTTCACGTACGAGGAGGTTTATCAAAACGCGAATTTCACGCCCCTCGAGTATCTGTCGCTGAAAGAGAATAATTCAACGCACCACGAGAGCATCGGTTGCCAACTTTGCTTCGACGTGGACTGCAAAAACGACGGTTACTGTCTCGACAAAGCGAACAGCTACGTTTGCGAGTGCCCTCCGGGCTACACGGAGGACGATTGTTTTTTCAACATCGACGAGTGCGTCGGCAACAAGTGTGAAAACGAAGCCACCTGCATAGACGGAATTGCTAATTACACATGCGTGTGCAACAGCGGATGGCAAGGATGGCTGTGAGTATATAAAACACTATTTAACAAACTTATATGCCTGTTTGCTTATATAACATATTGAAGATTATTAACGCTAGAACTACCGACGATTATAGTATAGTTATTTGTACCAAAGAAATTAAAACAATTGATACGCGAAGAAATGTACAATGCAATGAAGATAAGTGTTTACTCGTACTCGTGCAGAAAATTATGGTAAATCTTTTACAAGTTTTATTAGAAATTATCAATGGGTCATTTTGACTGCTTCGGTAGTTCTAGTGTTAAACCATTGCAAAATTTATTCTAACGCGATTTGTATTTCATTTGCCAATTTTTAGTTTAAACGACCACAATATCCGCCTTATTTCTTTATTTATCGATCTTATCTTTACGCTAGATGCGACAGCGACATCAACGAGTGCGTGCCTCTCAATCCTTGTCAGCACGATGGAGTATGCTTAAATCTACCCGGATATTTCCGATGCGAGTGTCCGGATCAATTTACTGGCGAGCTGTGTCAGAATTTACGTTTGATCACCTGCGAGAACGAACCGTGCAAAAACGGTGATTGCACGAACGTCGTGAATCCTCAAACTGGGGATAATTTTACGTGTACCTGTGCGACAGGCTACGAAGGTTCGCTTTGCGATGTTCCTTACTGTGTCGGGCGAAAGTGTCAAAATGGCGGCAGATGCGATTCCACGTACCAGGTTCGTATACTATTAATTTCTTACCAAGTATTATTTTTAACAAACTTTGTTCCTGTTTAATAGCAACAAATAACTTTATAGTCGTCATCGTATTGATCATAAATAGTTCGTTAAAAGGTTAAAGCCACTAATAAAATTTGGTCGAAAATTATACAGAAATTAGCAGACGAACTCGGTCATAGTTCACAGTGTAGAGGCATATCCGTGAAATTGGAAAGGTCGAACAATGCATACGGATTTCGCGGCAATTGTCGAATTCAATCGCAGAACAGCGATTCACAATTTGCATTTCATTGCTAACAAAGCTGTGGGGTGTTCTATTTGTTACCAGAGCGATTACGAGGGATAGAAAATGATTTCGATCGAACTAAAATTATCTCCGTCCAATACTACGAGTATATGTAATCGGAAAATGCAATACGGCAAATCTTGGATAACTGCAAGAAACTGCAATTGCATTATCCGCTACGAGTTGTTAAAGCATCGAAAAACAATTACTGCAGAGACAATCATTTCCAAGCAATTAAACCGATTATATCTTAAAATATCGAAGAAAGAAACTAACGAATCGGAAACGCTGATTCTTCGAACAATCAAAATTATTCGATAATTGTTTATTCGCTATTCTGTAAGAATTTGATACGATTTAGGACAGGATTGTTCGTAATGTATTGCTTTGAATTGATAGACACCTCGTTGCGTCTGTCCACCTGGTTACTCCGGACTTTATTGCGAAATTAATATCGACGACTGCGCCCCGGATGCTGAGGGGAATGTACCGTGCAAGAACGATGGGAAATGTTACGACGGTGTAAACAATTTCACCTGCGACTGCACCGATACTGGTTACACAGCGGCAGATTGTTCTTACGACATAGACGAATGTCAAGATCCATCTACGGACTGTGGTCACGGACGATGCGAAAATTTACCAGGCACCTATCAGTGCATTTGTGATCCGGGTTATTGCGGTTATAAATGCGGAATGGTGGATCCCTGTAGAGGGGTATTATTCTTTATCGAATCTTTCTATCGTATAATAAGTCAGTTCGTGTCGTACTTAATGCCATGTTACAAACATTAAGTACGTAATATGTTAACACTTCACCTACCTATAGCTGTTGACCCCTACAGGGTAATTAAATCTACTACCATTTTAAGTGTTGACAACAGAACGCCGTCTAATAGCACAGACGAAGTATACGAGTAGACCCTTCACTTTATGGACTTTCGTGGACCAATCTGACTGCCATACCGGCCTGAATATTCGTTGAAAATTCAGTTGAGAAACTATTCACTGAATTAGTATTAATGGGCATGTAGCTGTGGGTAAATACATGTGAGTTGACTAAGGAAGGGATTAAAAAACGCAATTTTCAAACGACCATAACTTCTACAATAGTGAATGTATTTCATTGAACTTTATTTCTGAAGTAGAGTTCATGGGTACCTGCAAAAAAGTATCAGACAATTTTTCTATAGGGCATCAAACAAAATTACTAAAAATGAAAGACGAATTTTTAAGAAAAATCGACAGGGGGTAGGTGCCTAAATTTTTCGACGAATAACAAAATTTCAAATCGTTGTGGAAAAATTATTTTCGGTTGCGGGGGTCAATTACAATCATTTTTGGTCACAAGACATACCTCCGAAATCCTACCCACTTTCGAGAAAAAAATTCGAGAAGATGCCTAAATTTTTCGACGAAATTGAAAAGTTTCAAATCACTCTAGAAAAATTATTTTCGATTGCAGGGGTTAATTACAATCATTTATGGTCAATAGACATACCCTCGAAATCCTAACCATTTTCGGGAAAAAAATTCGAGTAGGTGTGAAATTTTTCGACGAAAACAAAAATTTCAAATCATTTTGAAAAAATTATTTTTGGTTGCGGGGATCAATTACAATAATTTTTCGTGAATAGACACACCCCCGAAATCCTACGCATTTTCGAGAAAAAAAATTCAAGAATGTGGAATTTATCGTCGAAATTGAAAAATTTCAAATCGTTTTAGAAAAATTATTTTTAGTTACAGGTGCCAATTACAATCATTTTTGGTCAATAAACATACCCCCGAAATCCCACGCACTTTCGAGAAAAAAAATTCTTTATCGAAAATATAATCTGTGGCCAAGAATATTTCTGCAATTTCATTTTTTGTCTCATTTTCTCTTATGTTCATTTGTGTAATTTGTTGGTAATGTTGTGAGTGACGCGAACATGGTAATGGGGCTTAAAGCCCCATAATAATGGGCCTAAAAAATACATATATGGGGTCCACTCGTATACCTCGTCTATGATTAACAGGCTACCCGTCGATAAAGTGCTAACTGTCAAACCGTAAATTTTTTTTACGAGATCAAAACTTTGATTTCAGACAATTGTACGCTAGAGTACTTAAAATTTGTCTTGGTACTTATTTTCGTAATCTGGAATTCATGAATCCTATTCAAAAGTTTCTTTAACATCTCGACTTGAGAACGAGCTATTTTATTTCCAGTATGAAAAGTCCTGTCACCCATATTTGGATATGGATAACCAGACGATTAACCCTTTAACAATTTAGTACAATACCATATTGTTTATATAAATTATTAAGAAACGCGAACGGACTTGTTAAACGACCTAATATAATATGTTATTCGTTTTGTTATGTAAAACGTTACCCCTTTCAGCAGGATTACTGTCAAAATGGCGGCACGTGTAAATGTGGCGACGACGGTGGTTACAAATGTCACTGCACACCGGAATATACCGGACAAAATTGTACAGAGGTATGTTCTGATTATGGCTGAGACTTTTCCAACTTTTATATATTCGAATTGAGACCTTCTTGATAATGAAAATAGAGGATGGTCTGAACTCGTAGATATTCTAATTCGATTAAAATCATGCATATTAATACGAAATTGGAAGTTGCATGAAAGAGCACTCGGAAATCTGTGACAAAAACTATACCGATCTCTAATTACAATTACTACGAAGCAAACTATCGACCTAATTTTGAATTTTTCTTATTCAGACGGAGAACTTTTTGGGGAGTCAAGCGCTGGATATAGCTGTGATCGTTGGCCCTATCGTCGGGTGTCTCTTTCTCATTGCAGCAAGCTCTTTGATCGCGCTGTTCATGATGGCTAGAAAGAAACGCGCGACCCGTGGAACGTACAGCCCGAGCGCTCAAGAGTTCAGTAATCCGCGCGTAGAAATGGACAACGTGATGAAGCCGCCGCCGGAAGAGAGATTAATCTAAAAGAAGAAAAATTTGTTCCGCGACGATGGGACACGGTATGGTCGGTTCCTCGTCGACGAATCCTAGTCTTTTCAGAATACGCATACTTGCTGCAGTGCTCGTCGATCGGAGTAATAGGATCTGCAGAATTATCCTCTCGATAGAGCTGCTTTCGAACGGCGAGCAAGACAAATAATAAGGTTTCATCGCGACTTTCTAGTCCACGCTTCTTATTATCGTGTTATCGGGCCGACCCTAAGGAATCGAACGAACAGACCGTCGGATATGATAACGAGAGCGACGCTGAAGAGGAAACACGATTAGGGCTGCTATCGTAATTATGGGTTCGATTAACAGACGAAAACGAAAATCATCGAACCGCGCGTTAAAATTACGAACGATCGTAAAAGGACGATTTCGCGTGAAAAAGAAGAATGTGTTATATATATATATATATCACGTGTTTGCATATCGCGTAAGAGTGATATGGACGAATTGTGCAACTACACAAAGTGTACTTAAAGCTCCATTAAGTGTCCTTAACATACAAGCAATACTCGAAAGAAGCTCCTAAGCAACGAGACCCGTCCATTTTAGTGCCTAATTTACCCTACTTAAAAAGAGATTTTATTTATAAGCAGTGAATACGAAGAATTTGAAGGTACGCATTCCAGAAACGCGTTAAAACTATCGAGTGCGTATATTTCGGATCTCTCGAGCATAATAGTATTCATTACTCTTATTCTGCTCACTAGGTTCAAGGCAGCTGACGCAGATACGTTACGAATTATTAATAGCGTAGTTACATTACGATTTATTGCGAAGATATCGGAATCTTATTTGTAAAAAATGTCTAAAGGTTGTCTGTTACAACTTAAACGGTACTTATTGTCGGTGCGTTTCCACGTTTCGCATTATCGCCGCGCTTGTTAATTTTGTACATAAACTAGGCTATAAGTTGAAGAAATTATTAACGACTCTACCACTAGCATTTTATATAAATATAGTATTTAATAACGAATATTATTTGGTACGTAATTATTTACTACCACGACCAAAGTAATAGCGAGAATTTTTCTCGTCTGTTAATATAATTGATATAGAGCCGTAAAAAAAAAAATCATCTTTCAAATAGGATTTAGCATGTTAATAATTATAGCATGAATTCTGATTCTTTGTGGAAATAAAGACCTGTATTATTATTATTATTATTATTATTATTAGTTTTAAATACATCAACCTGGGTGTACTATTTTTCCGATGTATAAAATCTAAATTAATAAGAACCGTAATATCGTAGAAACAAAATTTTTAATCGAAAAATATTTCCGGTTACCGTCGTCGTGTATCGAGCATGCTTATTTCGCGCATGTTAATATTTAATAAATATAATGTACTCGACGCGTTGACCTCATATTTGATGTAGTAAATGCTGTATAGTGTAATGTGGTGTCGATAAAAAATATGGAAAAAATTTATTATGCGAATAATTTAAATTCAAAAAGTTAGGAATAACCATATTACACTATCGAGCTATAAACAGTAATATTCGTTCAACGTATACTGTAAAGTGAATATCATCAATGTTTTCTTCAAGACTGAAATTTTGGGTACTAAGAAGAATACATATATACGTGTGCATGCAATTTTCACGTACATATTTTGTGACAAAATGTGACAACATGCAATATATGTGGATCAATAATTATAATACTTTCAACAATTGAATGTACAAAAAACAATAAAAATTAAAATACTTAAAATGTTTCGTTTGAAATTTTCATAACGTTTATGTACGCGTAATAACATAGAAACATTGCTTTTGAATTATATACAAAAACATTTATTATTTTTCAATAACATGACTAGAAAGATTAGAATAATATTTACATATATATTTTATTATTACAAGATCATTTGCTTCTATTTTTTCGTTGAGTTGTGTAAAATCAACATCAACAAATTTTCTTTCCATTTATTTTGATTAATTTATCACGCGATAGTTTGTCAAAAAATAAAAGTCCAGCAGCACGTTCTATGCTCTCTGGTGGTACCTATTGAAATGTTTATATCAATATCAATGAACTTATAATATTCAATGAATAATAATGTACCTGAAAATTTGTTAGAGGAGTATCATCAGCTATACGAGTATTTGGCATTACAAATGCTTCCATTTCTAATGTCGAGTCGTGTGTTTCTACAACAACTATTTTATAAAAATGAGTAGGTACCGCCACGTGATTTGCACCAATAACTTCGTAACGTACATACTTCTTTCCATCTGCTTCTCTCCTGTAATGATAATGTATTTACACTATTTATTTAATCACCAAAAGAAATAAATAAGAAATTGAGACCTTTGCTTACTTTGGCAAATATAAAGGCCCTGTGCAAACATACACATTCTTATGAATGTTAGTTAAATTTCTAATATATTTTTCTAAACTATTCCAAGAATCCCTATTAAATCCTACACCCACTTGCGGTGCCATATTTGATAGAAAGAAAGTTTGTTCTATATGACGTTGATCGATTTTATGATTTCCTGCTGCTGCTAAATGCCCGCGATCGTATCCACTACGCTTATAATCGCTGTTCTCTGATCTGATCCCCCAAAAATTTATCAGAATATTAATTTTTAAATACTTACCTTTAGTAATTATAAATACTTACCTGAAATATGGATGTATACTTGGATCAGGTTTAAATTCACATTTATGACGTGATACTTCACTGTTGTGTTTTAATCTGTCTTTAGTTAAATGTTCAAACACCCAATGAGCCACCCTATTCCTTCTATCATAAGAAAGTACAAAATCATCGAAAGATTTAACATTGTCTAACCCAGGAAAACCATACTTCATAATCTATTGAAATATGAAAATATATTCTAATTTCCGATACATTTGAACTTCATATTATAAAAGGATATACATGTAATATTAAAATATCCATATAGGATAACTTATATGGTGTCCATCAATTTTAAATAGTTATTAGCATTCACGTAACGTTGAGGTTACGTATAATTAACGTTAACTTACTTCAGACACTCTTGTAGTTGACAATTTTGAACCCATATTTGTTTCGGTTTCCGCGGGAACGAATGCAGTGGCTGCAGAAACTGTTCCAAACAAAGGTAATCCAGGCATGTTTCTAATGTTTCTACCACGAAAAATACTCTTTTCGTTGTCATCTTTTTCTCTATTACACTGTTGTTTTTCTTCCAAATATGTATTATAATACCAATAACCGAATCCTACGTTGGCTAGACAACTCAGATTTAAAATATATTTCATAGAACCCTTCATTTTTCACTCATTAAAACTACTCAGTAATTACAACTTCGTACACGTTATTGATTGTTTATTATACATTACACAAGTGTACAAGCCCCTTGTGACTCTCAGTGGCATTTTATGGGACACGGATTCGCATGCGCAAAAAATCTGGCCCGTTTGTCAACAAGGTTAGGTATTAAATGACTGCTCTTTCGCTCCCCGGATAAAAAATTATTGATTCACTATTGAATTCGCACTTCAATACATTTTTTCGCGTAAATTCCGAAATTACGATTTAAATATGTGTTATCGATATTAGGCAACGTTGATGCCATTATAATTTTCGTGTCGAAAACGATCATAGCGCTTATTATGTTAGGAAATGAAACCATTTTCATGATTCATCATAACACGGACCGATTATAAAATTATGTAACAACAAATAACTTAATAAATAGATAAAAATATATAAATATTAATATGTATGTTAATTTTTGTTATAATAGGTTAAACGTTACCAATATTCTCTTTGAAAGTCGAGTTGTCTGCCATCTACCATGGTGTCGTTTAGGCGCCAATATTCCATGGCACCGTATTTCAATCAGAGACTGCCACAGAAATAAAATACAAATTAAAGTCAAATGCATTGCAGTAAGCATATCTAATCATAATTAAACAATAATTGATGTACAAGATACATAATTTCGTTTAGGGAGATATAATAAATTGACGCCGGTTAGATATCGAAGAAAACGCGCGAAACCCGATTCAGTTTTTGCTACAATCCCGACTCAATTTATAGTAGAAACGTATTAATATTACACGGAAGCACCGTTAAGGAGTGCAAGTAGTATTGACGACGAAATATGAACAGGTTAAAAATACGTACCTCGTTGGTCGCGAAACACCGACACGTCTTGACATGTCTGAACAAGTCTGAACATGTCTTACTAATGGCGCCCCCTCGCTGTACCCAGCATCGCTCGCGAATTAGCTCGGGGGGGTGAGGGAGGCTCCGATGTTTTCCGAAGCTTCTATTTCGAAAAGGAATTCCTTGACTTCGAATTCCAATAAAGTAGACTGTAACAGAAACAAAATAAAAATGCATTAAAGTACATGAACGATTATTATGATTGAGTAATGATTAAATCCTAACCGTATTGCAAGAGATTGAAATTAAATTCAGAGAGACGCGTTAATAGTTAACACCGGTCAAATGTCAGAGGAAAAGTACGAAACCGATTCTATATTTGTCATGATGTCAATTGAATTTAGAATAAAAAATGTATTAATATTATGCGAAAGCATCGATAGAAAGTAAACGAGAGTAGTAATGATGAAATATCAACAGGTTAAAATGCGCACCTCGTTGGTAGCGAAACGCCGACAAGTCTCGATACGTCCTACAACGTTGACTTTCAGATTACGAATGACGACCCCTCGCGGTACCCAGCAACGCTCGCGAAATAGGTGGGAGGAGAGCTGCGATATCTCGCGAAGCTTGGCTCGAGAAGGAAGGTTCAACGGTTCAACTTAAACCTTGTTTTCGAAACTTTGTTAATTCACGGGACTGAGGATGCTTTAGGTAGAAACCGCGAATATAACAAAACATTCCACGTACGTATACCTCGTCTGTATTGTAAAGAACAACATTAATGAATTTGTAGTTCATTTTACTGCCTGTTCGATCCTCCGAAAAATCGATGAAAGAATGAAAATGTATCCAAATTTAAACATGTCTTACTTTTATAGTCTTTATTAAAAATGTGTTTCATTCAAAAATTCTCAACCAAAAACAAATTAAAATATTTTATATTCTTCATTACATTATAATAACAGTTCCATAGTATTGTCATCTGTGTAATATCTAATAAATATAAAAATATAAACATGATTGTACTTAAAATGTTACTATTTCAACAATTTAAGTTTTATTTTTTTTTTTTTTTTTTGTTAAAAATGGTATTATAAGATTAAATAAAATAAAATTGATATATAACAATAAATTGTAATCCTTAAAAATTAATGTAGAAAATTAATGTGATCGTTTATTTAAATACTTTTATTCGCTACAACACTCGTCTGAATCTTCGGCTAAAATTATGTCGTATCCAGGTAATGTTCTTGGATCAAATGTTTTTTGAAAACATTTCTGAAATATTAAACGGGCTTTTTTAGTTGGTGGAGGTGGTGAATCTGGTACTTCGTCTTCTAATAGAACAGATACATCGTTGTCTTGTCTTTGTTCCGTGTCCGTTTTATCGTTACTAGACTTTCTTTTTATTACTGTAGAAAATACAGAATTCACTAATTTCTTTCTACTTGTGGATGTTTTACCGAGACTTGTATTTATATTGTAGCTACACGATGGCGCATTGCGAGATTCCTCTCGCGTATTTTGTTCTGCTGGCAAGTAGTTGTCTTCATTCTTATTTCGATCATTTCTTAAACCTCTGTTAGGTACACTCGGTTGTTCGTTAACTTTCTCTTTAGAAATACCTCGATTTAAGTCGTTTGTTTGTTCTATTAAATGTGGGTGTATATTTTTAGCATTAGCATTTTCTAATGTTTTATTGATATTCGGTGACTTATTCTTTATTTTACTTGTAGATTTGTTGTTTGGTTTTCTAGAAACTTGCTTTTTCTCTGTTCTTCGTTTTCTAGATTTGTCCTGCTTACTATTTAGCGTTGTTTCGGTTTGACTTTCGGTATCAGAACTTAACGTGGACAATATTAAATTTGCCTCAAATGATGAGGTTTTTAATGAAAATATAACTGGTCTGAAAAATATTAGTGTACATTTATTTGTATATAATCGAAAGAATATTGGTATTTAAATTATTTAGTTCTTACTTTCCAGCTTCTGTAAAATGTATACCAATTGGAACAGCTACGAATTCTGCAAAACCCAAAATAGCTTTAAATTCTTTCATACAAAATGTAATTGATGTATCACAAGCAATATTATATTGGTCAAATTCCCCTTTGCCAAGAGCAAGTTGTGTCCTTGTTGTATTTGACAAGCCTGGAACGAATATAAAATTGTATCTAACAAGAAAAAGAAATAACAATGTAACATATTGTTTACATAACAATTTACCCGAAGTATCATCTACATAATTTCTAAGTAAAAGTTTTTGCAACGAAACTTCCAATGTTATTTCAATCAAATTTTGATGAAAATTATGCATAGCACCTCCCAATACCCGTGGCTGAGAAGACAGTTGATTTGATGCAGAATCTTTATCATATGCAGTCTAAAAAATACAAGTAATAATGAAAATTAAGAAATAATTCAAAACTATTAAAGATATGTAAGACATACTTGCAGCATTTCACAATCTAATATGGGTAACAAATGCGTTTTGGTAACACCATTCTTGTATTTTAAAATAAATAATATTTCAGATGCATCTGGTTCTAATCTTATGTGACATGTTTCCACCTGTTTATCTATTAAATTAGTTGCTTTAAATACTGTCATGGCACTCTGTAAAATATATTTATTGGCTCATTTATAATTTTGTATAAGAATATATTAATTATTATTACCCTCATTGAAATTTTACATTTCAATGCATCGTCCTCTTGTAGATCACCAAAAACATAACATGAGAAATAGTTTTCAAACACTGTAAAGTCAGCGTATGCTGAATTTGCCATGTTAACAGTACGAAATGACAGAGTATTCCTTTGTGGTTCTATATACATTTCATCTCCAACTTTTGCCAATGCATGTATAGCTTTTGCCAAAACTATTGAAGATATATAAAAACGTTTCTTATTATTGTAAATAATTTTTGAGGTAGAGATTGATAAAATATAACCTAAATAAAGACATATAGAACATACTTTTCACATTTACTCCCGGTACAACACATTTCATGTTGAACTTGGTTTATTAAGCTATTTATTGTTGAGTAAGCATCAAGTATTATTTAATTTAAGATGCGATTGGTAAAGGGAAGTAAAAGATTTCATAATATTACGCGCGTTTAGAAATAAACCAGCGACACCTTTACGGAGAACCAATCGTAACTCAGAAATGTACGTATAAACATTTGTAACGTACGATTATAAATAAATAATATAAATGACGTATAATCATGAATGAAAATCTTATAAAATAATTCGTTTTATAAAATAAATATAAACTGGAAATAAGAACACGAAATTCATATTTTAGCGCATTGAATGAAAAGAGTATATCGATAAGCACACATTCTCTCGAATCTCGAGAATCGAAGGCCGTGTATGTATAACTGTGTGTATACTTTCTAGTATCGTGTTTGACGTTTTAATGGTATTCAAATTTTGCTGTTAGCAAATGCAATAAATTGAATATCAACGGTCCAAAATATATAACGGCTATAGAAATATTATTAAATAAATCATGGTGAGCAGATAAAGTCGAATGTTGCTGATAAAAATTAAATTATTACAATTACCACCTTACCCTTGTAAATTAACCTCAAGAAAGATCAATGCTTCATAATGAAGCCATTCATTTCTTGTAATTATATGCTATTATTAATAAATTCATATTACATATTTTGAGAGTATTCCCATATAATTTTGGTGATGATTCAAACATTTATTGTACCTACCAAGGAAAGAAAATTATTTTAAACTAATTTCATAATTATAGCTTGTTTTAGTATTGGGAGATTTGCACATTCCACATAGATGTAGTAGCCTTCCAAGTAAATTTAAGAAATTATTGGTGCCTGGTAGAATACAGCATATTTTATGTACAGGCAATTTGTGTACAAAAGAATCGTATGATTATTTAAAAACATTGGCTAGTGATGTACACGTTGTTAGAGGAGATTTTGACGAGGTATATATTATTTAAAATATTCAGATAATTATTCAGAAGCACTAAACGTTTTTTTAATCTTTCTTGTAGAACTTAAATTATCCAGAACAAAAAGTTGTCACTGTTGGTCAATTTAGAATAGGATTATCACATGGACATCAAGTTGTACCTTGGGGAGATCCAGAATCGCTAGCCTCAATTCAAAGACAGTTAGATGTTGATATCTTAATATCAGGCCATACACACAAATTTGAGGCATATGAACATGAAAATAAATTTTATATTAATCCTGGCTCTGCAACAGGAGCATATAGCCCTCTTGATACGTAAGATTTTTTTAAATTAATAATGTATCATTTATATATTTGCAAATATTATATCTAATATGTTTATTAAATATTTGAAAAATTTATTCTATTTAATTTTAAAGTGAATATTTATACTTTATAGATCAGTCATCCCATCTTTTGTTCTAATGGATATTCAAAGTTCAACAGTAGTAACTTATGTATATCAGCTTGTTGGCGATGAAGTGAAAGTTGAAAGAATTGAATACAAAAAAAGTTAAAATTGTATAAAAAATTCAAAAATATACATACATGTTACATGATATGATACATATAATTGATATACATAAAACTGAATACTACTCTACCTCTATGATTCATATGAGGTTACAGGTGCATTTGAATTAGCATTAGCACTTATATAAGAATTTTAATTGTATGATACGTTTATTGTAAATAAAATTACAACATCGGCTATGAATTTCATTCATACTTCATTTAATACTTTTTTGCAATTTAGTTTATATAATTATATGTTATTTATCAAAAATGTTTATTTTCCGTCGTTTATTCAGTTACACGTATGTATACTTAAGGATTCTGGTGTACCGCCGCCAAAATGACAATTTTATTATTGGTACATAAATAAATGAAAATCAGACGTCTATAATGTCGTTATGTCGATAAGATATAATTTTGGTTTCTATTGTCACTCATATTTGCATATTTCAATAAAGTCATCATTGAAGTAGACATAGTGTCTTATTTATCGTGAACACGTTAATTATCTTTCTTGCTATTAACGATATGACAAAATAATTAATTGTAAAATAAAGTTGTACGTTTTAAAATGGCGAATGTTGTGATAACAAAATACTTTTTTTCCAAAGGTTACCAAAGATTTTTCATATATCGCATATTTTTTATCATGTGGATTTATAACTGTTATTAAAACAAGTTCGGTAACCTGACATGTTATCCTTGAGAGTCGAGAAACATGTTTCAGCAAAAAAAATAAAAATAAAAATAGAACAAGAGGAAAATAAGTTGACTTTCTTTACTAAATGTCCCCACTCCTCTTAAGATACAATTTTCCTTTAGACAATATTTCGTATCTTCAGTAGCAACAGAGTCAATTAAGAGCTAACGATAAATGGAACATCCTTTATATATTTATTTCCAGTTTGTTCCAATCGTGTAAAATCATGTCTGTAGTCACGTACGCGTATTTACGTTAAAATGTCACGTTTAACGTAACCTAGTTCTGCGATTCATCGAAATTTCTTTGTATGTAAAATATATTTACGTCTGACTATTACGCATTTCAAAGTAATCTGTATCTTTGTGCCGCAACTATATTTGTCTTCAATATACGTCAATTAGCCATCAAATTGTTTCCTATCAGTGCCTAATGATAAGACTGGATATAAGTGTAGTACATAAACAAAGTGCAGTACCCTAATTATTGATTAGATAATTAGACTTTTGTAGAATGAATGTTTGTTTATAAATATACAAAGTTTTCGAATATATGTATGTATACATTTGATAAATTAACCGGAATATTATTTTGAAATCATATTAAATTTAAAAATGATCGAAGATTCTATCGCATACAAATACTCGTTAATACAAAAGTTATAGGATACAAATTGTTTACAGATCTTTCTATTTTGTTGTAAAAAGATGGTATATTAATAAAATTAATTGATAAATTGTTAGTTAACTCATTTATTTTATATAACTATTTTATAGGTTTACATATGGTGTATACATATGTATTTGTAATTAAACGTATTATTTTATTTTTATCAGTCTTTACCAATTTCTTCGTAGTCTTTTATCACCATATACGTTTATGGTTTTTATCTGCGAAAAGCAGGGAACGTGTACAACCACTCGTAATCGAGGGAAAGCAAGAAGAAGGAGAGCAAAACGTTCTTGCGCATGCGTGATAGCTAAAGAGGGGGAATTATTAGCCGAAGCCGACCCATCAAAAGGGGCCCAGTATTCTTTATTTAGAATTCAGTTTCAAACAAGCCTTGGTGGTTGTAGGACCAATGTATTGGCATTCACTTCTGTGGTAATATTATTGAAAAAAGAACAACATACTTTCACATTTCGTGTTAAAATGGCAACGTTATTACGAATGGGTCTGCGATATGGAATATCGAACCGAATCCTCGAGAAAAGGGCTATTTCATTTGTGTGCAATGGAGTAACGCAGGGAGAGCAAAACATCGATCAACCAAGTACGAAATTACAGGTAAATTTTGCTACTCGTATTATAAGAAATAAAGATTTTTAAATTGTTATCATTATAGTATTAATAATTAAATTATCATGTATCGGTTAATTTAGTTTAATTCAATTGGTATTAAACAGACTTGCATTTTATATATTCCATTGTCCGATGCAAATGCTTAAATTCTTTATGTAAAGGTAAATGGCACAAATTAGATCAGAATTATAGGATTCGAAAATAATGACTTTCATCAGTCACGTATACATGTACCACTTTTATCTCATGAACGTGATCTCAATTCATAAAATTTATTTTTAATTTGTACAATCAATGTTCCGTAAAAATAAATAAGAAAACCACCTTAAATAAATAATGAAAATAAATTCACCTTGTTCGAGGATAAATTCAATTTGATTTACCATATTGTCGATATTTTAGGTTTATAAACGTATAATAAGTTCACAGTGAATGTTTATAATTTAGTAACTAAATGCATGTATACAGGCTTTATTGATAATTGTTATTTTCTTTAAATTTCTTTATCGCTTGGTTCGCTTTATTGCAAAATATGTTTGACCTTGAAAGATTCCAGAACACTTTCATTTGTAGTATTTACACCCTTTATAAATATTCTTATTAGTATCCTATATTTAGACTTTCTACTGCATAAATCTCGTATGGCACTGAATTAGCTATTACGGTAAAAGAAACTGCTTGTCATAACAGAGTTCATTAAACCGATGTGACCTAACACGAGCCGGTATCTTTATTTACGTTGTTGCAATTATGTAATTACTATAAACTGATATATCAGCCTGATATCGTAGTTGAATTGTGTAATTTGTAAAATAATTTGTTATCCGCTGTACACGTAAATTTGTTTCGTTTGTAGTACCATGAAATTGCACGACGAATGTATAGCAAGAGAAGCGTACATCACACGGGACTCTCGGCGTCCATAGACCACCAAGAAGAAAGCGATAGTGACTCGGACAATGAACAAGACAGAGTAAGTAAGGCCCTTTTCTTTCAAAACATTCTTATTTCTTATCGTATTTCGAGAGTTTATCTGTATTAGCTAATTTTTGTGGGGGGTTAGTCTCTGTGTGCTTGTAACGATAAAAAGGACGATCTTTTATGTGGAATACCACCACTGAGAAAAATTTTAATGCGAGATTGTAGAGGCCAAAATAAGGCAAAAATCAAGAATATCAATTTCTTGACTGAGGCTTCGTTAAAAAGTTATTAACAATTAAATTAAATAATTCCAAATCGTTCTGGAAAAATTATTTTTGGTTGCAGGGGTCGATTAAAATCATTTTTGGTCATTACACATATCCCCGAAATCCTACGCATTTTCGAGAAAAAAATTCGAAGAGGTGTGAAATTTTTCGATGAAAAAAAAACATTTCAAATCGTTCTGGAAAAATTATTTTCGGTTGTGGGGGTCAATTACAATCATTTTTGGTGAATAGACATACTCTCGAAATCCTGCGCATTTTCGAGAAAAAAATTCAGTACGGGTGGAACTTTAAATGTTAATAACTTTTTAACGAAGCCTCCATCAACAAATTGGTATTCTTGACTTTCGTCATATTTTGGCACCTAGAATACCCCATTAAAATTTTTCCCAGGAGTGACCGAACACCCTGTATGTATAATATTTAATTAATAATTAAAATTCTCTAATCTTTACATTACATAAGAGCGAAATGAAAATTATATATATGGTAACAGGATCAAGTAATAACTGTTAGATCACTCTACATATTGATTTTAGTACTAGATTCCCTTGTTTTTTTGTTTCTGACCTTGTGTGACCTCGACCATTATATTGCGTCGTAATCGTTGAACTCGTTCAACGTCCGCTTTCATTCAATATTAAAAAGTTTAGCGTTTCGTTAGGGATAATTCATCATTATATTTCGACAGTTATTGCGAATTTTGAAAATAATTTTGAATGTATCGTGTTTCCTACAAAACGTAATGAAACCCTAACTTTTACCATTTTTTCTTTTTCGTTATTATTTTATAAGAAAACTGTTACACAACAACAACACAACCACCATATACACAGATCCCATGGAACAAGTTTTCTACCGAATACATTACGCAAGATACGTGAACCTACATATGTTACATTCTTTTATTATTCAAATATCTTACATTTGAACTCACCTAAAAGTTTCATAATACCAAGCCAAACATTGCACAAACACTGTTAGACAGTGTTGTTTAACGAATTAGTAAATATGTTAAGACAAGTGCCGCTTTCACAAAGGAAAGCGATCAAGTATTTTCTTAGAAGTTGTTGCGTGGTTATTCTCCTTCTCGTCTACGATATTATAATTTATAAGTTAAATAAACGAGTGGTTTATCGTGATCATCAAATTTTACTCGTAATATGTTTTCCTTTAAAAGAAACTGCGTTTCTGGGACCATTTTTTTAAACATACAACACAATGGAAATATATTTAAAGCTGTCGCGTCAACTGTGACATCCTGTATATTCAAATGGATCGATAATGCATAAATTTTGATTTAGTCACCGCATAGCAATCGAATACGATTTTCGAAACATGAAAATTTATTGTCCTTCGCATCGGAAAACATGTTTTATATTTAGTCAGCACTTGTTCCTTTTCTTTATTTAATTGCATGCTCGAACGATGTCTTGTATAGAGAATGTTACAATAGTGGGGGTCACCAAGTTTAATCAACTGTATACTGTAAGTCCAAAATGAAAATAACGGTACGCGTAAAGGCGCTTACGCCAATGCATATTAATTAAAAAGAGAGGACCATATCTCTTTTAGATATTTCTAGTATATTCAAACAAAATTTTTGATATCCTAAGTCGAAGCCCTTGTGAACATTAAACGCTGGTCCAGATGGCCCGACTGAACCCTATTTCTCCCCTCGCTATAATAGGGCGTGCATAAGACCTTAATTATTCAAGTATGACGTGCGTACTACGTATCAATCCACAAGCCTTCGGTTGGTCAACGACACTGAATCGTGTATTCTTATGTTAACTGATCAAATTTGATCACCTAAAGACCGTGTAGGAGACGTCATATCTATAATTTCTTTTTGCTAAAACGAGACCAAGAATACAAATTTTAATAAAGTAATGTATCGCGTCTATCCATTTTAATAAAATTATATAAATACTTTAGGGGCAATCAAATTTCTGGAGACGAAAAATGCGAACCTTGCACAGTCATTTGGATGTTAATAAAGACGGGGTTATCAGCTATGACGATTTTATGTTACTTGGAGACCGATTTTCTGAGTTAGGACATTTAACCCCAGAATCTAAAGCTGAATTTAAAGAAGTATTAAACGTAAGTATTTTACATACATATTTTATGTTCATTCTTCGACAAAACGTGTCACGTTCATTTTCTTTAAATATAACAAGATATTATGTAAAAAATGAACACATTTATACATCATTTCATCTAATAAAAATAAGGAACGTTTAGCGGTTTCGAAAAAAAAAAAAAAAAAAAATAAAAAAAGAACAAGAATCATTCGATATATGTACATGTCTGTATATACATATATATTCATCTAGGAAATGTGGGAGGAACAGTGGGGTGAAATCAGTCCATATAATCTCATTTGTATTGAAAAATATCTGGAAGAAATGCACCATGTTCTTAATGATTCATCATTAAAGAAAAAATGTCATCACTTCTTACCTTTCTTATTCAAAGTATGTATTTAAAATGTATATATTTAGATAAATTAATATCTATTAGAAAATACATATTTTATGTACACTTGCAGGCAGTGGACAAAGATCAAAGCGGCGAAATTTCTGTAGAAGAATATAAATTATTCTTCCAATGCTTAGATCTCACGCACGATGTAAGTAAAATATTATTTATTCTATCGTGATATTGAACGTAAAACTAAAGTAAAAGAGTTAATTGAAACTCTTATTACAGCATGCAGTTGTTTCCTTCAGTCACATTGATACTAATGATGATGGGAAAATCAGTTTTGAAGAATTTATATCACTAGGTCGTGACTTTCTCTTGACGGAAGATCCTACAAGACCCAGTAAACACTTTTGGGGCCCATTAGTGGATTAAACATTTATTTTGTTTACCCTGCAACTTGTGATATTACGATACTGTTCGTTATCAATTTTTACAATTACATATAAATTTTAAGCTTGTAGAATGTTTAGGTTACTGATCATCACTTTTTATAGGATTAGTCAACATTAACACGTCCACTACGGTAATTTTTCTCATAGTCAACTACGTTCATTACTGCATTTTCATCTTTGACAATACGGAAAAAATGTATCCCGTAACTTTTCATTTACGCCCCTATAAAGTTACCTATAAATGAAATGTACAGTAGTGTCCGTTTATATGTAATCGTGTCGGGACCGTATTATGTCATATACATATCTGGGGAGGTGAATTTCTAGGCATTATCGGACCTTGGCTTCTCGTGTTACCGTCGCATCGTGCGTGCGAGATAGATAAGAGTGCGAAGCAGGGGAAGGAGGGAAAGCGAGCGAGAAATACAAAGATAGATAACTTCGAGACTTGCCACGAACGAACAGTTCCAGGAAATGATGGAGATAACTCGATGTCACATAAGCGGACAAATTTTGTGTCACATAAACGGGCACTACTATAACTCGTATGAAACAAAGGTACTACGATAGAGGCTTACATACTCCGTAACGCAGTGAACGTGTTAAATATAGAATATAAATTTTTTTATTTACATTAGAAAAAAAAAAATATATATTTCAAAAAAATCTTATATACAAAGAAAAAGAATATTTTTTATGGAAATGTTTCTAAATATTTTAATGGTTTAGGAACTCCTATAACAATTTTATATTAAAAAGTACAACAGTTTAATAAGAAATACAAATACTCACTTTTACAAATGTACGTAATTATAAGAAAATAAATGGACTGAGAATTGTTCAGTCACATGCTTGAATTTCTGAGAGAGAAACCTTCACCAGTGAAAGCTTTAAATTCATCCGGGCCCTTTACCTACAACAATGTTTTTTAACTCAATGATATTGTGTAAAATAATGTGTTCCGTTTTTATATACAAGGATTCGTTAAAATTGGAGCACAACATATTACAGTAGTGCCTACTTAAGTGTCCACGCTCGGGACCGGCCGCGGACGTTTATGCGGGCATGGTTACTTCTCAGAATTCTGACTTCTAAGACTTGGCGGGAATAATCGCGGACATTTAAGTGAGCAAAAATGCGATCACTTATGTGGGCACTACTGGTATATGGTGTGAAAATAATTTGTACCATACCTCCTTATTGTTAACAGGTTTAATACTGCGCAAAAACGTAAGAGTTCCTATTTCATACCCGTAATCTGGTATTCCCCTAATATATGTTGGTTTACTTGTAGTTGTTTCTGATTGTGCAGAATCTTTGCGTTTCTTGCCATCCAGTCTGTTACCTTGACCTTTGAATGGTACAAAACCAGCTGGTGCTGGCATTAAATCTGCAAGATCCACTTCATTTTCATCTTTTTTAATTGCTGTCTTGGGTTCTACATAGCCAACTGGTGGAGCAAATTCGACATTCATATCACATTCTATAATAGTGACTGCTGGATCAGGTTTTGTTTCGAGAACACACATTTCGTATATTCTTTGATTGTATTTTATGGCTATAACATCGCCCGTTGTAAGACAAGCAAAGCTTCTTAATCCATTTTCTAAAACAGCTTTAGGATTTGTAATATCTAGAAAATCTTCAGATTGCGGTTGAAAGCGTGAGAATGTTGCAACTGGTAAAGAAACACTTTCAACATTTATTAATTCTGCTTCTTCCAATAAAAGATTATGCATCATCTGCAATCACATCATGACAAATATATATAGTGTGATTCCACAAAGGATGATTTCTTTATATTAACACTCCAAGTAATTATTTTCCATATGGTTAACAATACTTTTTCAGCGGATAATAATATATTCATAAATATTATTTACCCAATAAGGTAAATAAACTTTTCCTTCGTCCGCAACAAATTCCAAAACACCACAGTGGGTTATTCTATTGGTCTTCTTATTAGTTAATTTGAATATCATTGGGTAATTAATATTCAATCTTGTAAGCTGTTCCAAAGCTGACGGTGGCATAATTACTATAAAAAATATAAATAACATGTAATTTCTTGCTTATTCGATGGATAAGTTATAAGGTAACACAAATACATTTACAGACTTTTTCCACCGCGTTCGACATCTTGTCGGTATGTACCAGGTAACATTGACACGGAGAAACATTTATACTGGGTGTTGAAAGGTCGTGGAATCTCCGGAAACATGTTAAACCCAAACTGAAAGCGGAAAGCCATTTTTGATAAACAACTTAACCTCACTTTAATATAGCTTTATATTATAAAGCCCGTTGAACGGACGTATCCCTTCGTTATTTTTCGTCTTGTTTTCACTATTTTTTTACCATGTTTACGTTATTTCTCTCAGCACTCCTTCAACGTTTAAGGACAACAATTTCGTTTTAGAAACGTGTAAATTTGGATCAAGGTATAGCTCTGACATGCACAGTCATACACACAATGTGTTACACGGATTTCTGCCATTTAAGGGGAGTATGACAAGCAAAACTTGGCGCCCTCTCCTTCCAAAGTAGGAATGAATAATCATTTGGCACAAAGTGCCAAAATTTTAGACAAAAAAAGGTGTTCTATCTTGACAGTATTTAATCAGTTAATAATAATTGCAAAACATATTTTAGTGGTAGGAATGTTAGATACCAAAACATTCTTCTTCAATTATTGAATTTAGAAGGAAAAATAGATAATTTTGAAAACTGAAGCATATTTGTCTTAAATTAAAAATATTGAATAATAACAAATAAACCTATGCTTCTGATAAACAAATACGAAAATAGAAATGCAATATTGGTAAACTTGGTTGTTCAAACGACCATAATTGGATATTTTATCCTACACCAGGGGTAGTGAACTGACGGTTCGTGAGCTACCCCTACTTTCCTGTGCTACTCAAGCGCAGAAGAACTTCCTCCCCTATACCTGTTGTGCAGAGTCTGAGTGGGACGAATGGGCTCGCTTGGCGTTTAATAATAAATAACTAGTATGGATTCCAAATTGCTACTAACAATACATTTAAAATTAACATCATTTCCTTATGACATACTGCAAAATGATCTTTTCAATAGCCATGTAAAATTATTGTGCTTACGCGAAAAGAAGGCTAGATTTTGTTGACATCCCCACTCCAGTCTCTAGTATGTATCTAAAGTACCTTAAATCTATACGCTGATCGCTGGGGAGCATAACCTAGACAACTGTTCTTTGTATGCGTCGTCAGAATCGAAAAATCAAAACTCTGAACTTGTTTACTTTTAGTGATCTCAATAATTGACCATGACTGATGGTGTATCACGTGCTATAGAGCACTATTACAAAGTGTCACTGTGTGTTATCTGTGGTGTTGTTTAACAACAGACATCGCGTGTCCGTCTTTGGTAACAGAGCGTAGCAGTTTGAAATCGACATTAGTTTGTTTAATTTTTTATGTTTATTAGAGAAATTATATATAAAGTAATTTACACAAAATGGTGTCTTGTTGCGTGCCAACTTGTGGAAATTCGTCGAGAAAATTTAAGTTACATGTTTTACCAAAAGACAGGGAGGTAAGCTCCGTGCCTAATATAATTCGCAATTTTATTTATAATGGTATATTGCAGTTGTCTTATGTTGAGTTAATAACGAATGGTAAGTAAAATTGATAAGAAACATAATGAAAAATGTTGTTTCAGCTTAGGATAATATGGTGTTTAGCCATATGTAGGAAAGATTTAATTGACATAGATTTACAAACAAGAAATCGATACAGAGTGTGCGAAATACATTTTGATGAACAAGAAAAAATTGGAGGACCTTCCAATCGAAGGCATTTAAAATGTACTTCGTGTCCAACTTTGAAACTTCCAGGTTTGCTTAAATAAAACTAATGATTAACGAATAACAAAAATAAAGCCACAATAGGTATAAAAAAAAAATAAATATCAGAGTAAACATTTCTATGTCATAAAATTGATGAAATAACTGTTTTGATTTTTATTGTTATGTGCATGTTTGCTTGAACAATAATTTCTTTGATTGATTTGTACTTTTTATTTTGTTTGTTTGTTTATTAAAATATCTTATTTTTTATTTATTAATTCTTACATTGTGATTATTATTTTGTATAAGTTATTTATCCTATTATAGCTAACAGGGTTGATTACATTTTTATCTAGATAACAAATAAATGTTTTTTCTATGCTTTGCAAATAAAAATTTATTCGAATAATGTAAAACGGCGAATGTATTCCGTATGTGAATAATAAAACTATCTATTATACATTAGAGACTTTTGTATTATATTGGTCCTGTAATCGTATAAATATTGGACTGTCTCAAATTACCCGAACTCTTACATTTTACGGACGTTTGACGTTAGGATCAATATGAAATAAATTCAACTCATTATATAATTAAATCGTAACAGTTTTTACTGTGGTATTTAATACATATCATATTTTTTTACATGATAATTGAGTAAATTTTCCTTTATAAAAACTTATAATGTGGCAACAATAAGTATCATATTTCTTTACATCGGAATAGAATATATGGCAAAGAACGTTAATAATGTAAATATTATTAACTTTGCTAAGAGATCACTATAATTATGCTAAGCAATTGATACCAATTATAATTCATATATATATGAATTAAAAACAATATTGTCTTTGATTTTGATATTGGTAGCTACACTGCCAGCAGTGCTTTTATAAAAATAGCATGCAAGATTAAATGCATCATATATAAAGTTCATATTTGTATTCTAGTATTGTTTGTGTACTGGAGTGTATATTTGAACATTACAAGGCAAAAGGTGGTTCAACTCTTTAACCATTGGTAGAAATACGAAATTATTTTGTAACATCATGTATAGCATTTGCAAGGTATTCTACATTCTTTGATGTTACTCCAGCCATGGATATTCTGCCATCTTTTGTCAAGTAAATACTATAATTTTTCGTAAGTTTTTCTACCTGTAAATCGAATATTACTGTTAATGATTTTCAACACATATTATTAGTATTACACGCAAAAGGCAGTAACAAAGGAAATTGTTTGTACCTCATTGGGTTTAAGACCAGTATAACAAAACATTCCAATTTGATCTGTAATGTGTGTCCAGTTACGAGAGCTACCAAGGTTTTTAAGATTATCGCTCAATTTTTGGCGTACAGAAATAATACGGTCGGCCATTCCCTTTACATCATGAAGCCACTGTTCTCTTAACTGGGGATCTCCTAATATTTCATTAACAATTCTAGCACCGTTAATAGGCGGATTAGAATACATTGGCCTAACCAAAATCTTTAATTGCGAAAGTGTCCTATCTCTTTCTTCCTGATTCAAATTGACCAATGTAAATGCTCCAACGCGTTCACCTATTTAAAACTATATTAAAAATTTCCATTTCTCATAAACATTATCATTAAATGTTACATTTACATATTTACCATATAAACCCATATTTTTGGCATAAGATTGGGCTAAAGCAATTCTATGCCCGTCTTTAAGAAATAATTTAACTGCCAAAGAGTCTTTTTCTATGGATCCTAAAATTTTACATGAATGTTTTTAAACATATTAATTTAATTATTCCATCATTCACTTTTTGTTTCATCCTACCTGAAGCAAATCCTTGATATGCCATATCAAAGAAAGGGAAAAGATTTTTTTTCTTTACTATTGTTGACAATTCTTTCCATTGTTCAGGTTTAGGATCAACTCCAGTAGGATTATGTGCACATGCATGGAGGAGAATAATGGATTTCTCTGGAATTTTCTATAAAAAATAATATTATAAATAGAACTTAGTATGTAACATTTTTTATATCAATTATTATACTACTTACAGATATGTCTTCTAGTGCACCCTGAAAATCTAATCCACAAGTTTTTGGATCATAGTAACGGTAGAATTTTACTGGAAGCCTGGCTAACTTAAATATAGGAGCATGGTTTCCCCATGTAGGTGTTGGCAAATATACTTCTTTATTGCCGGGGAAAAAATGTGATAAAAAGGTTGCTCCTATACAAAGTGAACCTGTACCAGAAATCCCTTGAATGGTAGCATTCTAAAAAATATTAGTTATGATTAACAAAAATAATTTTTCTGTGTCATTGGCAGATATATAATACATACCAAACCATTTGAAACTACATCATTACCATCTCCAAGTGCCAAATTAATACTATGTTTACAAAATTCAGCATTTCCTGCTATTGGTGAATATTCTTTATCCATTTCCTTATTTCTAATTTTATCTTCTGCCTACAATGAATTTGATAACATTACACAGACAATTCATTTATATTATATCATTGCTGAACATAACTTTCTTTAAGTTACATATATTTTAATTAAACATAAATTTAACAATACCTTTCGAACACTTGGTAAAACAAATGGTTTGCCATTATCATCTCTATAAGCACCAACTCCCAAATTAACTTTCTTAGGATTCTGATCTTTCTTAAATGCTTCAGTAATACCCAAAATTGCATCAGGTGGTCCCATTTCTACATGAGACCACCATGAACTATAATAAAATAGCTGTTTTAACATAATTATTGTATGATTTCCAAACAACTGTATCAAAATTTCTATGTATGAAAAGCTTTCATTGTTTAGAGAAAATACCTTTATTTAACAAATTATTTGAACATATATACAATTATACACAGTAATGAAACGATACATATATGTATATATACTAAAAAGTATTATATACATACAATAAACAGTATCAGAAGTAAAATGCATATATGGAAAGATACTGCACAGGTCAATGATAAAATACCATGTGTATATTGATTGTCTTCATAAAAGTATATTAATTTATTTTTTAATTAACAAATTGCTATAAGGTTTTTAACACGTTGTGTTTTAGTTTAACTGTACAATGAAATCACTCGTACTTTAATAATATATATACCCCGTTTTTAAATAATTGATAATTTATAGCAATGCAAAGGTTAAAAGGTCGCTTAATTACTTTTGAATATGAACCTTACCTCATTGATCTAATGGTATGTAAGCTAACATTGCAATTGTTTTTATACAAGTTGCATACAGATAAAAGTGAAGTGAGTCTTGTGCTCTGTGACATTTTGTTAATAATGTGATAAAATATAGATCCAACGTTTCAATTCACTCTATCCAGCACTGGACGCAACTGCTGACGTTTGCTTCATCTATATATGGTATAGTTACAATACGCTCATGCGCACATATAAAACTGTGCCGTGATGGCGATTTACTGTTTTGCCACATTTATCGCAAATTATACATCTCATAATTGATACGTGTCTTATACTTTATTTTATATAATCATGACGCATCCCCTTCGTTCGTATAAGTTACGTAAATTCATGTGAAATGTACACAATTCATTAGTGTGCGATTATAGCAAACAGTCGTTATCATGTCGCATTTATTACATAAAAGTATTTATATATTATCAAATTAACCTTATCTATAATCTACTGTATATAGTAATACTTAGTATGTAATCATGCATGAACTCTCTCGATTACTACCTCCGCCTTATACGTACAAAGATTAATATCTACAGATACACATCCAGCAAAAACAAGTCTTACAGTAAATATATCATATATTCGTATTATTATTTTATACGTCTTTTTTTACGTATTTAGTTTATTATTATGTATATAGCACGTGCAGGTTTATAATTGTTAATAACAAATACGTATTAAGTTTTTGCACGAATGCGACTAATCGTATGGTGATAATCGAAAGTCGTCTTTGAAGAACGCGATTCCTGACGTAATAGACATCTATGTAGACCCGACGCTGTAAAATATAGATTCCATCTTATATCGTGATAGAATTGCACTGATCGTACTTGCAAGCGCTCCATAAGATACAGATATACAGGGTGTTCGGTCACCAAAGGGAAAAATTTTAATGGGAGATTCTAGGAGCCAAAATAAGAAGAAAATCAAGATACTAATTTGTTGATCGAGGCTTCGTTAAAAAGTTATTAACGTTTAAAGTTCCGCCTGTAGAATGGCAATCTGCGATAGTGGTTCTCATTCAGCATGAGAAACTCTACTTACTGACGTATCGACAGCCTTACAGTTTTGTGAGTGAGAACCACTATCACGCGTGCGCAGTTGTTCGCAGATCGTCGTTCTACAGGCGGAACTCAAAACATTAATAACTTTTTAACGAAGCCTCGATCAACAAATTGGTATTCTTGATTTTTGTCTTATTTTGACCTCCAGAATCTCCCATTAAAATTTTTTCCAGGTGTGGCCGAACACCCTGTATGTATTTAATGAGCCAACGATATAATTTGTGTAATAGGGTAAATATCCAATTACTGTCATCTGACCGACCAATTCTAACAATAAACAAATTTAAAAGACTATGTAGAATGCTTTTGTTTAATAGATTATTTCCTGCGACCTGTTGCTGTTACAGACAATTTAAGTTAAAGATAAAATGTAGGTACGTAAAATTGTGTACATGTAACTGCAACAGGAACTTATTGGTAGATGATATTCAACATATATTAATAAATACGATCAAATATTGTTAGTTACTTTTAAAGGCTTTAATTCGTGAAATAATCTTTTAACGGATATTCTTTTGTCAGGTTCTCGACCATTTATAACATTTTGTTTTATTTCGGTTTATTTGGTGGTTAACGAACAAGAAGTTTGATCATGTGATGAACTGTTTATTTACGTCCACTGTATCTTTATTTTGAACGAATAATATGTTTATTTTGAACAAATCGTACAATGTCATAACGAATATAATAGCCTGTTTCAGAAATTATTCAAATTTAAATGAATTTCACCTATACATGCTTGTATGTACGATGTAAGAACATGTACTTACATGTGTGTCGTATTTTTTGTCTATTGACATTTAACACTTAATGTAAGATTTCATATTACTTATATCTTAAAAACGAATTTAGTTTGCAAATTAGTAAAAGATTCTTTAATTTGTTTTGGCACAAAGAATTTTCATGTTTCAGTCTGTCCTATCTTTTAAGAATCTTGTACATACATACATCACCGTAGAGGCAACTTCATGCTATTCACTATGAGTCTTCTCTAAAGTTTCCGAATTATGGATCTTTATTGCAATTGTATGTAGAAAAAATGAGATTAATAATCGAGTGACCCGAATTATATTACATTCGAGGGAATAAAGCAGATATACGGTTGAATATAATATGGCACTTAAAATGAATTTAACAGTCAATTGTGTTTGTTTAATTCATGATGATACAATACACTTTCGCAAAGTCATTGACAAACATACGAACGCAGTTTGTTATAAACAATTTGTTGAAATTATTGATGATTCGAATTTGTAAATTCATAGTAGCGCGGAAAATCCGCGACAATCAAGATTATAGCATATGACTTTTGATATAATTTTGTATTAATCGTTACTAATTAACAACTTTAAGACTAACATATTTCAAACACATGGAAACAGTGATAATTTTTTACGAACGTAACAACACGACGAGAAATGCAAATGCAAATACCTTTAGGTTTAATGCAAAATGAGAAAACCAATTCATCTTGGTCAAGGTAATTATTGTATGCTAACAAATTATGTATAATTTACGAAAGAATTCTCCAGTGCTATATAAAAGATTGAATAATATAGATAAGAAATGTAAAATATGTTTCAGGAAGGAAAGGCAGAAATGGTTCTTATCTTTATTATGTGGCACTTGTCTAATATATGCTACAAGAACATGTGTTCCTTTATTGATGCCAATTATAAGTAAAGAGAAACAATGGTCCAAACCAGATTCCGGAGTAATATTATCTAGTTTTTTCTGGGGTTATGCGCTAACACAAGTTGCTAGTGGTTATATTAGCGATAGGATCGGAGGACAAAAAGTATTATTGATATCAGCCTTTGGATGGTCTATGACGACATTCTTTATGCCAGAAATTATAGAGCTCTTTTCAAACAGTGATACGTCTCTATTATTAGTAGCCACAGTAAGAACAATAAATGGAGCATTTCAAGGTAGTTTTATGAAATTAGTCAATTAAATAATCTAAGGTAAATATGTGAAAAAATGTTTTTCATATGCATAAAATTTATATATTACAGGAATGCATTTTCCTAGTATGATTAGTTTGATAAGTCAACGATTGCATGAAACAGAAAGAGCCTCATTCTTTAGTTTATTGACATCAGGATCTGCTCTTGGTACATTACTCACAGGATCTTTAGGTTCCTACCTATTGGAAAATTATAATTGGATGACAGTTTTTCAAACTTTAGGTAATTAAATATACAGTTAAATATCTTATTTATGTTACTATTAACATAATATCTAATATACAAAATTTAGGATAATGTAGTAAATTAAATAACATACACAGAGTAATTATTTTATCATGATCTCTTTAAATCTGTGTATTGCTTTTGACAATAAGAAAAGGTCTTGCTATATCAATGAATACCAGTGATGTCCCTGGATGAAGCTCTTTATGTAGGACTATACAATAACATGTTACTAACTCTTTCTTCTCTAATGGTTCCATATGACATCCTATAATATTTATTCTTCTTCAATTAATTTTTTCTAATTGTATTTCACAATCCTATTGTATTAACATTTTTCAGTAAAATATCTTTTTTTTATTCAAATAAATAATTCAGACTATATTTTACAAGTTATAATAAATTTAAAACAATACTTAGAGTACATTTTATGGACTGTCTTTTGTTATAATACACATTACAGTATGTTTTGATGGCTACTCTGCAATTTGCTAGAAAGTATCAAGTTTTGTTTGAATAATTTCCAATCTATTGTGTATTTCTTTTTATACGGATGTTGAAAGTCATTGTATTGCATATTTAATCCATGATACATGTTTCTAAAAGTAAGTATACGACAGGTTTAAGTCAAAAGACCGTTAACTCGCGTAAACTACTTGGCGCGATCGTAAAACTGGATGTAGTGGTAGATAAAATCTAAATCCAATGTTAAGTTTTGATGTATGTACATACATACAGACCATTGTCAATTTTCTTCAGTCGTACCGATGTCGCGTCGTTTAGATCGAAGAATGGCCTGAGTGATTTATATTTATATGACATATTTTTTCGTTTCGAGCCCTAATTAACTTTCTGAAGAATTGACGTATAATTAAATATTAAGTTCTATATAGTAACGGGAAATAAGAGTGTTTAACGAGGCTCTTTTAACCTTACGTACATCAGGTAAGGTAAGAACGCAACTATAAACAACATTGTTGATATTTTTTCAATCATTCTTAACTACTTTATTACGTACTTTCAATTTTTCATCCAGAGAAGTGCTTCTTTTGCATTTTAGATATATTTCCATTTTAACTATTTTTTTCTAAACATTATGAAATGAAAATGCAGGATATGTATTCGGGGAAAAGTTCGAGGAATTACTAAAGTTGTCCCGTTTCGAAAAATTAATGTTTTATTAAATCTTAGTTAGAGGGAACCGTCAGTTGCAATAAAACAGCGTTAAACTTATCAGGCGCGATATTATTGTATAGAAAATATACAGGCATCGCGTTTAGACTGTCAACCAGGTGAAAATCTTAAAAGCGAACCTAAGGTTCGTAATTTCGATACCTGGCGACGAAATGGTTATAGAAAACTTCTGAAAGGACTATTGTAAGATACTTATAATACACTTATTGTCAGATGGGAAAGCGTGATAGCCGCGAGGATACAAACTACCTAAAACCTACCCTCAATAGTTGTTACCGTTACTATACAGGGTGTCCGGTCATTCTTGGGAAAAATTTTAATGGGAGATTCTAGAGGCCAAAATAGGACGAAAATCAAGAATATCAATTTCGTGACAGGCTTCGTTAAAAAGTTATTACAAAATTTCAAATCGTTCTGGAAAAATTATTTTCGGTTGCAAGGGTCGATTACAATCATTTTTGGCCAATAGACATACCACCGAAATTCTACGCATTTACGAGAAAAAAATTCGAAGAAGTGTGAAATTTTTCGACGAAAAAAAAAATTTCAAATCGATCTGGAAAAATTATTTTCGGTTGCAAGGGTCGATTACAATCATTTTTGGTCAATAGACATACCACCGAAATTCTACGCATTTACGAGAAAAAAATTCGAAGAAGTGTGAAATTTTTCGACGAAAAAAAAAATTTCAAATAGTTCTGGAAAAATTATTTTCGGTTGCAAGGGTCGATTACAATCATTTTTGGCCAATAGACATACCACCGAAATTCTACGCATTTACGAGAAAAAAATTCGAAGAAGTGTGAAATTTTTCGACGAAAAAAAAAATTTCAAATCGATCTGGAAAAATTATTTTCGGTTGCAAGGATCGATTACAATCATTTTTGGTCAATAGACATACCACCGAAATTCTACGCATTTACGAGAAAAAAATTCGAAGAAGTGTGAAATTTTTCGACGAAAAAAAAAATTTCAAATCGTTCTGGAAAAATTATTTTCGGTTGCAAGGATCGATTACAATCATTTTTGGTCAATAGACATACCACCGAAATTCTACGCATTTACGAGAAAAAAATTCGAAGAAGTGTGAAATTTTTCGACGAAAAAAAAAATTTCAAATCGATCTGGAAAAATTATTTTCGGTTGCAAGGGTCGATTACAATCATTTTTGGTCAATAGACATACCACCGAAATTCTACGCATTTACGAGAAAAAAATTCGAAGAAGTGTGAGATTTTTCGACGAAAAAAAAAATTTCAAATCGTTCTGGAAAAATTATTTTCGTTTGCAAGGGTCGATTACAATCATTTTTGGTCAATAGACATACCACCGAAATTCTGCGCATTTTCGAGAAAAAAATTCAGTACGGGCGGAACTGTAAACGTTAATAACTTTTTAACGAAGCTTCCATCAACAAATTGGTATTTTCGATTTTCGTCCTATTTTGGCGTCTAGAATTTCTTATTAAAATTTTTCCCTGTATAGTGTGTCCGTTTTGTCTGGAAACATGTAAATATCCTAAAACCTATGCATGATACGGAAAAATGTTTCAAACAAATATTGCATGGTATAATCACATAACGTAATTATAGATATGTGACAACAGAATTATACAAAAATATGACTGACCTCTTGATTCCTAACACTCGAGTGTGCTATTCGTATTCATAATTTCCTTGTTGACAGATGCTGAATTACGAATTTTAAATCTAGCTTTAAGAGTGTTCATATCTGGTTACATGTACCAATCCTGCACTTTGTTTTAATTTTAATACATGAATCATTAAAGAGTCCATGTATATCGTAAAAAAACGGTGTCGGAGACTGATCATCGTTTAAAATCGCCGCAGTATCTCTTCAAAGGTCGGGATAAACGAGTACGGTCGCTTTAATGAAATATAATCGTCGATTATCATGAGCGATTAATTTCAATTAGCAACTGATCAAGTATTTACCAAATTATTTTAATCGTGGAACACTTTTCGTTTCGCAATATTTTTACAAAACACTTATATTCTTTTATGACTATTTGGATTTTTAGCGATTAATTATTAATACTAAAATGCATTTTATTTTTAAAACAAAATCAAAATAAATATCTGTGCATAAAAATGATAAAAATCAGTTAAAAATTTAAGCAATTTTTCAAAAAAGTTTGTAAATCACTGTTATAAAAATTAATATCGTACGACGATATATTCGTGGGACTTACAGTCAAGGCTCACGCACGCATCAACGCTCTAAAAAACTTCAGTCCAATGCATAATCCATTTCTTTGTCTCCGAATCTTCACCTTTGCTCAAAATATTGTATTTTGTTCCCTTTCTTCGTTCAATAACATCACTTACGTCAGAAATGTTACGAAGTCCACTTTCATTTGAACAGTTACTCGATACATCATCGAGTTTGTCTTCATTTTCACTTTTTGTATTTGTAAAATACATTATTTTATTTGTTTGTGAAAAAATCTATTGACTAACTCATAAACTGACACAATTATTGCTTTAGAAACGTAAAAACCTAGCTTTGATATAATAAAATGACTTGGACGGTGCACGATGAAGCACGGACGTTCCTTCATGCAATAATACTGACCGATCCGTGTCCCCTCCTTTTACACTTCGATATGCATTTGTTTCGGAACTTTTTTGCTCTGGGTCATTATAAGACTTTGTCACCTTGACAACGTCACGATTACCATAATTATTTTAAATTCACTGAGTCATCGAACTGCAAAAACGAAATATCTCGTGACTCGTACGCCAATGTGTTAACAGTAGCATATGACAGAATAGTACAAAAATAAATATACGTCTTTTCGCATTTGTTGCATATGAGATCGATCAGTGTTTCTCAAACATAGTTCTACACATCCTATTAATTTTCGAATGATCTTTCATATCGAAACAAGCATGACTGTATTTTTTAAACCCTTCCCAGGAAACTAGACTAATCTCTCATTATTTATTTTTTTAATTAAATACATATTTCTTTCCATATGCAATGTTACAAATAATTTTAATGCATTATAATGTGATTAACTATTAATGTACAATTTGTAAGTGCCTCAAGTTATGCACATATTTTTATTATTAACAAGTTTATTGATATAGGCGGTTTGAGTTTGATGTGGACACTCTTCTTAAGCTACCATACTCTCCCATTTAAGGAAAGAGCAGCCTCTACTAAATTAACTACTAACTATACTTTACCTTGGTTGAAGCTCCTGAAAAAGCCTCCATTCTGGTAATCATTATGCATGGTGTTAACTTGAATTAATTGTCAATAAATCACAACATTTCTTATATTAACATTGCAATGCCTAATATACATGTATTTCATTTATAACTATAAATTTCAGGTCATGTGTAATAGGCCATGCTTGTCAAAATAATTGTTTTTTTGTATTGTTATCATGGATGCCAACATATTTTCATGATACATTTCCTGAAGTAAAGGTAAATGATTCATTAATAATTGTTCTAATATTTCAGTAAGGATTCTATTTAATCATACAAACTATGATATGTGTTTATATTATTTAGAGCTGGGTTGTAAATATGTTACCATGGTTGTCAATGTTACCTTGTACAGTTCTGGGCAAAGCTCTTTCTGAGAAAATAATAAAAGCAGGGTATTCTGTCACAGTGACACGTAAAATAATTGAAACAATATGTTTTGTTACTGAAATAATAAGTCTACTATTCCTAGGTATGCATATAATAATGTAAAAATATTTCATTTATTATTATTTAAAAAATTAATTTAAAATCATTTCAGCAAAAGTGGAAACATTTCAAAGTGCAATAATTTGCCTTGCATTTATAATTGGCGGATCAGGTTTCCATAATAATGCAATTGCTGTAAATCCTTCAGACCTTGCACCAAAACATTCTGGCAGTGTATTTGGATTAATGAATACTGTTGGTGCTATACCTGGTATGCATACAGTATTGATATAATTTTTTTTCCAGAAAAAAAAAATATTGTTATGCCATTTTAGGATTCCTTGGAGTGTACTTTGCAGGGCATATTCTACATGTAACACACAGCTGGCCTGTTATTTTTATATTTATTGCTGTAATTGACACAATAGGATGCATAATATATTTACTATTTGGTTCTGGTCAAGCAATTATATAAAATATCAGATTAAATTTGTTGTATAATATATTTATTATTTGGTTCTGTTCAATTATATAAAATGATATTGAATAAATTTGTTGTTGTTTTCAGTTTCCTGTAAGTAAATTTTCGCTCTACGATCCATTGTGTAGGTTACATAAATTTTAATAGCAGACAAAAGCATCGAATCATTGCGTCAACACTGCGAGAAGTTTCGAGAATAATCAGTCTCGTCGTTTCCTCATATCTCGAATAGTTCGTTAACGAAATTTCTAAAACTCTGAGTATCAATGATGCATTTGTTCACTTAATTGGTTATTTTTAATCACAAAAGTTTTAAAAATAATATCGATAAAGCGAATAGAAAAATATTAACATCGATTCAAAGCAAAGTTATATTTAACAATGAAGTTAATAGTTGATTTTCATAAACGTGATATCTCTGCAGCCATCTACTGTACGTGACAGTGGAAGATAATTGGTTGGAAAAGCTTTAAATGATTATTCTCTACCAATCATTATGTAGTATCATCGGATGCAACTTCAAGTATATACGATAAATATTAAGAGTGCTCTTTCCATTGATAGCGAATTAAAGAATAGCCAATACGGATGCTGGTACTCTACGATCGTCGCCCACATGAGATAGCTGCCTTATCGTAGATCGGAGCGAATACCCGATGCCTTTTTTAACGCGAGCATGTGAACGTACCTCGAGACTCGAATTTTCGATTCGGAGCATCTAGTGAGAGTTAACATACGCAGCAGGGATAATTACGGAGGTGGAATTTTAGTTTCGACTGAAAGATCGTGTGCTTGTTTACGCGAGATTTTTTATGAACGCGTGGTTCGTTCGTCAGCGCTCGTCGTTTCACCGATCGTTCGGTCGCGCCTGCCTTTCTTGCCTGCTGCCGCGAATGTGGATACTTCACGGTGCGCTGTGCTGCTGCTGCCGCCGCCGCTGTGCGTTTAATGTGCTCAACACGGCTGATCATCCTCGGATTTTGACGAGATCTGCACATTCGTAAACGGTTTGGAATTGGTTCGTTATTGTGCCAGGCCCCGCAGTGATTGTCACTTGATAGCAACACCCGAGGCGCCAAAGCTGTCCGCATCGGCGCTTTCTTCAGCCCAAGTGGTATCAATGTTGTCTGGCAATGGTGTGTAAGGAGAACGTGGTATCATGGTTTGGGAATCTGTCCAGGTAATAGAAATATCATCAGTTCCTTTCCTGATTATTGCCACACATTACTTTCCGCGTGATAAAATATCTAAAAATTCTAACATTCCCGACTCGCTGTTACGTTTTTCACCGTGACCTCCTCATCCTCCTTACCAAATTTCGAACTAACCAAAAAGAACATCCCATTACGATCTTATCTTAACTTTTTGTGTCAGAAACAGCCGTGTGCGTATTAATAATTTGAAAATTACACGGATACTGATTTATATTGATATTTACTTTAGTTTATCGCTGACACGTAATTATTTTATTTGTTGTACGGGAATACCATGTATGGTAGCAAGTATGTTTGCAAATTCTTATATATTTGAAATACAACAGTGAATTGATAAACGTATTTGTATAATTTTTGTTCAGAGATAAGAAAATATTACATACACATTAGTGTTATTTAAAGTAATATCATTGCTATTCACAGTTCTTGTTTTAGATTTATTTTATTAAAATGTTAATAAATACATTTTTGAAAATTTTGGAAATGAGTATTCGTGTTCTTTGTAAACTGTTATATTTTTCATTGTGACTGTCTTATCCTTCTTACAAATTTTGATCTAACCAAAAAGAACATTCCACTATAATATTATCTGAACTCCTTTTGTCAGAAATAATTCTACATATGTTCATAATTTTGAATCTATATAGATATACATGTTGATATTTAATTTACCTTATCACGGTTGCATAATTACTTTATTTATTATATGTGAGTACCACGTATGGTAGCCAAGCATGTTTGATCATAAGTCCTTATATATTTGAAGTACACCTGTGAATTGATAAACATATTTATATGTTTCTTTAAAGGTATTAAAGAACTGTGAGATATACACCGTTGTTATATATGGCAATATCAGTGCTGTTTACTATTTTTAATATAAATTCATTTTATCAGAACAATAAGTGTATCTTTAAAGATTTTTAAAATAGTTACAATTGGAGTAAGATGTACATATGTTTTAATGACTATAATGATTTTAATAATTCTATCATATTCCTGAAATAAGTGACACAACTAAAAATTTGTCAATATGGACCATATATTTTTATTATACCCACTATGTTTCTAAATATGTTTTATGGGATATGCAAACTTCAATTTTGATTAATTATTTATCAGATATTTCCATAAATATTGGTAATAAATGTGAAGTCACTGATTCTAATTTATGATGGAAGGAGAACCAAGTTAACTTATAGAGCTATATTTATGTTTATTTCCATATTTTTAGTAGCTATCAAATTGGTTATAAAACAAGTCATTTTCTGTACAATAGTACAAGACTTTATCATACTAAATACAAGGATTTAGGATATAGTATATAAGTCAGGAATAAGAAAAATCTTGAATTGTATCAAGAGCCACTTTTGTTGAATATATTGAAGAACAGATCAAATATAAGATTTATGAACTTGATATATTATTTTATTTTGTGTCTCTTATATTATGTGCCTTGTATATTTAGTTATAAATATAGTTTATTTAGTCTCACTAATTGCAACAATGTGTAATGATCCTATTCAGAACACATAAAGAAAATTTTATAGATCAATTCTGTTGTTTCTCCATCTTAACCCATTTATAACTTGCATTCGAAATATAGTCCATCTTTAAAAAATATTCATAGAAAATTACTCGGTATTGCATTTGTACATAAAAGAGTCTGTGGGTAAAGTAATCTGTATTATCTATGTCATTTTAGTTACCATATATTGTACTTTTATAATATCTTAAGTTTTTGCTTGAATCATAAATGGGTTAAATAAAAAATGATGCTTAAATTTAACATTTATCACTGATATATATGGGTTTAATTGATATATAATTGATAAAAATTTTCCTTCATTTATTTTATATCTTTGAGTGCATAATAAATTGAACATAACAAATGTATAGGGAAATTTTAAATGATGAAGGTGACATTGAGATTTTTACAAGTAATTGAAGAAACTTGCAAAACATGGCATTTTAAATGCACATATTATTAGCAATATATGTGAAACTCTTATATAAAATGATATTAATACAAGATCTTAGAAATATTGCGTCAGTGTTTATATAGAAAATTGATTGAATTCAACTTCATATAATTATTATTGTTGGTATTGAATATAATCATAAGCATCATTAAACAAAAATATTAATTTTAGTCGTATTGCTTTATCATTATTTTTTGTAAAAATATATGTTTATTTCATGCTAGAGACATTTGTTTACAGCTTTCAGTATTTAATCTCTAATGTTCCTAATGTAACATTTTTACATTAATAATATACAAGTTTATTTTTCACATTCAATAAAAATTTGTTATTTTTGTTAAAAGTTTGTACAATAAAAAAGAATATTTTTATAATGTATTCTGTATATATGATATAAATTTTTTATGTATGTGCAGTTATAAACGTATCGATGTCATGTGCACGTTATTAAATATGTGCCTGCCATTTGAAATTCGATACCTTGGCACTTGTGTTGAGGATATTGGTAAGCGGGATTACAATGACCTTCGTGATACGGAACATCATGCAAATAGTGCCTCTGATCTTGCTGAGCTGACAACCTTAGGGGTGGCAGATAAACGCACACGAAAGAAACTTGCTCTCTATATGGCATTATTAGATTCTTGTAATTATGCATGTGCTGTAATCTTGTACAAGAATCTGTCAAATTTTGACTATCAAGAGATCTCAAACCTATTAAATGGGACCACCTTCACTCCGGATGACCAACTTTTAGAAGAGCTACTCTTATTGTACACAATGGCTTTAAATCACCCGGCGTTTACATATGAGCAGAAAAGTGTCTTTGGTAACATTTATATAAAACTTCAAGAAGAGGAAGCTCGTTTGAATCTCTCAAAGTCAAATTCATCCTACAAACAGGCACAAGTATATACAAATTCTTATGTTAATTGTACTTATTCTATGCAATGAATGACACAGTTCTTTAATTATTTTTAATTAAAAATGATTATAAATGAAATATATTACCATTACTTTAGTTAAACATTATAATTTATTTCATTAATATATCTACATACAGGGTTGCACGCCATGTATGAATACAAATGAAAGGTTAATGGATAACGAAATGCAGGGTAGTTGTTTGATGGCACCTCCTACGATGCAGTCTTACCATGGTAATTTATGTTTTACATACAATACACACATCTTATATATTAGATGTATGTATAGATTAATATGTGTTAATATATTTCTTTTATATTATTTACAGGAGAAATGGCTATGAGAAATAATACCATGATAACTGGAGTTCCCCCTGGTCTTTCCATGCCTCCACCTGGATTATGTTTATCAGCACCCGAGCAAATGCCAATAGGATCAGGCGGCGGAACGCCCTACCTTCATCTTGGATTCTCATCAGTAAATCACATGCCACCATGGACAGGTCAGGTTATGATGGGGAATCAACTGATGTATCACACTAGCGATATGTTGGCTTATCCACCTTCCCCCTTAGTCAGCCGTCAATCGTCGCCATCCCAGTCTCGATCTCCTAGCCGCAGCAATTCCCCAATGGGTCGCCGGAATAACACAATGCCGCGTACTTCGTCACAAGTGACTCAATCTACTTCAAACACCTTAACAACGTCAACGAGTGCCTCTAACAGTCAGACAAGCATCGCCAGTTCAAATGCCAATTCTCTTCCACCACTTCCTGCACTTGGTACGAGCAGGAGTCATCCTGGTCAACCTCCATTGCTTCCATCACGCTCTGTTCCTTTACCTATCAGCAGTTCCACAACTTTCTCGCGGCATAATAGCATAGAGAATACTCCTTCTACCTTAATTCCGGCAGCACCACAATCTAAACAACCACCACCACCACCACGATTGCGGTCTTCAACTTCTGGTGACTCTTTACGAGAAACACTAGGGAAGGAGATGCCAAATTTCAAAGGCAATTTGCAGAATTTCTCACTCGACGAGGTAAGATAGTAATATCATATAATACATAATGAAAATAATTACATCATATATTGCATGCCGAGTACAGATTCGAAGGATGAGCGATGAAGATTTAAGGGAAATAGGATTAACACCAAATGCAGTGGGGCAACTACGAAGTATAGTTAAGAGTCAAACAACTAATGGTTTAAATCAAATTAGTAATGACAAAAAATTGGACAATACTACTAGCACGACTCATGCAGTTGTTGATTCGCTTGAAAACGAGGTAATTATGCGCAATGTATTTTTAAAATCAGTGTTTCTCAAACTTCATTTTTTCACTGATCCTCTAGATAAAGGAAAATTTTTGGTGGACCTTTTAATAGAATTAAATTCTTACTTTTAGTATAATATAAAACTGTTTGTTTTAACAAATGTATTTGTTTTAACTAATTTTATTCAATTTAAATAATTCCATAGGTTTCACCTTAAACGTTGTTTATTAAAACAGCGCAGAAAAATAAATATACCTCTGATGGATCTCCTTAGAATTTATTTAAAGCTATAAAATAATAAATTTTGTTTTAATCAAAGAATTTTCATTATTTGACTTGCAGGTTAACATATCACATTATAAATAAGAAATTCAATCAAATTTATGTATTACTTTTTACAGAAGCAGAATGAAACGGTATGGTTGATAATGATATGAATGATGTTATTTTTCGTAGATTAAGCGGGGGGTTGTGCTCATTAAACACGAAACTATGTCAGTTTTTTGTTTTGCACCAACAGAATGTGAAAAATCAGTGTGTCGTGAAGCTATCATTAATAGTATTTGAGTAAAATTTCAGAAAGAAAACTTTTTTGTGCTCTAAAAGTCTCCGCGTTAATAAGAACAAAATATTACGGGAAGCATTTTTCTCATATCGCGATATAATACATTTTTTTTTTGCCCGTGAGCTTGCAGAGTTCAGTTTGAGAAATGCTGCTCTGAGTATTACAAAGTTAAAGAATTGTACGTTAAACAATTATTATGTAGGCTATACCGGGGATGGAGATGTTAAATGATAATGGAAATCAAAGCAGTAAGTCAATGCCATTACAGGAACAGCATCCAGCGATGCATCATCATCATAATCATGCAGCTACTCCTAATTTACGGCGATATCCTAATATGCCACCATTAGATCCTGCACAAATACAAATGTATCCTGCACCGCCACCGATGTATGCTGCACAGAACGCACCGTGTTATGCCTGTCTTACGTTACCAGTTGCTGGGGTACAAAATCGATATCCAAGGTAAGAAAAAAACAAGTGAACACTTAAGGGTGTAGTTAACCCTCAGAATTTTAAATATCGATTTCCCTTTAACCTTACCTTTCTAGGAAATGAATAACTGTAACCACTTGAACTTTTCACAATTTACTAGTTGTCCGGAAAACGTCTTACTAAAATTTCATTAAAAAATACTTAGTGCATACTTTGTCTGATAAAGTTACATTGGTCAAAAGTAAAACCGTATTTACTTCGAGCGAAAGGAATGGACACTTCATATGTTGCAGTATCTAGCATGCTGTTCAAAATTCGAGAGCCATTTCATTAATATTTGGAATTTTTCTTATTCTCATAGGAATATGGAAATATTTGAAAAACATTTTTATTTTTTTTGTTAATTTTGAGGCTTGACTACCTTTTCAACACGATCCGAGCTAATCAATTTACGGTGATTTTCCGTTTACGTGGATCGTGTGCGCCCTACGTTCTGATAATTGTATTGTCCACTACGTGATTTTATAAAATATTTTATGAAAGTATTAAGTTCAATAACAAAAATATTAAACGGCGTGAACAGCAAGTTCAGAGTGGGGAGTATACGACCCACACAGTATTGAAAGTGTTAATATTTGTTAAAGTGTAATTAATATATAATTTTGAAACATTGCAGGTGCAATGCTCAACATGTATATTGTTTGACGCAATTTCAAGCCTTGAGGTTAGACCCTGAGAGCAGTAGGCATTGTTCACAAAGCAGTAGTTCCGACAGTACTGGTAGCAGATCTCCGCCAGAAACACCTCCAGCTGCACCGTGGGTGAGCGGAAACGAGAGCAACGCACCGCCAGTTACTGATCATCTTAACTCTGCATCGGTACATTCTACGAGCGCAGTGTCGCATCCAGCACCTCAACAGCCTATACAGTCGGTCCCGGAAAGGCAACGTACCAGAAGAAATCAGGCGCACGTAATGCGTCATAAAAATCAAATGGTGAACGGCGGCGGAGCACCGAATTTATCGCAGTGTGTTTCTTTTCCTGCACCACCAACGCAGTCGCAGGTCACGTATCTGCCGCACGGTCATTTTTCAACTCTGAGACCGAGCAGTGGTATTTATTCTAACTTCTCACATGGACCGTATGCAAGGCCAGCTTATCCGACCACGTATCAACCGAACGGTGAAATGATGTACCAGTATCCTGGGCATCCATCTTCAGGGGGAACACCCCCACCGCCGCCAAATGCTGCCGCAACACCCGTACAAGCACCATACATGCCACCAACTCCGGTTGTTACGTACGCACCAGCTGCCGTCCCACCAACGAAAATTTCGTGTTATAACTGTGGCAGTAGCAATCACCTAGCAGTCGATTGTAAAGATCAAACAATGGAGGACCTTACCAAAAAAGGTAATTTCTTACTTTTATCTTTCATTTGCAACGACCCGATTGCACTTTTATCCTAAGCTTCATTTTTCATTGCATATTAGGCCAAGAATTGCGTGTACAGACATTTAAGACGTTCACTCTGAATTTAACTATGTGTTGTGTGAGAAATTTTTATATACAGGAATTGCTGGATTTCAAGAGAAGCATCGGCTAGTGTATATACTTTTTTTCGTTTGTAGAGCCAACCTTTCATCAAAAATCATATAATTTTTATATATAACAATTTGCATAATTTACAAGTTATTCAAGGTGATCGTGTAAAGTGTCTCGCCAGGTATTTAATAGAAAATATTTTGTTTCGAATTACTTCCATAATATCCTCATCAAGTAAGGTAAGTGTACCCAGTAGTTGACTATTCAAGATAGCATTATCACGAAGAGTTATGTTATCTTTTTCAGATATTATGAAATGATCACATTACAATTTGTAGAATCACGTGTCAACTGTTCCCTTATCATCTAACGAGGCTAAAAACTTGTTAAAATCAAAAATTGAGCTCTTACACTGTTAGAAAAAAAGTAAAAGTAGTAAGCAATATTGAAGCACTGAAAAACAAATTGTTTATTTCGATATGTAAGATTATAAATAGTACTACATGCTTAACTGTTTAAATGATGTTTTTTTATTACAAATACGATCGTTGGAGTTTTTATTTTAATCTTTTTTTTTTTCTAAAAGTGTCAATTAATACATGGTCAACTATTAGTACTTTTACCTTAATTGATTTTATGAAGTGTTCGCTTATATACTTATGTAATTAATACAGTTTAAATTAATTTTGTCTGTAGAGTATTGCTAAAAGAAGGTAGTTTGTTAATGTTTCTAATCGATTATTTTACGCCATTTTAAAAATAATTTTCTTCTTTGGAAATGATTAACTTGCAAATTTTTACATACTTGTATATATGTACAATTATAGAAAAAATATTGATACATTATATAACATATGCCTGCATGCGAACAAACGGTGAACGTTTTTCGTTTGCGATTGGAATCAAATGAGAATATTTCAATTTATATCCCTTTTGTTTGAATAATAAATACTTTGAATTACAGCTCAGTATCGCCTAGACTACAGCATAATGAAACAACCTGGAGAGTGCCCAAGTTCTGACAAGTGATCCCCTGCCACGGACCACCCAGCAATTTACCATTATCATCACTACCATAATTACTGTTATCATCACTGTCATTATCATTCCCATTGCCACTATTACCATGACCCCACTACAGCAATACAACCTAAGGACCGTTCAAAAGATGACTGCTATCGCTCCTTGTGCAAGTTTTCGGTGATTTTTTTAGACATCCCTTATATTCAGGACGACGATTTTTTAACAGAGGATGTTTCGCGATTCACGGTACCAGGTATACTTTTTACAAGATCTTATTTATGATAGTAATTATTCTTAATTATGATTGTAAAAAGATGTAGCGTCGTGTACAAAGGGAAAAGAACTAAAAGAAGCATAACGCAGAATCCACTGTTCTCATCTATCTGATGTTAGAATACGTTTTGAACGATTTGTGTTAGGCATTGACTCGCGTCTTTCCAACGATACCTAATGGGCTACTTACCCCCTACGCCATTTCTCTCTATTTCTCTAATAACTAGCCATAAATGAAATGCAAAGAAAATGAAAACAACGCATTGTGCTCTGATTAGGTAAAAACTACCACGTTTGACTATATTTATCATTGATACCTTTACTTCTACTAGTATGTCTACTACCACTATTACTACTATTACTATTAAACTATTACTATTACTTCTATTATCGCTACTGCGCCACGACGTTTTTATGTATATATATTTTCTCAATTCTTACGTGCGCGATGTTTGAGCGAATGTAAACAACAAAAAAAAGAAAAAAAAATATGGTGAGGACGATTTAAATGAAAAATATAGCGTGGAAGAATGAAGAGTGAATGCACACACGAAAGTTAGAGTGAGAGAGAGAAAGAAAGGAAGGAAGGAAGGAAGAAAGAATGAGAGAACAACAAACCATAAGTGTTCGATCATCTAGCTGCCGTTGCGCTCCTGTGTGTATAAAACTACGAATATACGCCGCTCACCACTCATTTATTAATTTATGGATAGTTAGCTAAGTAACAATAACTCTCATCCTATTTATATAAATAGTCACGCAATCACGTGCAACTTAAGCAATTTTATACGACTTTTATTGATCGCCCGTCTTTTTTAAGTGTAAGCAGTACGTTATATGCGTTTAGAATCTTCTTAGTGGGTTAATGAAAAAAAAAAAAAATACGAGAATAATAATTCTTCGAATATGTGCTAGCGTTTAGGTGTGAGTGAAGTGGCAATCTACGTTACGCGCTCGCCTTGTCAACAAGTCGTTAACTACATTTAAATCAGTTTTTGATTAAAACCACCATTAGCGAGTGTTAATATTATTCTATTAGAGTGCATAATTTGGCAAATTTTTGACTAGCCCCTGTAACTACGATGGTTTGTACTTTTTACTTGTAAGGCTCTCATACTATGCACCTGATCTATGTGAAGTAGGTCTTAGATACCTAATAGTAAGGAATGAAAAGCTATAAAAGTGGACGAGAGTGAATATGTGTGACTTTGAATACGTATGCATTTAAAAACTTCCCTTCGATAATTTCTTGATATAAAGAGTTTCTCAGGTGTTTCTTTTGGGTTGGTATTGAGTTTTGGCAGCTAGTCAGTAGCCACAAGAGAAATTTTTTGGAGTAAATTAATGCGTTAGTGTCAGTGTCTTGCAAGGATGAAAGTTTGACTTTTAAGATTTAAAATCAGACTCGCTGATTTTCTTATACCTACGATATAAATTCGCTACAATGATATTATTTTTCATAGATTATTTTTTATACGCGAGAGACGTTTCTTAAATGTTTTCTAAACAACGTTTTATCTTTCAAACTCCAAAGAAAGCCAAAAAAGTAATTATTTATCAATTAATCACCAAATCATGTATAAAAAGTCGTAGATCAGTTTTAAATTGTTACAATTTAAGGCTCTATTGGTATATGTTAGTCAAACTTTTGTCAACGTTTTGTAAGAAATGTAGTATCGTAATTGCATTAGCCTGGTTCAGTATCTAGGTAACATTTAGTGAAAGTGCCATTTTTATGTCAATAATTAGTGTCTTTGTACCGGTCTACGAAAAAAGAAAAGAAGCAAAGGTTGACATTTATCTTGCTGTTACCGTTAGTGAATAATAATCTTTTTATTTTTTCTTTTCAAACTACCTGAGAAAAGTTTCGATGTGGCTGTGACCGATGAGAAGTTCGTGAAATTTATATTAAAGTTCTGCAAACGAGAACACCTATTTAACTTCATGATAAAAATAAATTTGTTGGCATTCGCGAGCACTCTGTCTTCGAATTAGTGTTCGTAATAAGTGGCAGAGTTCGCCTAAATAAAGTTTACAAAATAATAATAATAATAATAATAATAATAATGAGGAAGCCTCGTTTGTAACGCGTCAGGAATGTAGATGTGTTGCTTGACAAGAGCGTAAAAATAACAATGGTTTAATGAATTTGTACGTGCTTCAATTATGAAACAAAGGAGTCTGACTTTATGGCATGTATGACATAATAAAAATATTATAATTGCTTCGATCGTATTATTCATGGTAAAAAAAGCTAAATTCCGAGGCAAAACATTGAGATTTTGGTTTGCGGGTAAATTTGCTTTTCGATGTTTAAAAATATTGTTCGGTTATTTCTCGATGTAATTTTCGATAATTTTATATATATTATACAAAAGAAATACACTATCTTGCCAAGCAGTAACAAATCATTGTTGACCAAGTAATATCGTGATATTTTAATCACGGTTAATCGTGTTACCAAAAGCAATAGTAATTATTAAAACGCGCCACTTTATTGCTGTTTACTAACTTGTTGACACTGACGGTGAAAAGAGGACTATATTTCGCTATAGTATCATTGGCAATAAAATAAACGCGATGTTTCTTGTCTTAACTATTAAGCAATATTTTCTAGAGTAACTTCAATATAGAATTTTTCAGCGGAATATTATTGTATAGTATTAATGTTATTAGCAGCAATAAGGCAGTTCTATATTTTCGTTGCTGATTAGCAATTGTACATAAATGAAAGTCGTGTAATATGGCTTTAGCAATAATGTCATATCTAATGACATAATACCTTATAGGAATGTTATTTAACGAATAATTCTGTTCTAACGAATTTGAAGTGACGAATTATGGTTTTTATCGCATCAATTAACAGTCATTTCATTGCATTTCATGAATTCAATTACTTTCCTAAACCCGATTCGATATTTAGTGGGAATGTACTTTTCAAATTTCTGATCTTGTCGTGTTCTCTTAATAATTTTATTATCAACATGTTTTTTTTTTAACTATCGTTATACAAAACACATGAGAAATCTATTTTCATTGATTGGCAGCATTGGAAAAGTGCTTTCAGCTGGAATTGAGACTCCTTTGTTTAGCAAATACAGTGCGCATTTAAGCTACCGAAAATAAATTGACGACAGAGAAGAAAGAACAGCGATAAGAAAATTGTGTTTTATGCAATCGATACGTTGCGTTATTATAAAGTTCGAAAAGAAGTTCAAAATGCTCTTGATCAAATCAGTATTATACCTAAAAGAATCAAAAAGTCAAAGAACCATATCACTTGAACGGAAGCCGTAGAACAGGAATGTGAGAGATTAATAGTAGTAAAATAATTATAATGAAATGATAATATTGATATTAATTATAGTAATAATGGTAACAATAATATTATATATTCGTCATAAAATAGAGATGTAAAATTTCCAGAAAGATTGAAGATCGTGTGAATAAAATACATTCGGAAAATGTTAGCCATTGGTAAAAAAAAAAAAATGAAAAAGAAAAAGAAAAGAAAAGAAAAGAGATCGGTGTTATCATAGACACATTTTTAACGCGTAACCTTGGTTGTTTTCATAATTGTTATTTCATAATGCAATTATTAGTTCTAGTAATAATTGTTTCTGTTTCTAATCCCCATTAGCACTAGTAGCTACTGCTCTTTAAGTGTTCCTATTCTCGCTTTAATTAGAACCGATTGTCCGCGTCACTGTTTACGTCTCTGTACGAATCTATCGAGATATCAAATTCAAACAAAAATAATGATGAAATTTTCAAGATTTGATTATTAAAACAAATTCAATTCTTTTCGACATGTTCGAGTCCGATACGAAGTGTAATCGGTGTCGCGATGAAACTGAACGATGCTGTTATATAAAACTTTCTCGATATTTTTACATCTCTAACTCTAACGATCGAGATCGATTCTCGAGAGAAAGAAAAGAAAAGTAAAAAAAACGAAATAATAAAATCGCGATGAAAGCACAGGAATGTAAGAGAGGGAGAAAGAAGGAAAGAGAGAGGGAGAGGGCTAGAGCTACGGTGTATCTCCTTTTTCCCCAAAACGTTTTTGGACATACAGGGGTGTAATTGGGCAGCGATTAGGATTGTACAGAAAACGTTAACAGTAAACAACGGAACGAAATGTCTTAACGAAATACACGCATACAGACGCATACGATGTGCGAAATGGAACACGCCAGATATACATACATGCATACGCAGCCACTTATCGAGATACCGTCGGCATAGTGACTTAAAAGCGCTTACAATTACGATATACATTTGCCGCGTTTCGCGAGTTGAGCTCGCTTTACAGTAATGAACGTTTGCACGAGGCGACCGTCAATTCGGAAGAGGCTTGCCCGATAAATTGCGACTCACGAGGACAATACCTGCTTTGGGGGTGAGAAGGAATATACTATATAAAAATGATAAAAAAAAGAAAAAAAAAACAAGGTAACATGGAACGCAAGGCGCGAATAGACTACGGGGGCGAGTTGCCATTTCGAACGAAACAGAAAACGGAAGAGAGTATATCGTTTCTAGATGGAAATTTTCAATGGCGAATCAAGTGTGGGAGTGCGTGCGAAAAGACGGTTGAGATGTACGAGTGTCGCTGAGGTTATTCACAAGTAAGGATAGAAAGAAAAAAAAATCCCAAAAAAAATTTTTAGAATGCATTTTCTGCGAAACGAAATTCATTCGATTTTTTGTAGACGGTCACTTGTGGCGAGAGTATTCGGGATCTTTCGTCGCGACGGCGAAATAGCGTGTTATATCGTGACACGGAAAATGTAACAGGACAAAACAAATGAAAAAGAAAAAATGCGAAAACGACAAAATATGAAATATGTACGACAGTTTGTGCTACTTTATGTCATGTACATACATACGAGACGGTGCGCAAGGAAAACGTATGCATGGTACACGAGTATGTGTGAGTGACAGCGTGGTAGGGGAAAGAAGAAAGATTTACATACAAATATGTGATGTGTATATACACACTATATATATATAAATATATTATATATTATATATATATATTGTATATTATATATCATATTATATACATAATATATATATCATATATACATATATATTTATATCATATATATATATATATATATTATACGAAAATATTGAGATATATTTGTAAATTCTGTTATCTGAATGCATTATAAATATTTTAACCTCCTGTAATGAAATATTTAATAAAAAACGTTACCAACCAAATCGTCTACAGTTTTCGTCGGTGTGTTTAGGACATGTGCGTTTTACGGGAATGTACTATTTTTTTTTTTTTCTCTTACGTGCGATAGTACGAACAAAAAAGCTGCAAATGCACACATCTTTCCAGAGTAATTGTGATTACTTTAAGATATTGTTGATGTTGTTATCAGGGTTTACGGATCTGTAAATTTTATGTACAGTGACATTTTGTCCTATTTTTGTTAAAGTATTGTGTATGCTATTCTTTTATATAAATTTATATATATATATATACGTCGCAGAAATTCTATGTAGTATTAAGAAGCTCTATGGAGGAGTTTAAAGGGACTGAAACTTTTTCATAGACTTAACGGGAAGGTCTAGTAGGTTGCATCTGCCGGGCCATCGATAGATATGATATATTATTTGCTGTAAACAAAAATTATAATAATTTTGTATTAGCAAACACGAATTGTATTGTACGAAATAAGTTAAATGTATTTTCTGATGTGGATTAAACTAATCGAATTCTCCGTATAGTAATTGCCAATGAACGAACAACTCCACTTTTTATAAATCACTGTCCGCTGCTTTGTAAAAACTCTTTTCTCGCATTTTCTTCCGTGCACATTATTCGTGGTGGTAGGATCAGCATCATTATGATTTTTTCAAACTCGTATTTCTTTATTTTGTACACTGTTTCGAGTAGCATTAGAACATTAGCAGGAAACAGCGCAAACGTATCAATTTTTACCATAAAATTTCATTAATAAGTATTATCGAATCGGGTATAGTGAGTGCAATCGATCCACAAGACTTCCGTTATGTAAGACCGTGCATGTATGGTACAAAGTAAAGCAACACAGATACCGCATTATGGGTCCATATGGAATAGATTCTCCTATCTTATGCACACATTTTTATAATTGGATACGATGCATGCATGTCTGCTCTCTTTAATTAACGACGTTAACAAAATGTTACGAAAATTCCTAAATATTTTTAGCGAACAATTTTGTGGAAGGAATACGAATTTTGTCATACAGATTTCAGTTTATCGATCTAAATATACGCATTTAGATTAAATTTAACGCATTTCATACTTTGAATTTGTTGCGACTATCAGTAGCTAAGATCATAATGAAAATAATTTGTTTCAGCTGTACGCCTTATCGACATCTGTACGGATGTGGTATGGTGTATTCGAGGAAGTTCGTTAAGTTATAATTATACAAGGCGCTGTACACAACCGTAAAGTGCAAGATACAATACTAAGAAAAAGGCTGGAATGCAAGGGTAATCAATTTATTTTATTTCAAGGCATATGCAAAATTAATCGAAGATAAATTGCTATTTGCAATTTGCAAACACAAATGAAACTGTTCATGTGTTTCTCGAACTGTAAGTTTCAGAATTAGGCGCATTCTTGGATCGTGATAGGAAATGGGACAGTAATCGCTACAATGCAGTGGAGCGTACGATTTAACTATAATATCGTCGAGTCTGGAATCGTTCTATCCGTTATCGAAGTAAAATTTATTTCTCGAGGAATAGTCTTCGTTTCCAGGTGCTTTTACGTTTTCTTTTCGAATGATATGTATTTACAAACGCACGTGCTTAGAAACTAAATATAAAAATTGTTCAATTCTCCACCGTCGTTACATAACAGCGATTGTAACGCATACAATTCACGGTGTATTAACCCTTTATAACTCCGAGTGTCTCTGAAGTCACATACCTATAATCTACACTTTCAAAAGTATAATGTAATCCTTATCAATATGTATCGATTTTCGTTTTAATGCAATAGCGTAGTCAACGATCTGTTTGTAATTACAATTTTAATATTTCACATCAGGATAGATACATTCGAAAGGTTGTATTTATTAAAATTTCAATTTATAAATTATTACGTAAACCGTAAATATTTACGTTATCGAGTAATAATAATCTCGATCCTAAAGTTTTATTCTCCGATATTTAATTTAGTGATTCTTAGCTGTTTTAAGCAGAATTCGAAATAGTTGTAGAACTTTTTCAATAAGTACCGTTGAAGCAATCGGAATGGAACTTTTACATTAAAAGTTCTTACATTATAAGTAACGATGAGAACAGATAAAAAGTTCTTGAAAATAATAGTTTTAGTGTGAATAAAATTTATTAAAAAGAAAAATAAAAGATTTTCTTCATTGATCGAGCGTGTAAATCGTGTAGTGAGTTGCAAATTAAAGTTATAAAGTATCTCATAAAAATGGGAGTTACGAAGTGATAACCGCAGGACGGAAGTTGTACGGAAGGTCTCCTCTTTGAGTCATTCTCTCTCGGGATTCCGAGGCAGTCAGACGCGTATCGAGACGTTTGACCTATCTTTTCCTCGGTTTTGCTCTATTTGTTCCTTTCTCTGCTTCCATTCGTCCATTCTTTTATTGTCCGCACTATACTAATTTATAGATTGAAACTAGAGACTACCAAGTTATCTTTAACCTTTCGAACTCCGAATTCCGAGTTCATTTTGACCCAAATTCGAATTCGTCGATCGAATTATTTAATTTTCGCTTTTGTGGAAATCTTTTAGCTTGACCGGGCGACTACCTTTTTAATAGGTTTCAGATTGTAAGGGTCAGATACAGTTTATCTCGAAAGATTAAATCAGTTAATCAATGTTCTTCGAAGCTCCAATTTCACAATTTCTATTATTGACCTTGTTGACAACCTGGACAATGTTAAACATTTACTCTATGTTGGTGACATTGAACTATTTCTTAAAATTAAGTGTCGTCACATTTATTAATATAAATAAAAAATTTTAAAAAAATTTTTAAATTCAAGTAATTTCAAAATCATGAAATCATGAAATCCTGAAGCCTGAAATGTGTAATCACTAGTGTTCTTTATCTGGAGTGAATAATCTCTTGACGTCAATTTTCCATGTTTAGAGTTGTCCTTGACATTTGTTCAAACTATAGTACGTAAAACAAAAATATTTGATAGTTTCTTGGTGTACTTCTTATTTTATAGCATTCCTAATTTTATTCAGTAGTGTTACCGTAAAGTTTTCAAGTATTTGGGTTTATTTATAAATATATGCATACGTATACGTTTGAAGCACCGGTTATCAGTGACCAATGTGGCACTCAACGTGTTAAGTACTATGGCTTCGTATTAGGTTGGAGCATATGAAATGTTGGATTTTGTGTATGTACATACAGGGTGTCCCTGAAAGTTATGCACAAGGGCATTAGACGATTTCTTATGAAAAAATATGATACAAACGCAGACTAAATTTTTGTCGAATTTTTTCGAATAAATCTAAAGAATAACAGTAGTTTCTCATACTTGAAGTAAATACAATAATGCTGGACTAATGACCTGCGCAAAAAAGCACCGTCCATGCAGACGAAACTGCGGGCAAAAGCTAGTAAAGAAATAAATAATAATGAAAAATATAAAAGCCTCTCGTAAGCGAAAGGTTCATAGCGACCAGCATTTCTTCTTTAAAGAAGGATTTAAAGAAGTATTTTTAATGAGAAAGAATGGTTTCCAGTAGAAAAATTGCGTTTCGTTCGAGGCTGTTGGTGAACTCATCAGTAAGGCTGATCTTTTTCAAATGCACCATAATTGCATTTAAGGAAATAGGACGAAAGTCTATTTTTATCGAAAGTCATCCTTTTCCATTAAAAATATTTCTTTTAAATGTTCCCAAAAGATTTCCATTCATTATTAAAGAAGTATCTATGACCCAAATTTATTTATAAAAGTTTTCTGTTTGTAATTGGTGTTTGTCACTTATCGATTAAACCTGTCGTCGATTCGAAGCTCGACCAGTGAAAAAGCTATATCGAAACCGATTATTATCGAAATACCGGTATTATTTCGATATTTCGATTATGGAAATTGTTAGTCTGAGTCTTTACATTCTCGTCACTGAACTGGAGAACCACATCCCCTTTATAACCAAATCTGGTATTCCATTCTATTAAACGATAAATTAAACGTAGAAACGTTTTAGAGTACAATGTTTTCATCGTCAGAAGGTAGAAAAAGAAATATAAATAAAAAATAACTATTTGAAATAATTTATTTTCAATATCGTTATCTGAAAGTAAAAATAATAACGATTTCAAATAATGAGCTATTTCGTTGTTTCTTCATTTCAAATTGGCCAAGAGAGATAATAATTAACAAACAGATTTATTTTATGAAATGTTTGTAACAATTTGTCTGAAATGATAGATTGTAAACAAAAGTTGTAAACCAGGCCCAGAATTCACGAATATTATATTTAATTTCACAATTATGAAATAAATGTTATTTTAGAAGTGGCCAGGCCTGGTACCAACTAGTTGTAATTATGTTGGTTTCAGTCTGAGAGACTGGTAACATAATTAGATAAGGAAATAGCGCCGGTTACAGGTCTCCAAAAATGTTGAGAATTGCAACGAACCAGAGAAATCTAAAAAATCGTTAATCATAGGTAAATGTAACGGTATTTCTGTATTTCGATTTCCCTAAGATGTAGTCGAAAAATAACGGTGTAAAATACCGGCGTTAAGTCCGTTGTCCGCGATACGTGAACTTCTCCTCCGATTCTCTCGCGGAGCGTGCTCGAAGGGTTGAGAAAGGAAAGTAGGTGGGTTCGTTCGGAGTGGATCGTTTTCTCTCGTGTCTGTCGCGCGGTTCGAATAAGCTCCGCCGCGAGGAGTCGTCGCGTTTCGCGCAGCGGGGTCGATCGAATCCCGCGGAAAGAAGAGAAGGGAAGACACGGTCAACGAGCGTGTAATCGGAGCGAGAAGGATCGAGCCAGTCGGTCGTCATTGCCGTTAACGCCATCTGGTCGCGATAGCGGGAGTAAGTACCCTTGGCGAGGGGGGTTATGGGTGGCAAGGGGAGGGGAAAGGAGGAGGCGCGCGCGTATCGACGCGGCTGCGCGATTACGTCGATGCGGTAGGGTAGAAAAGGGTAGCGATTCTCCAGTGGCGGGGAAGCACCAGCGGCGAGACAGAGAGAGGGAGTCGCGTAGAGAACGAGCGAAGGAGGGGACGGCCTGAAAAGCTCGGGCCAGGCTGGGTTCGATCGCTCAATATCCATCCCTTGGCCGGACGAGAGCGCCTGAGAACAGCGGCTCCAGACGAGGGCACGAATCAACCCTTCCTTCTTTTGCGTCCTCGCCCGCGCCACTGTTCCATCGGGAGACGAACAAGATTAACTTGGAGGAACCAGAGGACCCGGAGAAAGGGATTTGCACGCCGATCGTTCGTGGTGGTACGCGAGAGAGCCAACCGATCGCTCTCTGCAGTTTTCGTCTGAACCATCGGAATGGAGGGCAAGAAAGTCGAACAGTATTACTCGCCGCCGCCGAAGCTTGGCAAATGGGAAGGTTTCAGGATCTTTGTATGGAACTCCGAGACTGGACAATTCCTCGGCCGTACGGGCGCCAGTTGGGGTAAGTTTTACCGATCGACGGATGTACAATTTCACCGTACGTTTTTCCAGACGAGATTCCGAGTAGACTCGACCGAAAGGTACAGCGAAATCGAATCGAAGTTCGCGCGTGAGGTCGTTCCCGTTAACGTCCGTTCCATCAACCAGTGGGTTACCCGGCGACTTTTGGGAGTTTATTCATTGGGATACGGTAAAAAGTGTTCGATCGATCCGGGGGTCGCGTAACAAATTGTCGTGGACGATCTTCTCTCGAAGCGTCGAACCATCGAGCAACGTTCGTACCGCGACAGATTTCCTCTGTTTGACATTTAATCGTAACTTCGTGTCGTTTCTGACGTAAAGTGTCGCAATCTACGCGCGCACTGCAGTTCATTAGCGATGCCGTATACATACGAAGATCTCGCGTTACGTTACGAGTACGCGATTATAGTGGAGCGACCAAGACGAAGACGTAGACGGATAAAAAGGAGAAAGCATTTTGGTTTCTGCACCACTGTTACGGACAACCATAAACACTTACATTCGTTTAATTTTGTCGCGACGTTCACCTTGCCGCTATCCTCGTTCCTCCTCCGCTATAATCGTACCCTAATTCCGATTGTAGTTAAATCGATCTCGTCTGTTTAACGTCGATACCATAAAGACGGGGTGGGGACTCGCAGACAGATTTTTCCATACAGTCTCCTCGGTCGAAACCTCGAAACCCTGGAGTCGAATATCTTTCGAACGAAATTCAAAATTCAGTGATCAGAATTTTTCGAAAAGTTCATTTCCCATCGCTGATCGTTTCTGTCTTCGAACACGAAGAATATACGGGCCATATATCGTAAATACATTTTGCATGTACCATAAAATGTCTGCTGTCGTAAAGTCACAATTTATGGACGAAATGATTTTTCTCGGGTCGTGAACAGTCGAGGCGATCGTTAGAGTATATAAAATTTGTTCCAGGAGTGTTTGTGTTTATAAAATCACGTTCGAACGCGTGGAAAGAATGTGTCCCGAAGTAGAAACTGCCTTTATCTAACGTCACGCATATCCTGTTACGATAAAGTCCGTTTTCTCGGTATTTCTTTCGGCAACGTATGTTTTTACACGTTGGAATTTCAAGGTTCGAGCCTACGAAAGAAACATACAGAGGGGCGGCAACCCTGGCGATTTCCATTGCCCTATTTCTGTGTCTCAGGATACGAGGGACCATAAGAGGAAAGGAGCGTAGAAGTATTTCTAGTTCTTGACTCTCTGAACGCCGTCGATCGGAGATTCTTTTACAAGGGAGAAATATGACAGACACGAAACTAGTCGAACGAGTTACGTGTTAAATTTTCTATTTTTACGGACAGTTTTTAACGATTAAATTGGAAGAAGAACGTATTTAACGATTCGCGATGTCGTGGTTGGCTCTTTCGTAATGATTTCTGGCGTTTCTGTGCGACACTGCCCGATGACGTTTACAAACGAATTCTCCATACTGTTCCGTGTTATGTAATACAATTGCGGTAAGATTCGACCGACGAGGACCCGTTATTGCGGGTACACTCGGTAAAATCAATCGCAACCCGAAATATGGTAATTACAATTACGTGACGCTGTTTGATTATTTATCGTTAATCGACCCGATGGGCGATTCTTGCGTTTACTTTTAATTTGTCGCGAGTGTAAATTCGATTCCGTTGTAAATACTGCTCGGCCTTTTCATTCGTGCAACGGTTATGAAATGATCGTCGGACGGACAGGAATTACATAATGTTTTACTCCGATAGACTGCTTGGACAATCAAATCGATCATATCGTACGCGATTCTATCGTTAATTATTGAACTACAAAATATCTCATTTGTCCTTGCATTTCCTTAGTAGCAATTTTATTTCGTAATTTTTAAAAATCTTCACTGGATATGGACATTAATATTCTACTTGTAGTCGTCGATCTGTAATATAATTGTTGCACAGATCATCGGATCATTTATTTTCATTTACAAAAATTACACGAACATCGTGCCTTATAATACATTCACAATACCCTAGATATTTAGCGGTTCTTAAATTTGATTTTTGAGGTACGATTTTCAAAAACAGGCAAAACTTTGCGTGAACAATCGATCAAATTTTTATTTAAATTTTATAGCTGTAATTTTTCTCTAGATAATAATTATAATTATCCAAGTTTCCGCGATTTTAACGAATCGAACACGGTGTGCGTTCTTTTGTTAAAATTTGTGAGTTCAAGATCGCTTGAAAAATCCGTTCTTATCGCTTATCAACGACGTAGGATCCGAAAATCTGTTCTGTAAACTCGTTGATAGTCGCGAGTCCACAATTTTCTCGCCAACGATAACGAAACGATTCGTTCGATCTCGAAGCATATTGTGTTAGTATTCTTAAAACAGTTTAGTCTCTGTCGTGCTAGCTACATTCCTCGTGCGTTCTGCCGTCTTTCTGCAACTCTTGAGGTTCATCGATTTTCACCAAATCAATAGAATCCAACGGTCTTACCGTCTCGCAGAAATAGCTTACTCTGATTTCAAACGGTTGACTTATTTGTTATTCGATTTCCCGACGAATTCTGTTATCCATTGTGCCTACCGCCGGGGAAAGCGTTTCCTTGCAAATTCGTTCGAAATTGGAACGTTCGATCGCATTTTACAATTAACGGTTTTTCCTCGAATGAATGAACGAACTTTCTTTTCGTCACGATCAGCACACGCAGTTTTTAGTCGAACTTTCAAATAAAATTGATAGGCTGGCGAGAAGAATACGATTATTTTAACGAATTTAATAGTATGGGCGTCAACTCTTTATTACATAACCTAACTCGACTGGGCGCACAATGAAAACAATTTCTGTTACGTCGATTGTAGACATTTTGTAGAATTTAGACACGATGGTTTTGTACGAGAACATTTAATAACTCTACAGATCGTTGTTTATTGTTTAATTCGAATATTAATTCATGAATGTATAAATAACCAGTAGAGGGATAATAATAATAATTGCGTGAAACTTACAATCGAAATTGAAGTTAAAATCGATGAAATTCAAACGATATTTTACTTAATTAGTGTTTTATAATTAATTACCAATATTGACTCTGATTAAGTGAGAATAATTTTATAATTATTCTTGTCCGTAGCCTGTTTTCTTGATACGTAGACTTACAAAATTTTGTTGTATTAATTAAATAATGCTCGTTTATATTTTAAGTATGACAAGCATCGCATTATTACATATTTATGTTTCACGCGTTCGCGAAATTTTTGTAATATTGACATACATCGTTCCAAACACAAAACAGGAAGTGCTGAGTCTAGACGCAACGATTAATATTTTGTGATTAATAAATTATACATTTGAAAAGTTGCTGACAGACGGCACTTTGTTAGTTCCTAAAAATAGGTCAGTTTTTTTATTCAGATCACTCGCTGAAACAGGAGTTTCTATTTATAAATATATCGATCTTGTATAAATAGCTTGATTCCAAATATTAAATATAAAAAGGAAATTCTCAACTTCAATTTGGTTAACCTCATCGGGCCTGATATACAGGGTGTTCGGCAACCCTGGGAAAAATTTTAATAACAAATTCTAGAGGCCAAAATAAGACAAAAATCAAGAATATCAATTTCTTGACTGAGGCTTCGTTAAAAAGTTATTAACAATTAAATTAAAAAATTTCAAATCGTTCTGGAAAAATTATTTTCGGTTGCGGGGTCAATTACAATCATTTTTGGTCATTACACATACCTTCGAATTCCTACCCACTTTCGAAAAAAAAATTCGAGTAGGTACTAAAATTTTGAGACGAAATTAAAAAATTTCAAATCATACTGAAAAAATTATATTTAGTTACAGGGGACAATTACAAGCATTTTTGGTGAATAGACGTACCCCGAAATCATTTGCACTTTCGAGAAAAAAAATTCTTTACCGAAAATCTAATATGAGGCCAGAAATGCTTCCCTGCAATTTCATGGGAATCTTTAAAAAGTCATAACTCTTGAACGGATTGGAGGATTTTAATGTTTCAAAAAGCAAACAACGCGTATTTTAGTGGAGAATATGTAGGGATTATGAAAATATTGGAAAAGTTGCTCCTTGACCCCGTAAAATGAGAAAAACCCCATAAAAGTGGTCCAATTTTCAGACGGCCATAACTCCTACAATAGTAAAGGTATCTCATTGAAATTTTTCTCTAAAGCAGAGCCCATGGGTAGGTACAAAAAAGTATTAGACAACTTTTCTGTAGAGCGTCAAACAAATTTATTAAAAATGAAAAACAAATTTTTAAGAAAAATCGACAGGGCGGTGGTGCCTAAATTATTCGATGAAAAAAAAATTTTCAAATCGTTCTGAAAAAATTATTTCTAGGTTCTGGGGTCAAATACAACCAATTTTGGTCATTAGACATACCCCTGAAATCCTGCGCATTTTCGAGAAAAAAATTCAGTATTGGCGGAACTTTAAACGTTAATAACTTTTTAACGAAACCTTCATCAACAAATTAGTATTCTTGATTTTCGTCGTACTTTGGCCTCTAGAATACCCCATTGAAATTTTTCCCAGGGGTGGCTGAACAATATGTATAGATACTGCCATGCACATGGATTTTGTTATTATTTTTTTATTACAGAATAATTATTTTCTTAAGCTAATAAATGTTACCAACGATGGGTCTTTGTTTATGTGTTTTTGTGACATACAATGAGATTGGTAAAAAAAATATTAGGGTTACTAAGAGCTTTTAAATAATATTTTTTCGTTAAGAAATGTAAGATTTTATATAAAAAATCATATTTATTCTTTACACGAAATTTTAATTCATAATTTGAAATGTGTTAATTTACATTTATACGAAATTTTACATTGAAAATAAGCCGATACATTATTGCACATTATCAATAAATATCATTGCAATTATCAATATTCATTATAATTTGCTCATTCAGTATTTATACAATTGCAAATAATTTAAGCTGTACAAGGAATATAAATAAACTTTTTATTCCAAACAATAGATTCAGCATCGAGAAGGTTGAATAGACTTACTACTGTCGAATAATATAAAATATAAGTATGTAAAATACCATTTTATTGGATAAATTATCAGAAATATATCTTTCTAGTTTATAGCTGACACAGAATTATAATTGTAAAAACGATTATTAAATTCATAAAATTAAAATACACGTATAAATGTGAAGTTTATCCGTTTCAAGTAGTAATATTTGAAATAAACCAGACTGGAGGACGCAATGGTACGTAATCGTGCCAATAACTATCAAAGTGGCCTAAATCAATAGTTTTTACTTCTCTTTTCTCTTCATTCTCCTACCATAGATCAACGTATCACAGAATAAGCGATAATCTTTTCTTTTTTTTTTTTAATTTTCAACATATAATGAAAGAAAGTATTGGAAAAAATTTTTGTTACAAACAAAAACACGTTTCAGATAAAGCCTGTGCACATTTTCATTTAAAAACAAAACTTTTTCTCTTAATGTGCGTATCTCATAATTTTTTTATCTGTCTGATAATTAATTGTAAAAATTCTAAAGAATGTTTTAACCGAATTCTAGAGGGAATCAAAGTTACCACAAGTATAAAAATATTAATTTAAACTTTATTTATTCTGCATTTGAGGCATATTGTTAAACCCAAAATGTTGCAATTAATATTTTTACAAAACGTTTCAAATGGATTCTAGAGGGAATCAAAGTTACCACAAGTATAAAAAAATTCAATCAAATCTTATTTATTCTGTACTTGAGGCATATTGTTAAACCGAAAATGTTCCAATTAATAGCTTTACAAAGATTTTTTACAAAAATTCTAAAAAATGTTTCGTATGGAGTCTAGAGGGAATTGAAGTTACTACAAGTACAGAAAAATTGAATTAAATTTTATTTATTCCGTACTCAAAGCACGTTAATAAAATGTTACGATTAATATTTTTATGAAAACACTGTTTTATTCAAATAACTATTATCTTCGATGGAGATAGTATTCGATTCTGTGAATTCCAATTTTGTAATTGACGAACAAGATGGAGTAAATAAATGGCAAATTTGATTTTACTTTCGTTCGGATACAACGCGTCATTGCGGTTGCTGTAGTAACGTAACATTTTCACGGTTTTTTCGAGATATCGATCACTCGGCGCGCGAAACGCGACGGCGCCACAAACTTAGACGCCGACGCGGTTCTTTTATGAAGTAGGTCGTTGATATTGTTACATTCCACCTTCGAATCTCCGTACAGGAAATGGCATCCCTTGTGGCGTTCTATCGTCGTTGCTTTTATCTCGGATGTTAGGCGCCCGGCGATGGACACGATGTCCTTGTAAAAGTTTCGACGTCGAGGAATCGAGCCGCAATAGGGACATATCGTGGCAACCACGTTTTAGGGTCACCTAAATTCTCTAGGTTCACTTCACGTGCACGCGAATCGATTTTCAAACGTAATGGTAGTTGCCTGCTAAAAAAGCACCGAACACCAACGACTAAATTTATTTAGAATACTAGAACTACCGACAATTATGATGTATTTGTTTGTACCAAAGATATTAAAACGATAGATTCAATGGAAAGATAGAAATAAAACACGATGCAGAAATTCAGTCGATTATATCTTTTGTAATTTTTATTAGAAACTACGAACAAGCCATTTTGGCCATTTCGATAAAATAAAAACGAAGTTTGTTTTTTGATTTCCAGTAAATATATTTTGGAGCACTATCAATTTTTAATTTGTATCCTTGTATATAATTCATCGCCAAATTATACATTTTCTGCGGAAAGATGTTTTGGCCGGAATAATTCCGATTGGCCTCGGCCATCAGTGGAATTTGAATATTATGCATTCCCAGCGTATGCATATTTGAAACTCATATTCGAAACGTGCGCAGAATATATGCACTCGTGCAAAATGGAATATCAATGATGAATTTATTTATGAAATGTATTCTCTATACATTTTGCAGGGTTTCTACGCCTCATTAAAAACGAATCCAATCAAATTTTCATATACAAGGTATTAATCACACTTGGGCAAAATTTTAATGGGGTATTAAAGAGGCCAAGATAAGACGAAAATCAAGAATACCAATTTGTTGATGGAGGCTTCGTTAAAAAGTTATTAACGTTTAAAGTTCCACCCATACTGAATTTTTTTCTCGAAAATGCGCAGGATTTCGGAGATATGTCTATTCACCAAAAATAATTGTAATTGACCCCCGCAACCGGAAATAATTTTTCTAGAACGATTTGAAATTTTTTTTTTCGTTGTAAAATTTCACACCTTCTCGAATTTTTTTCTAGAAAGTGGGTACGATTTCAGAGGTATGTGTAATGACCAAAAATGATTGTAATTGACCCCTGTAACTAAATATAATTTTTTTAGTATGATTTTAAATATTTTAATTTCGTCTAAAAATTTCAATACCTACTTGAATTTTTTCTCGAAAATGCGCAGGATTTCGGGGGTAGGTCTATTCACCAAAAATAATTGTAATTGACCCCCGCAACTGAAAATAATTTTTTCAGAACGATTTGAAATTTTTTAATTTAATTGTTAATAACTTTTTAACGAAGCCTCAGTCAAGAAATTGATATTCTTGATTTCCATCTTATTTTGGCCTCTAGAATTTACTATTAAAATTTTTCCCAGGGTTGGTTGAACACCGATAATCGAAATTTCATTACTTTATTTGTTTGCTCGATGAACAAATAAAAGTTTGAACTGTCATTAATGTAAGATTATATTTTACACTTTTTATTATATAAAATTTTATGATTAACTCTCAAGAATAAATTCCTATACATCGTAATATATCGTATAAAATTATTTCAGAAAAAGCTGCGAAATATACATGGGTTGTATATTTGTTTAAAGGCAAGAAATTGTTACTGTGTATATCAAATTATGCATACGTATATTATGGAAGAAATTATGTTGGGAAGAATAGGTAGAATGGAAGTTAAAATTAACACGCGACGTTAAAATGGCCGACACACAGTCGGAGGAAGTCTGATATCGTACAAGTCTTCCTCGAACAAGGGTAAGACGTGTATGGTTGGTTCAGACGGAGCAATACGTAATCCAACAGTGCGGATATGTATCTGTATGTGCAATGTAGCGAACCTCACACACAGGGATCAATAACCTACTTTGGTTTCCTCGTACTAAAGATCGTTGGTTGGGTCGTAGCATCAATACTGGCGTATACGTTTTTCTCTCAGCTATCTTGTCTTTCCTATGCATATCCGCTATAGTCGACCGTAGACATTTTTCTTTTTTTATACAATGGCGCACACGAAGGTTTGCAAGGGAACAGTTGTGCACCCCCATTCGCTACAAACATCTATTTCTCTATATTAATTGTTTCGGTATTAAACTTATAATAAAATAAAAAGTCTAGTAACTTTGTTTAATTTTTTTGTTTGTTTAGTTTGTTGTTTAATATAAAAATATACTTAAATATAAATTTAAGTTTCTTCTTTTCATGTCAATAAAAGAGTCGTAATATTTGAAAACATTCTTTTAAATATATGCTCGAGTCTGATAATTATTCTCGCAATTTTTTGGATCTGAATTTGACAAAAATAATCGAATATTTAATTTTACGATACGACGAACAGCTGTTTACATTCCGTGCATATCTCACACGTGACAATTTGACGACGAACTTATCCATTTTATAGAGGCGTTCGCAGTAACAATTGTATTACGGAATAAAATAATAACTTTTACAGTGAATCATGAATGCTCGAACAAATGCAGAATCTATGATATATCGTTATTTAAAATAAGGTCAACATCCTGCTTGAAGAATTGTCTTCGCGTGAACATCGTTTTATAAATAAAAGTTATTTCCTATCCAGAAGTGATAGTGATAGAAATGTTATGTCACGTTAAAATTGTAACAAATGTTGCTTCTCCGTAGCAATAATTTATTACGTTTTACAAGGAAATTTTCCGCACTGCTAAAATATATTTTTTAAATCCAGCAACGTTGTTTCCAAACGATGTAAAAAATAGGTACGTTGACCAGACAGTTACGCAACGAGTCTAACAAGCTTTGGAGACGATTCAAGTCCTTGAAATCGATTTCATTAGTGTGGGTATTTTAATAATCAACCCAGAACGCTGCTTATTAAAATTCATTACGTCAATGTATTATATTTTTAGATCTTATTTGATATTTGCAAATACCAATAAAAGCTTTTATTAAAAAATATAATCTTAGATTAATAATATATCGCTGTACATAATCTATACACATTTTTAACGTTATAAAGTTTAATATTTTTCCTTTCACTCGGCTCTCGGTTTCTTAATGTATATTTTTCTACAATAAAGACGGTGTATTGTTTGATATTAACTATCGAACAGTACCAAGTGTAAATTGATAAAGAACGGAACATCAGGTTTAAATTAGTATTCTATTGATCGCATCTCGCGCACGGTATATTGCAATACGGATGACAATAACAAATGACGCGATTCTTCGAGGACAGATTGTCCGTGGCAAACAAGTATCAACGAATCTTATAACAAACGCGTTGCATTGCTTACTCAATACCAATTCAGGCCAATTAGACCTCGGATCATAATTGCTACAATGTCCTGGAGTTTGGTTAGTACGAATGCCCATGAGACAAATTATTCCTATGAAACGAATGTACGTTTCATCGAAGAGTCTTTTTTCTTATTATCTAAACTCGAAGAGTAACGATAAGTATATACAAATTTGTCAAATGCCTCCAAACTGTGCCTCGTGAGAGTCTCTCGAAGTTAGTAATTTATTTTCCATCAATTGTGCGAGATTTTCAAAAAATTAACAATTTGTCGTTTTTTGATTGCAGGGAAGATCTTATTATTCTACGTTATTTTCTACGCGGTACTGGCTGGCTTCTTCGGGGCAATGTTGACCGTTTTCTATCAGACGTTAGACCCAAACGCGCCGAAATGGCAAATGAATAATTCCTTGATCGGAAACAATCCTGGACTCGGTTTCAGACCAATGCCGCCACCAAGTAACGTCGACAGTACCTTGATTTGGTACAAAGCCAGCGACGAAGGTAACTTCTTGCACTGGACCAGGGAATTGGACAAGTTCCTCGAAGGTAATTCACTTTTATTGTATCGTAAAAGATTCGAGCCAGACAACTTCCGTCCGCCATCTTGCAATCAAGCATCGGGTTTACGCGACCCGTCCATTCTTTACGTGTCTTATCAACGCCATTGAAATAGATAGAAATTGTCCCCCATTTTCTGTAACCACAAAATTATAATCAAAAACACCTTGTTAACATAATAGGATTTTGTAATAGGATATTGTAATAGGATATGTTCGACTACGTGTTTTTAATCGTAATCTTATAAGGGGAATTACAGAAAACAAGGAACAGTTTCTACACATTTCCATTTATATTGGAAGTAATTCATATTATTGTCACTAAATAATTAATTTTCATTCATCCTGTATATTAGTTTCCCTTACTATTTATATAATTTGAACTAATCACTAAATATTAATACTTCTCTTACCATTACATGTATAAAAAAAATTATTCTCGAGTTTCAATTGAATTATGTTATTCTTGATTTTCATCTTATTTTGGCCAGCACGATCATCCTCTAAAATGATTACTATTAACAGCTAGCTGAATATTTCTTCATCATTAATTACTAATATTATGTTCGAAAGAGTTATATGTTTTTTAGTTTGATCTTAACGTTCTAGGGTATCTTGAGAAGATCACGTTATAATAGTTTAAACAATTTATTACAACGATGCTCCTCGTTGTTAACACTAGAACTACCAATTATAGTGTAATCGAAACCACGATTTTGCAAAAATCCAGTCGAGCAAATGTGTAACAATTTTTATTAGAAATGATGAATGGTTCATTTTGACCAATTTGGTAGTTCTGGTGTTAAAAGTTCAAACGGTAGGTATAAATATGTCGAACGAAATTATTGGCACAGATATATTAAGATGCTAATATTAACCGATAAGCGAGAAAACCTTCCTTGTTCTAACCAGCCAGTTATGTCAGGAGCTCGTTAAATCTGGTCAAGGTGACGCCAATCTTCGGATCGGAGTTTTAAAATGTCCGTTCGCTCGGTATACGCGTTCGCGACGAAATATTTTTCCCGCGAATTATTCAAAAATATTTGCGTTCGTTGGAAACTATCGCGATTAAACACGATACGACGTTGAACTAATCCGATGGCTTAAAGAGCTCGCTTGGGGTTTCTTCAGAGTACCAAAAATCGTCCGCGTCCGCGAACGACGCCCAGAAGAGGATGATTTGCGACTACGACAAACGACCAACGCCTGGCAAAGTCTGCGACGTGGACATGACGCTGTGGGGACAATGCACGAAGGAAAACAAATACGGCTTCAATAGATCCGCTCCTTGCATTTTCTTGAAGCTGAACAAGGTACGTGGCCTTTTTAGCGAAGAACAGTGAGTTCCAACTGACGACTATCGGTCGATTGCTTTTTATAAATTTTATTTATCAACATTGATCCAACAACGAAATCTTCCAAGCAAATAAATTTCATGCAAGTTTAAAATTTTCAAGATGTACGTATTAATCTATTTTTATTTAGAAGCCTTTGGAAGATATCTTAATTTTAGCGTTAAATCGTTAAAAAATTCTGATACTCTTGTCAATGTTATGAATATTTTTCCAAGGCATTTTCAAGGCAACGTTTTGCACGTGCGATATTGTAAATACAACATTGACGTTGAAATATTGCCGCCATAATTATGGAATTACTAAATGTTGCACGGAGGAACATTTGTATTCTCGTTGAAATTAGTATTGTTATTGAATGGAAATTTATTATTCCATTTGAAGAAAGAAGCAAGTAGCGGATCCTGGTAATTTCAATTGCAGATCTTCGGCTGGAAGCCTGAATATTATACCAACTCGAGCAACCTGCCGAGCAGCATGCCCTCCGATCTGAAAAAGCACATCAAGCAAGAAGAGCAGGGCAACAGGTTGGACACCGTTTGGGTATCGTGTGCCGGTGAAAATCCAGCCGATGTTGAGAACATGGGGGCGATTCAGTACATTCCACGTCGTGGTTTCCCTGGCTACTATTTCCCCTTCACAAATACTCCAGGATACCTTAGCCCTCTCGTGGCTGTTTTCTTCGAGAGGCCTAAATGTAAGAATTCAACGCATAAACATTTTTCCCCATTATTATGATGCCGCTAGTTTGAGGGAAACTCCATTTTACGCAGGCTTCATGGAGGAATTGTGCATTAAATTTTACGTATAGTTTCAATTCTATCATTTATATACTACAAAAGAGTGTCCCACGTAACTAAGAATAGCTGCATCTCTAAAACAGAGATACAATAAAATTAAATGACATCGATGTATTGTGTGTCCGCGAGAAGTTGGTCAGCGAAAGGAATTCGAGTCTGATTGGTTTAGAGTTTGGCGAGTCCATGGTCCCATTGGTCGAAACAACGAGAGTGGAGATAGGTGGCGCCAGTAAAGTACATACTTATTTAGCCGTTATGCTCGTCAATAAGCACGGATATTAATAGAGTTGGTAGAATCCAATACGTTTACCAAGAACTTTATTACAACGATTAACTATTTAATAACTTGTGTATCTTGTTAACTTAGTAACAAACGAATCAACGTTAATTTAAATTTAACTGAAACCCCGGGAACTAAATCCCGAGCTCTCCGGTCGGTAAAGAAGAGCAGCGCTGTCGCCACACTCCCCTAGTCAACTTCTCGCGAAGACACAGTACACACTGAACGTAATTTTATTCATTTTTATGCGTTTATAACTGCAACTCTGTAATTTTGATTGCACCGGTCAATGCAGTTTTTCAATCTCTACAAAAAAGTATTACGATACTTACGCCTTAAATTTAATAATTCAAGAGTTAATTTGAGGGCTGTTTTGTTAATTTTTAGCGGCGTACGATATAAAAATCCTTTGAATAATCGAAGGATTTCAGATTGATAGGACCGTAACGAGAGTAAATTTTTCAGATGGTGTTCTGATCAATATCGAATGCAAGGCCTGGGCGCACAACATCATTCACGACAGATTCGAGAGGCGCGGCTCGGTACACTTCGAGCTAATGGTGGATTAAGCGCAGCACTTGCCACCTTTTGTAAGACCACTACCAACTGCGTCCAAGAAAAAGTAGGAAGAAGGAGAATAAGACAAATTTCTTTTTTAATCAATCTCGCTGGCGGATCGTGACCACTCCTTCTTTCCTCCGGTTTCTCTCTGCCGACGATACCGCCCTAGCCGCGTTTTATTATCGTAGATCCGTCAGAAGCTCACGCTCATTCTATCACCATACTCATCTTCGAAGTGGATTCTCTTCATTGTGATCTTTACCGTCGTTTCTCATCGTCGCGCTTCTTACTACCATTAAAAAAAAAAAGGAATCGTTCTTCGAAAGATCGTTGTTCGTGTTCGTTTCATTTGTCACACACACACACATACACACATATATACACGGTACTCACATAAACGACACACGATGCGTAGGGCCGCCGCGCGATCACCGCCGTCGCTTCCACGGGCAAACAAAAAAGAAAAAAAAAAAAAGAAAAATGTAAAAAAAAAAACGGTTTATCACAGAACGGTAGAACGGACCAGTGAAATTGGCTATATATATATACCAAGCTGTACACACAGGATGATACATGAACTGTTATGTATCGTGATGCACAAAAAAAAAAAAAAAAAACACAAGTTCAGCGGAAAATTTCTGCACAAAACGAACGGCGGTATATCCTTTCTTTCTATCGGGGGCGAAGGGGAGTGGTCGGTACTGTCAGGATCTAAGTATCGTTATCGGGGGTATTCGTTGGAACGCGTAAGAAGTTTTCCCTCACTTGTTTCGCCCCGTTTTTGCGAGTTTTTTCGCTTTTCGTCGTGGTTCTTCTGTTTCCGTTCACGGTCTCGTTGCGGGCTTTGGGGGCGCGTCAGTAACACGTTCATTTCGTTACTTTTGTCCTCGGACTCGTTGGTACTCGCCTGGTCGACGAGACCGCTAACGTGTAGGGTACACTGAGGATAACTGATACTCTTAGTTCGTGCCACGTAGACGTATTAATGAAAATGGAAAAAAAATACTTAGTGTCTTTACGCCCGTCGGTACGGTGCACCCGGCACGGTGGAACTTTTGATTTCGAATTCCACGAAGAAGCTCTCGGACGCGGCTCTCGGGCGAATCTCGATCGAAAGTTCCGCCGTTTCGGGGCTGAATGGCGAGGGAACGTCCGCAAAATCGAAATTCACACGCAACGATAATGGGATCGTCGAAACGAACGCGACGACGACGACCATTCGTCCATTTTGAGGCGTTTCGCGCGGTGGAACTTTTGATTGAATATGTCCCATAACATTCCCCCGCCAGTGTTCCTAATATATTTCTGTCTTGGATCGTTGGATCTCACGTTCGACGCAGAGTTAGGTTATGGACACTGCTTGCGTGTACAGCGAACGTGCTTTAATGGCGGTAACGTTGCTATTTATTTATTTATCGTAAATACAATGGATGGTATCGAGGACGTAGGAAATTCTAAATTAAAGATTTGACGAAAGAGAACGTATTACGTTTTTTCAATTGGCGATTGTAAATTCGGTGAATGTAACGGCTTCCGTGTCGTTGCCGCCATTAGCGTGAACGTAGACGCCAAGAGTGCGCGCATGCGCCGTACGCCATATTCGAAAAGAAGCGAAAGTAGCGAAAGGGTGCGAACATTTCGTTGGATTTCGATTTGTCGAGAGAAGAGCGCGCGCAGATCGCAGGGGAAAAGTTTAATCAGCCTAGTGATAACCGTACGACACCGTATGGAATATGTATTTATGATTATATTGTACCGCATGATAATATCTAGCGCTAGTCCACGCAATCGTATAGTCGATAGGTTGTATCATACAGTCTGGAGATCAGAGGAATTATGTTCTATTTCGGCGGACTTAACTATCGAATCGCAAAAGGTTCGTTCATACTTTGATTCCGATCGCGTTTCTCGTGATTACACGCGTTCGATAGAGCGAGCGCTGCTTTAGATTTATTTGCTTATCGTTGGAGCATCGTTCATCGTCATTGTTTTCCATTCGTTCGAGACTCGAGTCGCGTAAAATACAAAAAAAAAAAAAAAGAAGACAAACATGGCGTCGAATCATCTGCGTTTCATTCCTTCCTGTTTTTACGGCGATCAATCGCGTCACGTATACTTAAAGCGAAACATAGAATGTTTGGCACCTCTGATCTCCCGTCTTTGTGGCTTGTACTTAGAAACAAAACTGGTTGTCCCGAGAGCTTGTTCGTTTCTTCGAATGACAGCGTTTGCGCGGTGGTCGTCGCCCCTTTGCATCTGGATCCTTGGCTCGCGGTTTATACTCGATGGACATTCGACGGGGGTACGAAATATTATAACGCTGATCGACTAAACGAGGATCCGTTTACTCCTCAATTATTTCCAGATTACGCTTATACGTTCACTACCAAAGAAAGAGAAAAAAAAAAAATAAGAAAAAGAAAAATCATACTGCCAAATATAATACGTTCCCTAATGAATATAATCTGTTACCTGTTACGCGAGTAATTGTTCGTTCTCAGATAATTTATTGGGAATTTTAAAGTTCGTTGCACTCTACGTTGATTTTTAACCGCCATGTTGTACGCTGCGAAATATAGTATTTACGTGTTACGATTAATCTTTCGTTTGTGGGATTGGTGTTTCGAAAAAGGCAAATCGATTCTGATAGTATGAACGATCTCGGTACTTAAAAAAGATAAAAAAAAAAAAAGAAACAATAAAAAAAGACATCAAAAGAATTTACATTAAATTCTCGGTGAAAGCGTAGCGAAGGATCATTCTCGCTTACGGTTTAAGTGGACAAAACGATAGTACAAAGATTATTGATCGAGCGATCCGAAACGGGCGGCGACTTCGACCTGTGAGCGCTGCCAAAAACAAATCATAATTTGATTGCTGTTTATTAATCGTCGTAACGAGCGATTATTATTATTATCGTTATTATTATTATTTTCTTGGGTCCTCGCCCGGAGCCATGTTGAAATAAGACAAAAAAAAAAAAACTTACCATAGATTAATCGTCAATGATACTATTAACTTTTAAGAAAAAAAAAAAAAAAAACACGGAAAGAGAGAAAGAAAGGGAGAAGCAGAGTGCATCAGATGATACGAAAACGATGGCATTGATGGGGTGATGATGACGATGATGGTAATGATGAATCTCACATTGACGGTTGTAATGTACTATTTAGGAATTATTACACGTGTATAGCGCATCGTTCGAGATCGACTATATGTATGTATATTCATCATTATGAACGAGTTGTTTCTAATAATAACATCTGTTGTTGGGAGTCACGGTTTCGCACGAGCGTGAAAATGAGGAAAAAAAAGAAAATATGAATAAAACGAGAAAGACGTGGAAAGGACAGGGAAGGCAAATACTAGTCACGAATCAGATTCAGTCGAGTAATCATGCTTAAAGTTTCTTCGATCGTCGGCATGGTGCGTTCGCGTTTCGAAACCGAGCTGGGCGATAATCCAAAGAATCAGGGTAGAAAGCTGGTAAAAAAAAATAAATTATTAAACTTACACGTTGTTTGCGTCGGTCGAATGTACTGTCGGAAGTACGCGCGATCTACCTGCAAACTTCACTTTTATTTTCCAGATTCTACGTGGAACGTGTTTCCGGTGTGATAATTGTTATCTCGATTAGCGCGTTGAGTATGAACGTGAGACGTATGCGTATGAGCGTAGATGAAAAAAAAAATTTGTGTTGAAAACAAAGAAAAAAAGAGGGGGAAAAAAGTAAACAAAACATCGCGAGGCTGCAAGCTGTAAAGATATATTTAAAGATTAAATATCAGGTATATATGGCATTATACGTATAGTTAAAAAAGTCGTCGACGATACGTAAGTACGCGTGTCGTCGTATCTAATTATATGTTATCGATACGTCTTAAGATATTGCTACCACCGACGATGGAATTCCCGAACGACCTTTAATATTAGCAGAATTTCGACAGAACTCACGAATAACATGACATGTGAACGCTAAATAAACAGCAAAGAATAACGGAATATTGTTCTAATTAAGATAATTAATCTCATTAAGTAAGTTTAAGCGAGATTCGTATATTGTAAAGCATATATGCATGCATACTCGTTATATACTTATCCGTTAAAGGAATACCAAACGATAATACGTGTGTATAAAATATTTAAGGATCGTCTTATATTGTATACATGCGTTGGAAACCGCTCATTTCAGCACGAGAATTAATCCTATATCGATACATGCGTAGGTCACATCACAAATCGAAATGGGAACCGACGACGACGAGCCGATATGTATTATTGCGTCGGGAGAACAGCCGATGAAACGAGAAATATTCGATACACGGAACTTGTGGTCACCGGAAGCGATATCAGATTTCCTTTTTCAAGACACCTTGTCCGCCCGGATGAACCATGGATTCGTCTCGATGGCCCAAATTAACGATCGTCCCCAAACGAAACGGACGTACATTTCTCAATTCGATATGCTCGGTTAAATGATCAAAGGAAGATGTCTATGATTTCTGTTTGACAAAACTAAGAGGACTCGGTGTACTGAAAAAGGAAAGCAGTGGATACCGATAGAGATTGAAAGATTCATAAACGCATACGGCCGCATCTACTTTTCATACCCTTGTAACTTTCTATGTATAGGAAAGAGGTTCATCAAAGGAAGCTAACCGAACGTGATATTAAGACATAAAAAGAAATTATATACGTGAGTAGCGAAAGTAAAAGCGCCTTGCAAACTGAAAGGGGTGCTTTGCTCTGAAACTGCAAGACGAATTATAAACGTTTTATTGTCGCAAAAACACACACACACACACACACACACACACACACAGGACAACTCCTGCGTCTAACGAAGGGATTTTGCCAGATTACGAGGACTCGAACTTTAGCGTAGTTCAAGAAAAGAAAAAAAAAAAATCACCGCGAACCGCTGATGTTCCGAGGTATCGCTTTTTTGGGTCTTCGTGCACCTACGATTGTTGTTATCGAGTAAGAAAAAAAATTATGATGTACTTAAAAATCTATTACGATGACATTAATTATTAGATCTTCAAAGTGTTACCGTTAATAACGTACGATCTGCGTCAATATATAGCTGTCAAGAGGCCTGTTGATATATCATAGAACGAGATCGAGAGCGAACACGATCCGTAGATCGCTTCGCACTCGTACGGCTCGCGATCCACGAATAACGATTAATTAATTAGTCGGGACGAGACAGTTCGTCGATGAACTCGAGCTTTGTCTAGCTTCTTTTGCTGACTCCTTGCATTTGACTAATTGTAAGAATTAAGATCATCGAAGGCTTTTAATTTATTATCGAAGCGATCGTAAAAAGAAAATAATAATTAAGGAGTGTCGAATGCTCTTAGCACGAGGTTGCCCGCAGCTTAATAACGTTCACGGGGCGTGTTTATCTGTGTAAAAATACCGTGAATAAAATCCTCTGCGTGAAATACGACGTGATCGACGTCGATACTATGTTATTTGTCTCTGATGACTTTTAATACCGACAAGCTTTCGATCTGATTTCATTGCGATGTCGCCTTCGATTTCGAAGCTCGGACGTCAATTTTGGGGGTAAGATATTTAGGCATGGACACCTGATACCGACTCAAAGCAAAATGGTATGGCTGTTGATATCATTATGCTTGAAATGTGTTATGAAAAATAAACAGAATGTACAAAAAAAAAAGATTTTGCTGTTTCAGTTTTATTCTTACCGTCTGCACGTAATTGAACAGAGCAGGACTAAAAGAATAATAGCTAGGATAAGTAGAAGCGAACAAACTATAATCCGGTTAATGATTAACGATAATAATTGATTTTTCCGTATAGAAACAACAGGATCATTCGCTGCTACCAATCCCTTTCAGAAATTCCCGCCTTTAGATTTTCAAAGACGACACTTGCCCATTCTGAAACCAAGAAGTCGCTTTAAAAATATTAGCACAAACGAGGTATAGATTAGATTATGCAGGGTGACCTATTTGTTTAAAGCTGTGGTCAATTGAACCACAGACAAGGTACACAAGTAGACCTTTCACCTAATGTATTTTTTCGACCCATTTCTCTGGGGTCCCGGGACCCCATTAGTATTTTCGTGATTCAGAAATGAATTTTAATCCCTTCCATAGTCAATTCACATGGATTTACGCAAAACTACAGCTGTTTGCCTATCAATACTAATTTAGTGAATAGAGTTTCTCAACTGACCACCATCCCTTAGAAGAGGACGCTAAAATCACCTCCGAATTTTTCGCTCGGTATGGCAATTGTTCGAACTGACGTACAAAAAGACAAAAATTAACGAGATACACTCTTCCAAAGTGGAACAAAATGTTAAAAAGATCGTGCATCAAATTGTAAGGGGATCCTCGTAAGAAGGCTTTAATCTTCGTAATGGTTTTAATGGGTTGATGATCAACAATGACTTATGGTCACTGGTGGTCAACAGTGAGGTTGACATCAAGGTCAGCGGTCCAGTGAAGATCCAGAAATGGTCAAGAGGTGGGACCAATCGAAATAGTTTCTTTGTAGACAGGGCAGTCTTAACTGTTAACTTCAACTTTGGCTCTGACTGGTCTCCCCACCCTTTCCTCACCTTAGACATATAAGCAGGGTCACTGCGAAGAATTCTTCAGTCTCGTCGCGGATTCGGGAGTGGGCAAATAGCCAGAAGTGAACCGGGGACCACTGCTGACCGCTGATGGCCGCTGCTGACCATGGCTGACCATGGCTGACCAATACTGACCACTACTGACCACTACTGACCAGTGCTGACTCGCGTTCCTGCCACTACTGACCACTACTGACCAGTGCCGGACGGTGATGACCAACGGTAAGAACTGTTTAAAAATTCTCTCCCCTCTTCTATTCTATCGTTTGATGCTAATTTTGCTTCAATGAACTGATTTTGCCTTGCTTGCCTAACTGACGTTGCTATAATATGAATATTTTCTTACTTTACAGCTGGCCCAGTGGTAACTACCCTATGTACTGACAACAAGTAGTAAGTCCACTCCACTTATTTATATTTTATTATTTTTATGTGTTTGTTTGATGTGAATTCAAGCTTCGATATGTATAATATTGCAGGATATAATAATGTAATATCGTTTTCTTGCTCGAATTCTCGTAATATTCTACGGAGGTACTTTGTTGATTCCTCCATTTCGTTTGATTGTTTGGTGTTGATTCAACTTAGTGTCTCGATCCAAGTTCCTTTCATTACAATTACGAATGTTCGTTTTGATATGTATAACATTGTGTCGATGCATACACCATATTTGTTTCAACGACACTGATTGATATAAGATTTTTATTTTTACGTTTCAGCTTAAATTCTTGTAACATTTTGCTAATATACTCTGTTCAATTCCCTTTAGCTAGGTGATAGATCATTTTTAAGTGTTTGACGTCTCAGGGACGTGATGAGTCTACCTGGCCAAACATGAATAAGACTTCTCAGAGACGTGATAAGTCTACCGAGCCAAACCTTGGTGACGCTTTTGGCACGCACAGTTGGAAATTAAATCGTAAGGCAAGGGGGTAAAACGACTGGTTGTATACGTGCTTTCTTTGGCAAGTGTAGTTAGTACCTTTCGCTTAAAATTATAATCTTCTTGCACACCGCGATTTTTAAGATGACGAATGTCATAGTAGATTCATTTTTAATTTGACACTGATTTTAAAATGAATATATAATGAGTACATATACATATATGAATAGTACAACTTCCTCTCGTTCGCTTGTTCTCTGGTTCTCGCTTTCCGAGATTATGTCTCGACCGAAAGGATCGGAGAGTTTTGCTCGATCACCTCTGTTTGATAGAATGAAACATGTGACGCCTGTGTAGTAGGTGTGATAGCTCTTACCGCTTCAACCCCGGTGCAGCTTGGTTCAGCTTAAGTGGGGCCTCGCCGAGCGCATATATTCTCCTCTTTATACGGAAAAGAGAATGACCTCCGGCGAGAGTTCCTGACCCATATCCGTTCTCGAGTACTAAGCGGGTCCTGTTGTGACCGTGTGTCCTCCAGGGCCCGGCGGTTGTACGTAGAGAGGTCCGATAGACGTGGGTCAGGGGCGCGACTTGCTTTTCTGATAATCAAGGCCGGGGGGGATCAATCTGATACCCACACTCACTGCACGCTATGAGCACGTGTCGCGTCGCGTTTTATTTAAGCGTGCGATGTTTTTACACGCCGCAATTTTTAATATGACAAATATCGTAATATCAATCGAAAGTAGAGTCATGATTTTAATATCTTTTATAACACTTATAATTATATTCATTTTAGAATGAGTGTCAAATTAGTAGCTTCCGATATTCGTTGTTCTTTACATTCTTCAATAATTAAATTCACTTTCATAATTGAGTCGACGATTTTGGGTATCTTCGATATCGAGGATACCCAAAGTCTTTCTTTACTTATTAAAATATATCATTAGATTTACGTGCAAGAAGATATTTCGCGATAAATATATTTTAGAGTCAAAGTAACCTCGTATATTATGTACTATTTTTACTTTCTCACTGCACTTGCCTGTAGTTGTAGTATTTGTAGTTTTAATTTTTATTTGTTTTCTTACTAATCTATTAAACAAGTTTCTGTTACAGAGCATACTCCTATGGAAGTTTCAGGTTTATAGAAGTAACAATTAAGAATTGTTACAATTTTGTTTGATATTGCTTTGTTTGTGTTTCAGGAAATCATCGTGGGATAAACAGAAGATAGAAGAAAGAAGAATGTATTTCATGTATTTCGTTTCAGATTGCTTAGTTTATGTTTTAATAATTTAGATTTATAGTTAGGTAGAATGTAACAGAATGTTTCAGGAAATATCTTCGCCGAAGGATCAACAAGGAAGAATATATTTTCTATGCATTTTGTTAGATGATTAGATAGGTAGGATGTAAGTGAATTTAGATTTATAGTTAGGCAGGGGTTTGGTTCTCTATATTCATCATTATATCAGGCAGGCAATATTTTGGTCTATTTCTCTGTTTTGTTCAAATTCTTTCTCAAAAAACTCTTTCGTTGGTTGTTTCCTTCGTTGGTTGCACTTTCGTTTATTGCTTCTTCGACCAACGATCGCTGGTCACAATAGATTTTTACTAATGGAGGGTGGTTGGGAATCGGTTAGGGCGGGTCTCCATTCGCAGCAACCTCCACGTGGTGAGACCTGGGTAATATTATTTAGCGTTTAATTAATAATCGTATCACTCTTAGCTTGTAATGCAATTATTAATTAAAAACTAATTAATATTAGCAAATTGGCTGCGATCCGCTTTGCATAGGTCATCATAAATATAGAGCTTCTTCGCTAGGTTAGTTTTGATTCTCATTGATTCATCAAAGATTCTAGAGTATTGTCACGGATGTGTTATATGTAGAAGTAGATCCTTCATCCAATGTATTTTTGCGGCCTATTTTTATGGAGTCTCGAAACCCCATTACCATTTTCGTGTCATTAGCAACGTTACCGACAGATTCAGAAATGAATCTACAGCTGTTTGCCTATCAATACTAATTCGGTGCATAGTTTCTCAACTGACCGCCATCCATTGAACTTTATTTCTCAAGTAGAGATCATGGAAGTGAGACAGAAAATGAAATTACAGAAACATTCCTGGCCACACATAGTATTTTCGATTAGAAATTTTTTTCTCGAAAGTACGTAGGATTTCGGAGGTATGTTTATTCACCAAAAATGATTGTAATTGACCCCTGCTAGCGAAAATAATTTTTGTAGAGCGATTTGAAATTTTTTAATTTTGTCGAAAAATTTCACACCTTCTCGAATTTTTTTCTAGAAAGTGGGTAGGATTTCGGGGGTATGTCTATTCACCAAAAATGATTGTAATTGACCCTTGCAACCGAAAATAATTTTTCCAGAACGATTTTTCTTAAAAATTCGTTTTTGATTTATAATAAAGTATGGCGACCTACAGAAATGTCTTATACTTTTTTGTAGGTATCCATGATCTCTATTTCAGAAATAAAGTTCAATGAAATACATTCACTATTGTAGGAGTTATGGTCGTCTGAAAATTGCGTTTTTTAATCCCTTCCATAGTCAACTCAAATGTATTTATCCACGCACTACGCCAATGCAGTGCATAGTTTCTCAACTGACCGCCATCCATGAGAAGAGGGCGCTAAAATCACCTCCGAATTTTCAGGTCGGTATGGCAGTCAGATTGGGCCACGAAAGTCTACTCGTATGTGAAAGGTTTACTCGTATATCTCGTCTGTGGTGAAAGGCCTACTCATATACCTCGTCTCCGTTAAAATATCTACTCGTATATTTCGTCTGTGCTGATACAAGTTTTCAATAATCGGTTGAAAAGATATCTTCATGATGATGTATTGACTGACGGTACTATTCAAACTTATCAAGGTAGCAAATAATTTTATCAACAAACAAAAAGATCAAATCTGATACTTGAATTAAAACATCTTATATATTACAAATAAATTTTAATTTAGCAGACTAATTTCGGTGTGGGGATTAAGTGTCTAGTAAAATCAGAATCAAACACAGTCCATCTTTTTATTATTTAAAAAATTACAAAGTTATATGGAATTTCAGTACAGATATTAAAAATACATTAGAATAGATCATTCACAAATTTAGTCTTTGTTTATTAGCAAAATAAATACATATTTATTTCATTCGTTAAAGAAATTTCTCGTCAAACTATCCTTCACGATTATCTTAATACTTACATTGACATTATTTATTAAGTTTGTAGAAAGACTCTTTTCGAGAATTCATTCAATTACTAAGTAACATTTAAGAACTATACTATAATTGCATCGTCTTTCGATATCTCTGTATTTGTTGATACGAATTATTTTATTATTACTATTATGTTACAAAAGAAGAATGATTACACGTAGAAAATAATTTCAGGTTAAACTTTTAAAAGTAACGATCTCGAAACAAATTCGTAATTGTTCGCTAGCAAATGTTCTAAAAGCATGTTCGAAAAGATTTATTTTAGTTTTCCTAAGAACAGTAAAAGTTAGAGACAATCTGGCTAATGAGTCGAATGCGTCACGTCGTTTACAGGCGGACATATTATAATTTCTGTTTTTAAGAGGAAATGGTCGTACGAGGTCGAGACATTTAAGACGATTCTTCCGTCTATTTTGCCCGATCCTCTCAGTCCGACGGCAATGACATTAATGTCACACGACACAGTGGACAGGATGCGGTTAATTCAGATCGGTCGTCGTGTGTGACTCCATTATATATGCGCGCGCGCGACTCATCTCGATGTGACGAAAAGAGGGAGGAGGTAACTGCTAATGGTCCAGTGCTGTGAATCGCATACACGAGTCGCCTCCAGCCACTAAGGTCACACACACGAGGTTTGACCTTAGCCCCCAATTTGTTTCACGACGATCAAGCCGAGGAAATCGTTTTCGTAGCCATCTTCGTCGGGATAGCTAACCAATGACTACGCTATGCAGGTGAATTAACAATGATTATTACGGCTATCATCGTCCATTAAAATTCTCACAGATATTGAAAATATTTGTTTTACCAGAACAAGGAAAAGATTAATTAAACTCAGTTCCTCGAAGTCAATTACAATTGATTTAACGTTAGCTTACAGCGCGCATATTTTGTCCCCACTCTTTGTTAAATCCCATGATTTTATATGCTACAAATCCTTTCAGATATTTTTTTATGCTGTATAAATACTTTCATGAATTGCATAAATTTGTTGCAGTTAATATTTTTGTTTGCTTAGCCAGTTTTTCAGTAAATATAATATTGGTTGAATTAGAAATGTTATTATTCAATTTTGTCTTCGTTGTACAACATTATTTAGTACACCATTGTCCTCTTTTGTAATTGATTAACTATTGCATATCCGTTTTGCTAAGAATTTTTATTAAATTATTATTATAATTTTAGAGGATCTAACTTATACATATCATTACTTAATAAATACCTTAAGTTATAGTTGTGGTAAATATATAAGATAATAATATAGTGCCACAATTATTTATTCAATTATAGAATATCATTGAATTTTCAGGCTTGTTTCTTCAAAATTGTTAAAAATATAGTATGCATAAAGGCAAGTTTTTCACCAATGCATTCGGATACTACGTTTTATACGAGTTTATTTAATAACATAATAGTATGTAATGAGATTAGTAAATGAATTAAATTCATTCGATATTGGATTTGTTTATGTTCCATTAGATATCGTGAATCTGAATGAATTAACATCTTTCACTATTTCCATTGGGGCTTGATCATTTAGTTAGCAATTATTGTAACAATTTGCTTTTAAACGAGTTACACTTAAAGGATTTATAGGTATCTGAAAACAAGGCTGAAGTAGAATTTAAGCTGCAAAATTGAATTTAGTTAACTGCATGTGAAGCACTAGTCGTAAGTGGAATATTGGGTTAATAAACCAAATAGAACCACCTGTTCTTAGAGGTCAACTGTAATAACCGCATATACTGAAAACGAACGATAAATCGAATCACGAAACTTTGGTTATTTTTATTGCAAAATGTACGGTAACTATGTGTAATATATATACATGAGAATAATTTCTGTTCGATAGGTAAAAATGAACGAAATTTTAATTTAATAATTTAGTTGATCCTTGGTTTTATTGCTGTAAAAATATATTATACTTTTTTGTAATAATGTGCCTTCAAGTGCGATCTGCATGGCATAATAATGGATAGCACATGTTGCCATTTTCAATTTTAAAATAACACTAATAATTTATTTGTGATTTAATAACTATAATTGTCTTTACAAATAACATATACAGGAGTTTTAATAACAACAATGATACGTATTCAATCGCCTAACTGGCATCCATGTTACAATGAACGTCGCTTCCCAAGATTACGTACAGTTATCTTCCCACATGAATGGTACAATATATGTATTTCCATTATTATGTCGCGCCCTAATCGTCTAAATGCAACACACGCGCGTCGCGAAAACAACGGTACTTTCTTCTCTTAAAAATCGAGCCCAGAAAGTGATCGTATACACGTTGAATCCAAAGGCAACATTGCTTCCAAGCATTGAAATCTTCGTACCCGATCGTTCCCAACAACTAAAAACCAGTTCAATCCAATCCACGCCGAATAGAACGCAAGGAACCTGTAGTATAGGCGTGGCATACGCCGGACAACGAGCGTCGTCGTGTGTCACCATAGCATTTCGAAATATCAAAAACATCGAGAAACTCTCGTCGAATACGAATGCCGTGCAGAATATTTTTAACGGATTGTCACGTTAGACACCATCGGAAGAATCCCCGTGAAAGTGATTTCTGTGTTTTCCGACGCAGCGGCACCATGAGTCGAACACAACGAAAAGAACGGGTAAACCACTACCGCTATGCCGTGCACGTGCACGGTGGACACGTCACGGGCAGTGGTCGGTTCACGACAATGGTGGGGGGCGATGGGGTTAAGGAGGGGCAGAGAGAAAGAGAAAGCTAGAAGAAAATGGCAGAACGGAACGAGACGGAGAGGCAGCCTGAACGAACGAAGCGTGCTTAGTCAACCTGGTGGCGCTGAACAACCATCTGTCGGAGCGGAGAAGCTGCCAGCCGACCTCGAGGAACTCACGGTTTCGGTGCGGCGAACCTGCGGTGCCGTTGCTCGCGTTGTATTGTGTATCGTGTTCGTCGTGGTTTAATTTTCGTGCGTTGGGCCACGTTCCGACACCTTCGACCGAATACGTGAACCAGTGCGTAGACTAATTAAATACGAGAACCGTTGAACCCGACGGGGCACGATGGTCAGCAAGGATCCGAAGATTATCGCCCAGGAGGCAAACCCTTACCTGAAACCGCCTAGCATGTCGACCAGCCAGTCTCTCAAGACTTTTATTTACAATCGTGAAACCGGCGCCTTTATGGGCAGAACGGCCAGTAGCTGGGGTAAGTCGCGTTATTATACGATGTAAACAGAAAGAAAGCGGAATGGAATGTTAACGATGGCCGTTTCGGGTTACACCTTCGATTACCGTTCCCCGTAAACGCGCGATGATTTCGATTGAAGCTATCGATCGATTCGACCTTCCGTGGCAGTGGTTCTTAACCTTTTCTCCTCGTTGTGAATCCTTTACGAATTACATACGCTTCGTGGCGCGTTGCTCTTTAGCTGATAGAGTTTTATCACCGTGTTTATTCGCGTGGTATCCGAATAAGAATCTTCGGCCACGAAGTGTTTAATATTTTCATTTTTAACTGTGTTGGGAGAAAATGAAGAGGCTCAACGGTCGAATGTTTTTGATCAAAATGGTTCCTTTTCCTTGATCTTAAACTTCACTTGGTAAATAATTTAGACTAATAATTTTCTTGATTTTCGTCCATCGGATTAATAACTTATTAGATGTTTCCGATCTACAATCGATAAAATTCCATCTTCCGTGGCAGTGGTTCTTAGCGTTTTCACTTTGTTGTGAACCCTTTACGAATTACGTATGTACGCTTCGTGGCGCGTTGTTTTTTTTACCGATAGAATCATTTTTCGAATTAACGTTTCGATTTCCGTGGCGGTTCTTTTCCAAATATAAAGAATTAGTTTAAATTTCTAGAAACATGTACGTTATTAGGTCGAGTACGTTCCTTTTAGTCACCAATACAAGGAAGGTTAACCAATTTCGTTGATCATCACATGGCAGTCAACGAAATGGAGGTTATTATCTATCTTTTTTATTATTTCAATTTTGTTCCGCTCACGGTACAGTTTAAACCTCGGTTGCATAGATTTTATTCGAGTTTTTAAAAGTTGTAGAACGAAATTATTTCTAGGTTATTTATACGTCAATGATTTAGGTTAATATTCGAGTGAAATATTCTTGCAAATTGAATAGTTATTATTCTTAGAAGATATTTTCAGAGATTTATTACATAAATATGAAATGTCATGAACCCAAGCATTGTTTAGTTTTAATTTACTTTTTAATTAATAATATTACCTTACCCAATTCTTTCGAAGTCCTTCGAAGAATAGACAATTTTAAATACAATTTCGTGCCCTCCATTTAATTGATCTTTCGTGCATTGTTTTGTTTATAATTTCAGTTTTTTTTTTTAATTTTATAAATAACAAACTAGTACTTCGGAACTAGTATTTGCGATGCACCTTGAAATTATTCAAGTCTAACGTTGGAATTACTATGAATGTACGTAGGAAGGGATAGGTAATTTTATGATACAATTACACGGTAACTTTCCTAAAGCGAGTACATGCATCGTGTGCGTGAGAATAACTTGAAGCGAAACTCTTGTCATCGTGTTGCTTTAAATAGTTTTAGTCGAAGAACGGTTAAGCCTCTTACTGCCGGTCGACAGATTTCCATAAACTGAAAATTGTTGCTCCAGGTCGTCGAGTTTATGCATCTTCGATAGTGTTCTAGACACTTAGGCGCGTCCATTTTTAACAATGGTACTACAAAGTCCAAATTTGATGATACAATTTTCCTCGTTTTTTATTTTTGATGATTTATGGTTAGATTGTCCATAACTTGTACATAAATAAAAATGTTTTAATAACATTTAGTGAGTCTGTTGTAAATATAAAAAAAAAAACATTCAGTCGATTTATAGTTTCATATTTTATATCGTCAAGTCTTTTAAACGACGTTGATTAAGATAAACCGCGAAGTTTAGAGGGTTCTATTGTTTCCATCAACATAGTCCAGTAACTATAGCTGATGTACCGTTATCTGTGCACTTTACACGTAAACATAACACGGCATGGCGAAAAGGAACCTCGCTCATGGACAGCTTGTTTCCTTGCTTGCATTCGAGCGTTATCTGTACTAATATAATTTAAAAATCTTTCATTAGACTATCAAACAAGATTGTCATTAAATTAGCGCTGCACGAGGACTCTTTCAATATTTTTTAAAGTTTTTCGTGAACCGTGCTTAATCCAGCATTTAAATATTTTGAAACTTTTTATCTCAAAGCGTTAAATGTTTACGTAGTTTCTAGGAAGCTATTGTTTCCATAAAAAAATTGTAAGATGCGGTTAAAGTGGACAAGAGTTCTTTGTATTGATAAATTCAAATTCTAAGTATTTAGTTCGCATGAAAGATCTTTTTATTTAAATTTATCAGCCGTTCTGAAGAATCAAGAATATTTTCAGAGTATTTAGTTGTGACGTCGGAATGTTTCCCAACAGTTGGAGTAGGAGAACCGATAAAAATAGAAAATATAATGAAAATGGAAGACTATAAGTAGATACTCGAACAACGTGTCATACCATCGCGTTAGTTGGCGGGCAGACATTTTATTATAACGATCCGAAGCACTCGTTTAAATTGTGTAAAGGGTTCTTATTGCAAAAGAAAACAAAGGGGAGCACGAGGATCGTGATGGGTTGAACCTAGTTGAGCTCTTATAGAAAAAGCTTGATTGGAATATCGGGAATGGAGAACAATGAAGGATGGACGTAACAATAATAAATAACAGTAATCTTCAACGACTTTTTTTGAGCAGATTAAACATTTTTTGTAAAAATTCTTCAATGTTTTCAGAAAGTACGTTTCGTGGACCACTTGCTTCTAAAATTTCATCCGAAAATATTAATTATTGTAGCCGTAATAGTAATCAACGTGAGAGGATTCCACAAGTTTATAGGCAACAGGTAGACCTGTAATTTTCCACTGTGATATCTGAAATAAAAAATTATACCATTTTCTTAAACTATGAGACAATAGCTGAAAATACTTTAACATTCTGTTTGTGATATGTATAAGAAAAATAGAAATAATTTTACATCGTTCTTAGTGGTACATGATGTACATCAGAATATTGAAAACTAAACAGAAAAGGAAAATAATAGAATGCTTAACATCAGTTTTATTCGTATGTTTCATAGTTGTCTTAGTTTTTGCTTTCTTAAATTTAACTTGAAACTACTATATAGGGTGTTCGGCAACCCCTAAGAAACATTTTAATGGGAGATTCTAAAGGCCAAAATAAGACAAAAATCAAGAATACCAATTTGTTGATGGAGGCTTTGTTAAAAAGTTATTAATGTTTAAAGTTCCGCCCCTTACTGAATTTTTTTCTCGAAGATGCGCAAGATTTCGGGGGTATGTCTATTCACCAAAAATTATTGTAATTGACCCCCGCAACCAAAAATAATTTTTCGAAAACGATTTGAAATTTTTTTTCCGTCGAAAAATTTCACACCTTCTCGAATTTTTTTCTCGAAAATGGATAGGATTTCGGAGGTATGTGTAATGACCAAAAGTGATTATAATTGACCCCCGTAATCGAAAATAATTTTTCCAGAACAATTTCAAATTGTTGAATTTAATTGTTAATAACTATTTAACGAAGCCTCCATCAACAAATTGGTATTCTTGATTTTCGTCTTATTTTGGCCTCTAGAATCGCTCATGTAAATTTTTCCCAGGGTTCTCAATATTCAATTTCAATTTTTGCATCACGTGTTTTCTATTTACAAAAACTTCATTTTATTATCTAGTAATAATCTTTTTGTAATACGAATTGCTTTACTATTTAGGTTTAAAAAATTTAATTTATTCACTTTGTTTTTATTATCCGCGTATCTATTATTTTAAAAATTAAGCACATGCTTATATTATAGACTGAAATTGTTTTTTAAGTGTTTGTTTTATGTTGTTATAGTCAGTTGTTTAGATAATTCTCGTTTCACGATGTTTAGTAATATTTTTCGCTGGTTTTACGGTTTCAGCTAAGATCAGTTTACTTCTAGTAACGAAGTCAGCAAGATTCATGTGGGCGCCCACGAGAAAACGGAACCCTCTTTGTATAACTTGATTTTATACAAAAAAATTTCCAACGAGCAGTTCCCAAATGCACGATACACTGATATAATACTCACTGAAATTTTTTTTAGCTCGTGCCCGTGTAAACGAGAGAGGGGGCCCACAAGGGTTAGAGTCCCCCTTTTATCGATAAAACAGTCTATTACCTGAATTTCAATCGCTGTGAACAATTTATTTAATCGTTAACAAATGTGAAATTAATATTTCTATTTCTATTAATATTTTCAAGAGATGTTTTTCTAAATCCGTCATTACTTAATATTTTATGTATTTTCAAATTATAAAATACATTAAGTTACAAAATACGTAAAATTTCATTGATATGTTCATTCACCAACAGACGTTACAGTTAGTCATACTTGGTACGTGACCCAAAGTCACATTCTCGGTAGAATTATGATTAAGCGATTAGATCATTACAATGGCCGACAAAAATGCAAAGATTGTGAGCTTTTTTGTGAAATAAATATACGCCAGTGTTGACAAAAAATGGAATTAACCTCTTCACGCCCTTGGCCACATATATGGACGTTTAGTTTTTTTTTTTTTTATAATTATAGTTACTGTCAATAATAAATAGACAAAAAAGAAAGAAAAAAAAATTCGTCCCTGAAGAGGTTAAGTAAAAGAAGCTTCTTGTGAAATTTCAAATGCATTATTCGTAAACCACGTTTCTCAAAATTATCAAAATATTATAAAAATTTCAAATAGTTTTATCAAGTTTTGTGGAAACAATGATAAAGAAAATTACCTTTGAAAATTATTACAAACGTCTCGTAATTATTTAAAATCTGTATATATTTATTTTTATTGTCAACAAATTGTGTTTTAAATCGTCCTTTTTTAATGAGTATGGAAGAAAACATTCTCTTAATAAATACGAACGAACGAAACACTATGATCGTGCGTAAAACTATCACCCAGGCAATCAAGCCTTATTCTGTTGGCAAGGCGACGATTGGAAACACACCCTGGGGTGTGTTGGGTGTAAGACAACTTGGTAAAATAGCAATATTCTGTACACTATACGAAACCACGAAAAATGTAATAATTTTAAACAAGGTAATTACATTTAAGCAAATTAAACAGTACAAAATTGTCAACTAT